CATTTTACATACCAAATACAAAACTTGCTGTTGTGACGGCCGAATTTGGCAGGGCAGTGCCGCCATTTTCGGGGGCCTCGACAGTATGGGACGCTGGGTCACAGCTAGGTACTTAGTACCTCAGCGCGGGCTAGCACCCTCTAACCAATGAATACTGCGTAGCCGCGACCCCGAACCCCCTCGCGGGCAGTTAGTCTTGAAAAGCCGCAATCCAGGAAACCGTTTTACTTCCCCATCCATTTTTGGCTCCCCGGCGCAGCAAGATATAAAATAACGCCCCTCATATTTTCCGTCGTCCCCGACTCGTCGGCTATTATCGTCAAAGTCGGCGACCCTATATTACAAACCACTCGACTGTTAGGGTCGTCTGTCTGTAAGGGAGCACGGGCTCCACAGAATGCTGGGGTTGGTAATTATGAAGATAGAACAAAGGGCAAGCTCCTATCGCACGGGTAATACAGTCAAATCGGAATGCCACTCAAAATGTATGAGTGCAGCGAATGTGTATTGCTTGCTTGAAGAACCAAGCAAGAACTATCTAAGACCGTGGCTACGGTCGTCGTATATATCTATCTAAGGCGGACCAATCAGAGCGTTGGTCCTGGGTGATCAGTGCGGTCAGTGTGCTCAGTGCGGTCAGTTCTCTCACTGATCAGTGGTACGACTTCCCCAAGATCAGAACTCGGGTGAAGGAAGTACTAGAAGAATGCGAGGAGTGCAACAAGAGCAAGGCAAAACGGCACATGCCGTACGGGCTCTTGGAACCACTGCCAGTCGCCGAAGATCCATTCAGTTCAATCACAATGGACTTCATCACCAAACTACCACCCTCGAAGGACCCAGTTACGGACGTGGTCTACGACGCTGTTTGGGTAATTGTGGACAGATTCACGAAGTACTCGTACTTCGTACCCTTCAAAGAGACTTGGGATACCGCACGGTTCGCCAAGGTCTTTTGGAAGCACATCGGGTCAAAGCACGGTTGGCCAAGAGAGATCATCACAGACCGAGACAAGCTATTCGTCTCCAAGTTCTGGAAGAGTCTTACGGAAGAAATGATGACGAGAGGCAAGCCTTCAACATCACACCACCCGCAAACCGATGGGCAGACAGAGCGGCTCAACCAAATCCTGGAAACCTACCTCAGGATCTACGTCAACTTTGAACAAGATGACTGGGTTGACCTCTTACCAAGCGCAGAGTTCAGTTACAACACCGCGGTTCTGGAAGCTACCGGAACCACACCCTTCTTCAACCTCTTCAAGCACGACGCGGATCTTAGGCAGGGACCACCTGCGGAAGCACCAAGCGCACCCCGCAGCGCTGCCGTCAGATCAATCAGATCAAATATAGGGTGCCCATCTGATCTGAAAGGGAATTCGGGCCCGAAATCTGATTGATTGACTGTTTAGTTGATATGTCTGGTAGTGTCTGATATCAGGACCCCTGCTGACCGCCGTGAGGCTATTCCAGCCACCGAAATAGCATCGCGACCCCGATTCTTGGTGTTCTGGGCTTACCACATCCCAACGGCTGCTATTCTTCCTGCAGCTGCTGCAGCTGCTGCTGGCCGCGGCTTTCGTCTTCATACAACCAGTTCTTCAGCAACTGACAATACTCAATAGCCTCGCTGCTCAGGCTGTGCCTCTGAGACGTCACGGTCAGCTTCGCGATGCTGAATGCTCTCTCACAATCATCGGCCATAGCTGGGATGGCTAGTAGGTCCAACGCAAGGCAGCTAAGACGAGGGTAGGTAGCCTGGTGGTCCCTCCACCACTGAATCGGATCTTCCGTGTTCTCTCGAGGCGTCCTGAAGTAGACCTCAAGCTCCGAAGCCGTCTGAGAGAGCTGGGGACACCTCTGGGCAATCCACTGCCTTGCCTCTTCCAATTCGACCTTCCGTTTCTTCGGAGGGCCCTGTCCAACTGGTTCCGGCTCTGCAGAGGGCGAGCGGCTCCCCTGCTCGTTGGCTTCAGGGTAGTAGGCCTCGAGGTAAGCCTTGAGAGCCCTTTTAGCATCGCTAATCCAGATAACCTGCTCTGGAGCGGTCCAGACGTTCTCGAGCCACCCAAGCCCGAGCCCGGGATGTAGAATGACGGCTGATGTAAATAAGGATGACTCTCCAATCGATGTATAGTAGTGGTTGAGCTTTAGCCATGCGTTGTTGATCCCACTTCGAAGGAAGGACCGTTGCTGGGCTCCAAGGCTATCGAAGTTGCCTGCTGCCCGAGCAGCAGCAAGATTAGTATAAACCAGCCTCGTGTGGTCCGGGAGGGCTTCTTCGTTAAAGCGGGAAGTAAACCCAGGTTCGATGGCTGCTCTGTTACGTTGCAAAGGCCGGCTGCGGGTTGGTGGCCGAACCGGTTCTGTTGCTACTGCCGGATTGAGAGATTCATCAATATATAGCTGCTTCCACCGCTCAAGCTTATCAAGGACGTATTCCATGCCCGTGAGGACCTCGTGAAGCTGACCCTGGCCTTGGGTAATCATCGTGAGCCTGTAGAAGGGCGTCAGGATCTCCTGAACCTCTGCAAGGAGCCGCCAGTCCTCTAAGGAAAGACGATCTTCAGCAGAGACCTTGTTAGTTGCGGTCCGGTCGAGGTCGAGGTCCGTTAGGTAGTTCTCGATGGTATTCCGTAATAGACATGCCCTCTCAATCATCAGGAAAGTCGAATTCCACCTCGTAGCATTATTCTGGTTCAGCTCCAGCTCTTTGGTTGTTGCTTCGGCCAGCAAGAAGCTCCCTTGGATCGACCGGTCATCCCGTTCGGTCTTCCTGAAAGCCTCGCTTCGTTGGGGAGACGCTCGGATGAATCTGACGATGTTGTGGAGCTTTCCAATGGGTCCCCTAGTGCGCCAGTGGGTGGCATCTAGCTCGTCTACTTCTAGGGCCTCGAGGGTTTCAGCCTGTTGTTCGAATTCATCTGCCCGATCGCCAAAGAGGAAGGCTTTAGCTGCTAGGTTGAGGATGTGACCGAAGCAGCGCATTCTTCGACTCCGAATAGCATCGCGATCCCAATGGGGGAACAACCGGCTGTAGAGGGATTGTAAACAGGTATCGTTGTTCGTGGCGTTATCACAGATCGCTACACCCAACCGCTCTCCAAAGCCCCAATCTTGGATGACCCCAATCAACGTCTCAGCGAGATTCAGGCCGGCATGGGTTCCTGACTGCTGCTTGAAGGCAATCATCCGCTTCGCAGGCTGATAGGTTCCGTCAAGGTAGTGGACGATGATGGCGATGAAGGCTAGTCGATTTGGAGACGTCCAGAGATCGAAGCTGAAGTGTATAGCCGTCTTAGCATTCAGAATCGCCTTCCGGACCACCTGTTTGCGTGCTAGGAAGAGAGCCTCGATCTCGTTCCTAATTGCAGTCCGACCAAATGGCACTTGCTGTTGCAAAGCTGGGTTGAATTGAACGAGCAGGTCTTGTAGATAGGGGTCCTCGAATATCGCGAAGGGAAGGCTCGAGTTAATGACGAAGTAGGCACACAGCTCCTTCAGCCGGTCAATCCTTGTTCGAGGAATAGCAAGGGCAGAGGCAGGCCTTCGCCGGGCGGCTGTTGATTGCATCTTGAGGACGTTGGGGCCCTGCTGTTGCTGCTGTTCTGACTGTTCCGGATCGACGATGGAGTGTTTCTTGAAGAGATGTTCGATGGAGGAAGATGTAGATGAAGCAACGAAGAACTGAGGCTGGCCCCGGGCGTCACAAGTCCCACAGCACCACACGGTTTGCTTCAGTCGGTTATCTAGCTCGAGCTCGGTCATGAAGAAACCGTAATCTGCTATCCAGCTGCGTCTGCCGCGGGATTTCTGGGTGTGGATGACTCCGGTCGGGATGAAACGTCGATTCTTCCAGGAAATCTTGACTAGATCAGAGACAGAGGCATCGTCAGCAGGAATCGTACTTGACGCTGCAGCAAATTGCTTGGAGATGGAAGGAGGCCGGGCCTGTATAGCCGCGAAGGCAGAGATGGGAGCAGATGACATAAGGAGGGTCGGAGAGTCGGAATAGCTTCGTTCGGGCAGTCAGGATGCTTGGAATAGCATCGTCTGGGCAGTCAGGATGTTTGGAACAGCTTCCGTCGGGTCCGGAAGAACAGAATTTGCTGACCCTGGCTTGGTTCAGCAGGCCAGGGATGACCGGTCAGGGGTCCTGAACCCCGGTCCAAAACACCAACGGCGCCGGAAAAACGTCTAAATCCGGGCTCTGAACAGCCTTAGATATCTGTTATATCTGTCAAATAAGCCCGGCCGATATCTGATTTGTTTGATCTGACAGTTCCAAAAATCCCGATTGTTTGTTTGAATTGATTGGTAAATTGATCTGATAATCTGGTCTGACGGCAGCGCTGGCACCCCGTGCAAGAGTGGTTGCGGATCGGGTCAAGGAACTCCACGTTTACCTTCAAGGGAGACTCGAGTTAGTACGCCAGCACATGAAGGAGTACTACGACAAGCACAGGCTCGAAGGACCTCGCCTAGAGGAGGGGGATAAAGTTTATCTCTCTACGAAATTTTTGACGACAAAACGGCCAAGTAAGAAGCTGGACTTCAAGAGGATTGGACCGTTCAAGATTGAGAGAAAGGTTGCGACTTCCAACTACGCACTTTCACTACCTAGCTCGATGAAGCTGAGGACCAACGTCTTTCACATTTCACTTTTGGAACCAGCACCCGAGAATGCACGGCTGGAAGAGGATGTCGAAGTCGAGGACTTCGAGGAAGAATACGACGTCGAGCGGATTTTGGATTCACGACTCGTACGAGGAAAGCTTCAGTATCTTATTAAGTGGCTCGACTGTGGAAATGAGGAGAACTCGTGGGAACCAGTTTCACTATTGAGTTGCCCAGAAAAGATCCAAGAGTTCCACCAGCAAAATCCGGATCGGCGTAAGGAGCTCGCGAAGGTAGCTCCAAGGCGCCGAACGCGGGCACGCAGATAGGGAAAGGAATCGCGCTGTCAGACCCGACCCGGAACAAGGAAAAACAAGTGGCGGTCAACCACTTGCGGAGGGAGCAGGCAGAGGCTCAGGGGTCCGGAAGTCGAACTCGTAATCGACCCCCGGTTGCCCCCAGTCGGCGGCAGCAGGAGTATCGACCAGGGCGGCCTCGAGAGCAAGGCGCGCCTCTTCGTTACGCTCCTCCTCCTCCAGCTCCGCAATGGCAATGTCCTCGTGGGCCACGATCTTCGAAATTTTGGCCTGAAAGGCAACGCGTTGACGCTGAGCGCGGCGGCGACGGGCAGTCGCAATCCTGCCTTTCTCGGCAGCAGCAGCAGTTTTCGCGGCAAATTCCGCAGCGAGAGCAGCGCTCCGCTCAGCGAACTCTGCGGCCGCCGCGGCTTGAAGGGAGGCAGCCTCCTCGTCCAGAGAAATGGCTTCCTCCACCGCAATTTCGATTTGGGCACGCTCGTACTGAAGAGCGCGGACTAGGAGCATGTTAAGACGAGGAATGCGCTAGGGCCGGAGAAGACTCGCAGGGTGGGCGAAATATTATCGCTGGGGCAACGATAAATATCGCTTATCGCCGATAATCGTGCGATATCGTCGATAAATATCGATAACATTGATAATGCTTAGTCAGCTATCAATCTATCTCCGCCTCAACCTCCACAACTCGTTCTCGAATACATCCTGGCTCCCCCGTAAGCCCTGACCTAATCCAATGCTTCAAGCATTCAAGCATTTCCACTGTACTTTCTCCTAGTCGCATTCTTTCCCACGTTATCGTACGACGAGCCCCAGAAAAGACCCTTTCCGGCTCAGCACTCATTGCCGGGATTGATAGGATGTTGATTGCCAATTGAGATAGCTTCGGCCAGCGTCTTCGTTGCTCTATACGGAGCCACCAATAGAGAGATGATCCTTCGATTTGACGAGGTGGCTCTGACAAGTACTCTTCAAGTTCATCTTTGCTTGGTGGCCTTGGAAAGTTCTCAAGACCTCGCATTAAGGTATCCAAATCATCATTCGGATTCGGATTCTGATCTTGGCTCCTCTCCTTCTCAATCAGAAGAGCTGACTGTGGTTTATTTTCTGCTCCTTTGAAGTTGATCCAGAGCGTTTTGACCGCTTGGATTGCTGGCTTGACCCATTTTTTCTCCCAATTATACTTGAGATATTCAGTCTTCCTCGAAGGATGGAAAAGAATCGCAGCAGCATAATACGGAGTATCTTCCGTTTTGGCATAGTATTTGTGGAAAGTCTGCCAGCTCTTTTGGATTCGTTGAGAGATAAAGGGATTAGATTTGAAGGTTTCCTGGCTCCTCCTATAATGCTGAACCAACGCATCCATAACAAGAAGAACTCGGTCGATTGTTGCATGATCTCCCTCAGTAGTTTTTGTTGCTGAATAAAACGGCTTAAGGATGGATTGGATAAATCGAAGAATCTCCCAATCTTGCGGAGAAAGAAAGTCAGACTTCAGCTCTTCGTACCAAGCTTTCGAATAGGTATCAAGGGTGTCACGGCAAGTGCAGACAACTCTGGAATAGTGGGCCCGACCCGGACCCCACTAGACTAGATGGCCCGTGCACCCCACGTCCTATTTCCCTGCGCCCTGCCCAAGCTTTAGAAACTTCCTTTCTTCTTTCTTTCCTTAGCTTTAGATTCTACGAATACAGCGACCATATTGCAGCCTTGTCTCATGCAGTTGACTGTGCGGTGATAAAGGGCTGATTCCTTTTCCAGTGCAACTCTTAACATCTCGTACCAGCTATTCCACCTTGTGCTATTATCGAGAGGAATATTCCGGCCGGCAAGAGTTTTAAACTGATTCGTACGAGAGACTGAACCACGGATGTGGATGCCGATATTATGAAGCTTTCCAAGGGGGCCGATATTGCGAAAGAAGCCCGATTCGAAATCTTCTTCTTCTTCATCCTTTTGGAAAAGAAACGCTTGGACTGCTAGGTTGATAATATGCCCCGTACATCTAATTCGATTCCCTGACGCCTTCCAATAGAGGCCTTCTTCTTCAAACTTCGAATCGAGAAGTAAACAAAGTTTGTCATTAGAGGTAGCATTATCGCCGATAAATGCCCCAATCTTGTGATAGATTCCGAAATCCTGAAGAGTTTGGAAGAGAATATCGTGCTGGACCTCAGAGTGGTGTGAAGGAATAGAAGGTAGAGCGATTAGGGCGTTGGCTAATTCCTCGGTTTCGAAATCCACAAATTGAGCACAAATCCCTAGGAATAGCTTGTGATTTGGAGAAGTCCAAATATCCAGAGCAAGGTGGATTGTTGAGAGCGCTGATTGGAGCTTCTTCCGTAGAATATCTTTATGAAGATTGAACGAGCTGCTAATCCGTAGTTTAAGCGTCGAATGTGATGAGATAAGACTCTGAGCCTCAGGATTTAGCTCCTGACAAAAGGCACGAAAGAATGGGCTCTCGATAATCCGGAAGGGAAGATTTTGGGTGACAATCATAGCAACAAGGGCTTCATTGAGGGTTTTCTGGTTGAGAATCTTCCTCATAACTCGGGTATCCAATTCAGAAGTCTGATCGATTTCCGATGCCTTGTTGTATAAGGAATCAAGAGATTGAGATGCCGTACGAGATGGGGCTTCGAGGGTGATAGCATGCTTGCGAAGGTGAAGTCGTACATTCGTGGTGCTTTGCCCAAACCAAGGGCAGTATTGGCAATAGTAGAGACGATTTTTGCCTTTGTGTGAAGGCTCAGTCGATAGTGGCTGTCGAAGATGATCATGTAGACTTGACTGAATAGTTTCTTGAGATACAAGAGATTCCTCGGTATCTTGTGTCGAGGGAGTGGACATTTTGTAGTTGAGCCACTTTCGTAGCTATATTACAAGGCGTAGCCGATGAAGATGATGGTATCCGAGCCCTCGCTGAGCTCTCGCTGAGCCGGCTGACTATGGCCCGTGCCCCACCTTGCGCTCGCCGGCCTATCGTATTTTGGGATCTCCACACCAGGCCACCACACAAATGCAGCCTAGATCCCAGTCTCTCCATCCACTCAGCTGATTGCGCAGCTGAGTTGGGTCTAGTACGCTAGCGCTACAGCGCTTCCCAGTTAGACAGGCCGCTGTAACTAGGCTAGCTTGGCTGATCGAGCCGCTGTGGCCCCCTATTGACCAGCCTGCCCGCGGGGCGTGCCAGCGAGTTAGCTGCTCGAATGCGTATAAGGCCTCTCGCTCGCTCCACGTCTGGCCGGCTAGCCGTAGAGCTAGCCAGCTTCCTGCGCATCTTATCGATCAATTGACCTCTTTTTAACTATGGCCCGCAAGCGACAGAGGGCGCCGGCGGCGCAGCCGGCTCCGGCTACGGCTCCGGCTGGCGGCCAGAGTGGGGATGTGATTACGGTTAGCGGCCTACCCCCTGTCCTAGGCTTGGGACGCGTGCAACGCGACGCACACAACAACGCAGAACTACGCGCCAACGCGCAAAGCATCCTCTCGGTAATCCACAATATGCGGCCAAAGAATACGATCTCTACGTACGAGCCAAAGCAGCGGGAATTCCAAAATTTCTGTAGGCTACAGCAGTATTACGATGGGGATACCGTCACAGAAGACAAGCTCCTTTACTTCCTCACCAAGAGCGTCACCAGCCAGCCGTTACGAGCCAAAAGCCGGAAGGCGGCCGTGGATACCCCACAAGAAGAGACACGGCTAGCCTGGCGATCGGTCCGTAGCTATATCACGGCAATTACGGATCTCTACCGCACGCAAAAGGCACGCGGTATGAACATCCACCCATCTCCACGCGAAGACAATGTCCGGGACTATCTCAAGTCCTTACAGCGGCGCGATGCCGAGCAGGCCAAGACCAGCTATGCGGATAAAGGTTCTGATACTCTGCTGGATGGCTATACGGAGCTGGAGTTCGAGACGATATGCCACGAGCTGTGGGTACATACAGCCACCGGCCAGCCGAGAGCCACCTACGGACCCTTGTCGACCTGCTTCTTGGCCACTATATGCTCACACGTGGAGGCGACCGGAGGGCTTTAGAGCTATCCGATCTATTTACCTTTGAGTTCCCGGACGAAGGCCCTACTCCTTGTATGCCGTTAATTATGACGACGCGGGCCGGGAAGACCAACCAGCACGGCCGGCTCGAGACAGCCGGGGCCCTACGGAACCGCAAGCCACTGATTTGTGCATTGAGCGGCCTCGCATTTTACCTCCTTTTTCGCTGGGATCTTACAGAAGAGCCGTTCCCAGACTTCAGCCAGCGGCCGGCGTGGTACGACATCCGCCTGATTACGAGCAGTAGTACGGGGCGGACGGCAGGTCTCTCCTACAACTCGCAACGGGAGTGGGCGGCCCGGGCCCTCTCGTATGCCGGGATCAGCTCCCAAAAGAAGACACACATCGGCCGTAGCTCGGGAGCGAAGGTGGCCGAATTGAAGGGTGTTAGCGAGGATCAAATCCGCCGGGCCGGCCGTTGGAACCAAGAGCAGATGATCGGCTGTTACCTCAACTCCCTGCCCCGCACGTTTATGCGTAATATGGCCGGCCATCCTCCGCAGATGGGATGCTTTGAGGTCCGGAGGGCCGGCGTGGCGCCGCCAGCCGACCTCCTTTCGATGATTTGGCCGCAGTTGGACCAGTGGCAAGGCCGGTTTGGCCCAGGGCCTGGCCAAATTAACGATCTAGCTGCTATGGGCTTTACTAACCTCCTTTTTTACCTCCGTGGGGTAGTTCTACAAGACTCAGCTGTCCTGATGGATAGGTTCCCGAACAGCCCAGTTTGGAGCCACCCAGTATTCCAACACCCGGGATATAAGCCATTCGCTAAGCAGGTGGCTGCTTTCGTACAGGAAGAAGAGCGGCCCAGCCAACTGGCTGTGTTAACCCAAGCGCTTCCAGTCCTATCAGACTACTTAAAATCGATCGATGCTCGTAATGAGGCCCGGGTCCTAGAGCTCACAGCAAAGCTCCAAGCCACCGAGATGCGGCTTATCGAGGCCCAGTCGCAGCAGACAGTTAAGCTCCACAATATCCTTTCTGCTGGTCTTACAGTCCATATACAAGCAACCGCTCCACAGCCGGTCCTAGCCGAAGCGGGCCAACGAACTGGCCCTATAAATGGGCCGGGAGCTGGCCCTATGGCTAGGCCGGGAGCTGGCCCTATGGCTAGGCCGGGAGCTGGCCCTATGGCTAGGCCGGGAGCTGGCCCAGATGAACAAAGCCAGTATGGCTCTGCTACTAGCCGCCTTTGCAGCCCGGCTCCCACAATTAGCTGGCTACCGGTCGAAGGAGGAGAAGAACAGCCGCCACAGTACCGTATGAGCCGTGCAGTCAGGACGGTGGCAGACCTTTGGCGTGAGTGGACTGTTGGCCTCCAGGGCGGGCCGGCCGTGGCTACTCTTGATCGGAGATGGGGGAACCGGTGGCGGGCCGGCCGGCAGACTGAACTGCAGTGGTATTCTTTACGGTCCGAAGTTGTTAAGGAGGTTCAGCGGATTGTGCGAGCCCAGCGTACGAGCGAGGAAGCTGCCGTCCGCATAGTTCATCTTCAACAGCAGCAAATTGGCTGCTCCATTGACAAGTTTTGTAAGCAGCTACGGGCCAGCCGCAAAGCAAGACTTGTGGGCCATAAGCCAAAATAACTCGCAAATAAAACCACCTTTTACCTTGCTTTTCGAGCCATTTTAGAGCCCCGATTAAAACCCTCCTTTAAACCTTTTCTTCGAATTTTTTGGCCTTTTTTAAGACCCTTTTTGCACTCTTTTCGTGGCCTCCTTCGGCGGGGCCGACAGTGCATATGGTAGGATCCTTTAACGTGCTGATCGCACGGGCGTTTTTTGGCGCTAAAATGCAGCTAAGCGGCTGAATCACCCACCACCTGGCCCACGTGGATATACTACTGATATCGTCAATATCGGCGATAACAATTATTGATTCAATATATCGGCGATAAGCTTATCGTCGCCCACCCTGGAGAAGAGGCCTACTGTCAGGTCCGTCAAGATCGCAGCGCATGTTCCCGACGCGGGTGCACTCGGCACAGCGCTTAGCGGTCGGCGGAGCTCGGCAAGTCAGGGACTTCTCCCGACACCGCATACAGGAAGGCATGGCCTCTTCAGCCAAGGATAGGGTAGCGACGCGCCTCTGTCGTCTCAAGGTGCTTTTCGCAATCGTTTTCTTAGGAAGGAAACTCATGGCTAGCCATACGCCGTTAGGGCGTTGTAAGGAGGAAGGGACTCACTCTCTAGGGTTTCCGGTCGCCAGCGTTCGTTGGCTTCGGGACGAAGCCTAGAGAGGAGAGGCATCGTGTTACGATCCTGGTTCAGGCTCGCAGGGGGCTGCACGGAGCCTCCCGTTATTGGCTGACGCCAGGAAGTGGGGTAGTTCCCCGCTTCCCTCGAGTGCAGCCAATAACGAGGCGGTCAGTACGATCAGTATGGTCAGGGCGATCAGTGAGAGAACTGACCGCACTGAGCACACTGACCGCACTGATCACCCAGGACCAACGCTCTGATTGGTCCGCCTTAGATAGATATATACGACGACCGTAGCCACGGTCTTAGATAGTTCTTGCTTGGTTCTTCAAGCAAGCAATACACATTCACTGCACTCATACACTTTGAGTGGCATTCCGATTTGGCTGTATTACCCGTGCGATAGGAGCTTGCCCTTTGTTCTATCTTCATAGTTACCAACCCGAGCATTCTGTGGAGCCCGTGCTCCCTTACAGACAGACGACCCTAACAGTCGAGTGGTTTGTAATACGCAGGTCAACGAATACAACCATCAGCACCTCCTAGGCCTACGAAAGGCGGTTGTACAGGTAGACGCAAAACACGAAGGCGTAGGCGCAGAGAGAGTCGAGTCCTCTAACGCTGGCAACCTGATCAAACGATTACCTCTTTGTATTGGTTACCGGGTTATGCTAACGAAGAACCTCTGGGCCAACGTTGGGCTTGTGAACGGTGCCCCGGGTACTGTATACGACATCTCGTGGGCTGAAGGCGCCAACGTGCTAGAGGACCCACCGCAGGTTATTATGGTTACGTTTGATAACTATACTGGGCCGCCGTTCCTACTACCTAGCGGAGAAGAGCTTCGTGATAGGGTTAGGCTGGTGGTTCCTATCCTTAGGGTTCGGTAGGAGTTTGTTCTTGGGGCTGGTACTGGCTACCGGGAGCAGTTTCCACTGCTTATTTGCTACACAATCACAATACACAAGTCACAGGGCGTCACTCTCGACAAGGTGGTTTATGATATCTCCGCGCCAGAGTTCGCGTCTGGCCTATTGTACGTGGCAATTTCTAGGGTCAAGACCTTGGATGGCTTAATGTTTGAGTCGCCGTTTGATCGGAGTAGGATATACTGCGAAGTGCCGGTACAGAGCATGCAACTGAAGATAGCGGATTACGAGGCAAGGAAGTTACAGCTATTAGATCCACAGGAAGAGGAGGTTGACTCGAGCGATATGAGCGGGTATATAACTGATAGCTCTGTTGTATAGATGTAAGAAAAGATCTCTAGAGCATCGGAGTTGTTGGCCTCCGGACAGGGTATCGTCGCTTCGCTTGCTCTCTACGTTATCTAAATAAGTCAACTGTCGCGCTCTAAATTGCCAGGAGCGAGAGAGAGGAAGGAAGCGTCCCGTAGCGTAGCGAAGGGTCACGCGACTGACGAACGAAGCGACGCCAGCAATTTTATACTGGTCGGTACGGGAAGTGGAAGTTGGTTTGAGTTTATCAAAATGGCGGCTGTGTAAACGCAATTTTCTGAAGCCGAAAATGAGTCCGGGCTTGAAATTCAAGTACGGCGCGCTTTGCGCTTCCTCAAAACTTCGGCCGGTTTCTTGGGACGGCACAGCACCCTGCATTCAGCTGAGCAGATAGATGCCCAATGGAGAGAGAGCGGAGGAGTGTAAGCTGAGCCTGCCGTTCGAGCCTTCCATCCTGCAGCCAGGCGGCAGCTGAGTCAGTGCGATGCGCAGCGAGCTAGGGAGTACCTGCGCTGAGGTGGTGGTGCTAAACCCCGCGGCCCCGCCCCTGCCCCCGCATCGACCAGCAGCCAGAACTGGAGATGCGAGCGAAGCCGAGAATTACGCGGCGCCGTGCAACCTGCAACTGCAATTTGCAAACCGTGCATGTTGGTTACTTTATCTTGCACACAACGCCGCTGGCGCGATATCAGTTGCAGGCCCGCCAGCATCGGGAACTTGGCCAGCAGCAGCAGCAGCAGCGGCAGCAGCAGCGGCAGCAGCGGCAGCAGCAGCAGCAGCGGCAGCAGCGGCAGCAGCAGCAGCACCAGCAGCAGCAGCAACGGCAGCAGCAACAGCAGCATCCCCCAGGCCACAACCATGGCTTTCTTCTCGCAGATCATGACCAAGCGGCCAAAGGCGGGCGCAGCCGCGGGTGTGGAGAAAAATGGCCTTTGGGAGCTGTCACGTCCGCCAGCCAACGTGTCCCCGGGCGTCGAGTAAGCAACCCATTTCCGTCAGTCTCAACTCTGGTTATTTGAGAACTTTTTTTCCCCTGCACTTTTTCTGACAAGAACGCAGCATTGTGGCTGTACATGGCCTCGGAGGCGATGCGCACCGGACGTGGACCGGCGACAAGGGCAAGCTGTGGCTGCGCGACTTCCTCCCCGCCACACTCGGCAATGCTCGAGTTTTCACCTACGGCTACGACGCCGTCGTCGCCTTCAGCAAGTCGTCCGCCGAGGTCGACGACTTTGCGCGCGACCTGCTACAGCGCGTCAAGGCGGCGCGCAGCCCAGCCGCCGACCACGGCCGCCCGCTCTTCTTCATCTGTCACAGCCTCGGCGGCCTCGTCGTGAAGCAGGCTCTCAACATTGCCCACGGCGACGCTCACATGGCCACGTGGCTCAAAGGCGTCGTCTTCATGGGCACTCCGCATGCCGGCTCCGGCGTCGCCTTCTGGGCCTCTCTCGCAGGCACCCTGCTCAGCACCGCCAGCCTCGGCACCAGCACCAACAAAGACCTGCTGAAGCTTCTCTGCAGCGACTCGGCCTTTCTAGACAACCTGTCGCGCAAATTCGCCGCTGAGAACCCCCAGCTGCCCATTCTCAGCTTCTACGAGCTCGAAAAGTTTCCCTTTCTGAACCGCAGGGTACGACTTCAGCCGGGCCCCTCAACCCCTGCATCTCCAAACCCCTAAACCCCTGAGATTGGACCGCCAAGACAAACAAACCAGGTCACTGACATGCAAACTCTCCAGATTGTCGAAAAGGCGTCGGCCCGCCTCGACTTGCCCAACGAGACTCTTGTGCCGGTCCAAGCTGACCACCGAGCCATGTGTCGGTTCGACGACGCCGCCTCCCAGCGGTACCGCCTCGTTGAAGATGTCATTGTCGGCTTTATCCGCGGCGCCGAGCCTCCGAGCACCCTGCAAGAACCAGCCACGCTCGCGATAGATGGTGAGTACTGCCGCCTTGTGCATTGTGCAACGACCGGAACTGACGTGGGATGATGCTCGGCAGTGAACCAGCGCCGGGCCCTGAACGAGTGGCTCAACCCCACCCCCACCGTCGACACGTTCGACCGCATCAGATCAGAGCGCATGGAATCGTCGTGCCGCTGGATCTACGACGACACGCTCTTCCAAACTTGGCTCACCCAGCCGCGCTGGCGCGTGTGCCACATGGACGGCCCCGCCGGCTACGGCAAGTCGACGGTTGTGAGCAAGCTCGTCGAGGACCTGCGCGCTTCTCACCCGGTGGCCTTCTTCTTCTGCCGGGTCGACCAGGAGAAGCAGTCGTGGAAGGACATTGTCCGGACGTGGATCTGGCAGCTCCTCGACCAGCGGCCCCGCCCAGAGCTGATGAGCGGCATTTTCGACGTGTGCACGGCCACCCTCGGCGCCACGACGCCTGTTGCCAACTACTTCAAGGCCTTGGTCTGGCTGGTCGAGCGCCTCGACTCGCCCTTTATCTTCCTTGACGGCATGGACGAGAACCCCGAGCTGCAGAAGGTCGGTCTCCAGGGGCTGAGTAGCCACTTCCGCGACTTGTCCAAGCACGCCAAGATATTCACGTCAAGCCGCCCAGATCCGCGAACCAAATACACCCTGCCAGCCGAGACGGGCAGCTTCATCCGCATCTTCGTCGACAGCGCAACCAACGAGGCCGACATCTCGTCCTTCCTCGCCGACGGCCTGCGCGGCCTCGGGTGGGACCGCGCGACGACGGCGTGGGTGCACAGGAGGCTCTCGGACGGGGCAAACGGCATGTTCCTGTGGGCCAAGCTGATGCTGCAGCACATCCAGCAGCAAGTCACGCTCGACGACCTCGAAGCCGCCGTCGACGAGCTGCCCGACGGCCTCGACACCGTCTACGCCCGCATCCTCGCCAAGATGTCTGCCCTGCCCGCGCCCCAGGCCCGGAGCGTCGCCAGAGTGCTTCAGTGGGCGTTCTCGGCGCCGCGGCCGCTGTCAGTCGCCGAGCTCGAGGTCGCGCTCGCCGTCAAACCAGGCGCCGGCACCGCGCGCCTCAACCAGCGGAGCCGCGCCATGAACATCCGCCAGCTCATCGCCGACTTTTGCGGGCCGCTGCTCGAGGTCGACCCGCGCACCGGCACCGTGCGGTTCACCCACATCTCGGCGCTACAGTACCTCCAGACGCTGTCTGGGCAGCACGACGGGGGCGACCTGCCGTACGATGCGGCGCGGTTCCCCCTGGTGCTCGCCAAGAGGGCGCCGCAACTTGCCGCTACCTGCCTCACGTACCTCGCGTACGGCGACATCGACTTTGTCACGGCCGACAGCTCGCCCGACGTGTACGCGGCCCGGCTCGACCAGCACCTGCACACGTACAAGTTCCTGCGCTATGCCGCGCTGAACCTGTGGACGCACTTCTCCGACGACTTCTCTTCTTCGTCTTCGCCAGGCACCCCAGACCCCGACCTCACGCGCGCGCTGGACTTCTTCTTCAGCGACGACAAGAACATGGTGAAATGGCTACAGCTGTACCAGCTCCTCGGCGAGCTGGCAACGCCGCGCAGCACCAGCAACGGCCGGAGCGCGTTCCACCCAGAGGCCACGCGCTTCGCGGGGCTCCGGCAGCGTTACGCGGGGTTCCGCCGGCTGGGCCCGACGGCGAGCGGCTTGTTTGTGCGCTGGGACCGCTGGAAGTCGGAGGACTCGTTTAACGGCAACCACTGCTCGCCTGTGACGGTCGCGGCCTTTTTCGACTTTGCCGACGTCGTGCGCCAGCTGCTGTCGCAGACCAGCATGATCAGCCGGGGGCCGGCGGTGCCAGACCTCGACGACGGCATCGTCTTTGGCTATACGCCGTTTCTACATGCCGTGCACGGCGACGCCGCTGACGCGACTGCGCTGCTGCTCGCCGCTGGGGCCGACCCGGCGCGCGCTACTACGGCCGGCTACTGCGCGGCGCGCTACGCCTCGCGCAACTGCGTCGGCGTGTTGCCGGCCATCCTGCGGCTCGACACGCCCTGGCTGGCGAGACAGGACTACGAGGGCCGCACGGTGCTGCACGCCGTGTGCTCGTCGCCGGGGTGGGACCCTGCCGTGGTCGACGGGTTCTTGGGACTCTGCGGCACGGAAACAGCGGTGGCGGCGGCGGCGGCGGCGCACCTCGACATACAAGACGCTCTCGGCCTCACGGCGCTACACCATGCCGCCAACATCGACGTCGCCCAGTCGGCCGCGCTGATGTGGGACCGGCTGAGCCACTCGTCTGGCGGGGGGTCCGGGGGCGAGCGGCGCGTAGTGCTGGTGTCGCTTCAGGAGGCCTTCACGCCGACCACTGAGGCGTCCATCCAGACGTGGGCGCGCAACTGGCACGTCTTCTTCCAGGGTACCGGGGGGGATGAGCCGTCGCTCGACTTGGCTTCTCTCCATACCCTCGTGCAGCGCATCAAAGTCTATATGCTGCGTAAGCTAGTCGTCCGCAAAGCAGACGTCAACGTCGCCGACCACCAGGGCCGCACAGCGCTGCATATTTGCTCGGCCACGCTGTCGCATCAACAGCATGGCGACGCAGGTGACGCGGTCACACAGTCGGCCGGCGAGAAACAACAGTGCATCGAGGCCCTGCTCGCCGGCGGCGCCGACCCGTTTCTGCGTGACGGCGCGGGGCAGCTGCCCGTCGACATGGCTATCGCCGAGGGCGACTGGCCGGCAGCCAGACTGCTCTGCAGGGCAATGCAGGCGCGTCTCGCTGGGCGGCCCGAGCGTGACCGCGCCGGCACGCTCCAGCTGCAGGCGCTGCTGGCCGAGACCAAAGCCGGCACGCCGCGCTCTGCTCCGCCGTCGCCATCGCTGTCGTCGTCCGAGACGGACTGGATGGTTGTCCCCGGCAGCGGCAGCGGCAGCGGCAGCAGCAGAACCAGCTTCCCGCGCACTTTCGGTGACGTCGTGGGGGCGACGCTCATCCTGCGCAGCCGTCTCGGGCTCGCAGCTACTGCAGTAGCACCCGGTGCAGGCGACGACACATTAGCCAAGCTAGCGCAGCGCATTCTCGACGCCGCTAGATACTACTGCGTGCAGGCGAGAGCGGCCGTCGACATTCGCTCGTGGCGGCCGCGGCAGCAGCAACAGGACGACCGGGACACGCCGCGCGTGTCGCTCACGCTTGCGCTAGACAGCCGCGCCGTAGTGCGCAGGATCGACGTATTTATCGCGTCCGAGAGGCTGCGGCCGCGCAACTACCATGCCAGCAGCAATGGAAGAGTTGGTAGTGATGACGCAGTGGACAAGCGCAGTGAGGATGCCGACTACCACTACCGCCGGTCAAAGTCGAACGTGGTGCTGAGCAAAACCTCGGCGGCGTGGAGGCCGTCATCTGTCCGTTCTGGGCTCGGACCGCGGCGCGTGGATTCGGGTGTTTCTGTCGGTGATGGGCCTGAGACAACTACCGCACCGAGTGTCGCCAGCTATAACACTTGGGGTACAGCGCGTGGGGATAGCAGCAGAGCTGCGTCGTTGAGAAGTGTTGAGCTGGACAGGCAAGCTGAGACGGCGCTGGACGATATCGTCAACGGCGACGGCGACGGCGAGGAAAGCCCATGGTACCACGACAGCCAGGCGTTTCTGCGCGTCGAGGTGGCGTCTGCTTCTTCTCCTTCTGCCCCCGGCGAAGATGGCAAGGGCAGTCCAACCCCAACACCACCGCCAGTGCCGCGGATCAGCAACCTCGGGGTGCTGGTCGACCGGCAGCGCAACGTCGACATTTGGTGGCGCACGTGGCCTGCGCCCAGCCGACTTCCGCCGGAAGAAAACACCACAGACACGAGACCCAGGCCTGCGCACGCGAGTGGCCTTGACGATGAGCAGACGCGCGAGTGGCTGGCCAGCCTCAAGCACGGCGATACCGTCACGCTGGCGGCCGCCGAGGGATTCTTCGTGCATGACATTGCGCGGTTTGCCAAGTTTGGGCTGGTGGTTTATTGCGGTCTGAGTCCTTGAGGCGAGTTGGTGGGGTGGCTTTTTTGTTTCTGTCGCTGTGTGCGAGCCCCTGAAGAGCCTCTCCATAACCGGCGAACCACATGTTACAAGCCTCGCATCCCGAAATTTCCGACAATAACACAATGCAATGCAACGCTTGGCGAGGCGGCTGCAGCATGAACCACTTCGTACTCGGCAACACAACTAGACTAAAGCAATCCTGCAAGCTGACGCGCGGCCAGGCCACCAATCAGGCGCAGTCGTCCCAGCGATCCTCCTCGCCCCGAGTTCCGTATTTCGTATTACATAACCATCTTATGTTGCCATTGTCAGGAGGATCCGGGCTCCTGGATCTGAGAATCGGCTTCAAGACCCGTTTGGGACTTCGGTTTTGGTTGCTACGGCAGGGTGGCCGCTGGGTCACGGTCAGAGACTTGTTGGCCAATTACTAGGTATTAAACCGTGGATATTGGTTTCCTGCTGTTATTGGGAGCCTGACAAGACCGCATGTGGTTAAGCATGTTTATCATACGGGCGTTGTGCCGAGGAAAAGAGGTATTTCTGGACTCGCGGCTGCCTCGCGTCCCTCCTGGATGAGGAAACCCGTCAGCAAATTACCGTTCGAATTCCACAGCCACGGGAGTGCGTCAGATGGCAACTATTCAACAGAGCTCAAGGCCAATGGCTCGGGTATAAAGCAGATGCGCAACGGCACCAGAATACGTACTCATTGCCATCACTTCCGGAGCACCACCGCCTCCCCCTATTCCACAATCTCACCGACCAACCTAGAATATCGCCAACAATGTTGTTGCGTCGGCTTCTTCGTCTGGCACCTGCCTTCCTCCCCCCAAAGCCGGTCACGGCATCGAGCTCAACCTCGCTGCCGGGGACACGCCCTGTCTGTACACCAACACACCATCCCATCCACCTTGTCTTCCAACTGACAGCCCACCCCTTCTCTAGTGTGATGCCCTCGCCGCAGCCGGGCTTGGCGGCATTCTTCTGACGCCCGCTGACAGCGGGTACGAACCCCAGATGGCGACGTGGTGGTCGCTCAACGCCCAGCTACGGCCGTGGTGCCTGGTACTGCCGCGGAGCACGGCCGAGGTGTCGTTGGCTCTCACAACGCTCGTGGCAGCAGGCCACGGCGCGGGCTCGTGGCACATCGCCGTGCGCAGTGGCGGGCACGGCTGGCCCGGCAGCAACAGCGTCGCCAACGGTGTGACCATCGACCTCAGCCACCTCAACGCGACGCGCTACGACGCCGCCACCAACAGGGCGCGCCTGCAGCCCGGCGCGCGCTGGGAGCACGCGTACGCGGCGCTGCAGGCGCAGGGCAACGTGATGGTGGCCGGCGGGCGTGACGGCGGCGTCGGCGTCGGCGGGTTTCTGCTCGGTGGCGGCATCTCCTACTTTTCGGGGCGGCACGGCTTCGGTTGCGACTCGGTTGTTAATTACGAGGTGGTGCTGGCCGACGGGAGCGTGGTCCATGCCAACGCGACGGCGCACGCGGACCTGTGGCGCGCGCTCAAGGGCGGCGCCGGCAATTTCGGCATCGTCACGCGCTACGACCTGCAGGCCATCCCGTCGACGCCGCTGCTGTACGAGCTGCGCTACCTGGCGGCCAACTACTCGAGCGCTGTGGTCGATGCCGTGGTCGACTACGCCGGCCGCAATGCCTCGTATGGCGACGACGCGCTCGTGACGTTCTACTCGCATGATGTGAGCATCAGCCCGGCTGGCGACACCGTTATTGGTGTTATCCATGTCAATACTCTAGGCAACGCGGACAGTGGGGACGCCTCTGATGGGCTCGAGGGGCTCCCGGCGCTCGTGAACGTCACGGCCCGGGAGACGATGGCTGATGCCGCGGCAGGCTCGAAGTTGCCCGGTGGGACCTTGTGCGTGTTCTTTCTCTCCTCGCATGATTAGGCCTTGGCTGGGTCAGAGCAGCAGCTAACAACGGCGACCAACGACTCTAGAAACGCGGGCTCGACGCGCACCTTCAAAAACGACCCCGCTATCCTCCGCTACTGCGTCCAGCTGCACGAGCAGCTCGTCGCGTCCCTCACACGGTCCATCGGTGCCGACAGCTTCACGACCCTCATGTTCCTACAGCCAATACCAGCATACTGGGGCCGGCTTGGGCCGCAGCAGCTGAACGGTGGCGGCGTCGCCAACATGCTAGGGCTCGAGAACATGACGGACGGTGCCGTCATGTGGACAGGCGGCGTAGGCGTGTTGACCGGCGGCGAGGCCGCGCTGGCTGTCGCGCAGGCCGCGCTCAACGCCATGTCGGCCCAGGTCGCCAGCTTCGCCCAGTCCGTCGGCGGGCTAGTCGACCTCGTCTACCTCAACTACGCCGACCCGAGCCAGGACCCGCTCGGCAGCTACGGCGCAGACAATGTGGCCTTTTTGCGCCGCGTTGCCGCAGAGTACGACCCCAACGGGGTGTTTCAGACCCGCGTCCCGGGCGGGTTCAAGATTTCACGTGTGGGCTGAGCTCTTTTGATGTTGTCTGACGTTGGTGGGAAAAGGGGTTTCATGGTATACAGCTTTATCTAGGCAGAATTTAGGCAGCAGCTACCTGCTGTTTCTGCTGGCACAGCTTGCGACGAGTTCGGGGCTTTTTAGCTACTGCGCAGATACCGATTGCGCACAGTCTGTGCTATCCCGCACCCCAAAGCCTGGACCCAGTACTTTTCAAGTTGCGCTTTGATGACTTTGTCGGGCGCATCCAATTTCCTTCACCTTGGCACGAAATTCCACGATCATCATAAACGACGGGCTCTGTCTGCGAGACTCACCACCGCTGGCCAGTATAGAGTTAGAATTGCACAGTACGGGACTTCTAAGAGGATGCCCTGCATCTGCGTGGACGCCTTCAGGCTGTGGTAATAAGTGGCCGTGGAGACACTAATGCCCCCGGAGAATCCAACACGAGTAGTAGAAAATGGCACATCGCCCTCTCAGGATTACGAGGCATGGCCGTTGCCCTGGCCTCGCTGGAGCATCCTGAATTTCAAGACTGCTCTGCTCTCGCCCCGCGTCCTCTGATATTCGCTTCCCTAGTCTCGACTCCGCCAGACTCTTACCCCGGAAACTTGCCAGAGCCGGGGTGAGCAGATCGCACAAGCAACATATCACACGCCTTGTATTTGCAAAGAAGCGGGGATGTGCTAGATGGTTTTGAAAGACTAGGCGCGGGAATCACGTTTAGGCGCGAGGCAGAAAAGGGCTTCCAATTGGCAACAGAAAGAGATGTGAGACTTGTTTAGAATGTTTCAGAGCTCTGATAAAGGCAACCTATTTCTTCTTTGTGCACCCTCCAATAGTCATTTTCGCGAAGAAAATACCTACCTCCCTACACAATTTAACTTGGTCACGAAACAAAATATTGCCTGTAAAGCAAACAAGCTTACAAGCAAACAAGCATACAAACAAACAACAAAGCAATACGTGGCGGAAGTACTGAGTACAAATCTAAAGCAGAAGATTCTACGGATCTGACTACAAGTCGACAACCGTCATGCTTCGGCACGACTATTGCCATACGGATACGCACACTGAGAAGACTCACACCGTGTCGTGGTGAATAACTCGGCCTTCTGGCCCGAGTATAAACAAAGCATTAGTAATAGTTACTACAGTGAATGATAGAGTCTTCTCCTTGCAATATACGTTCTAGTCCTCAGCCACTACGAGAGAGGAATACTTACTGCTAACTGTTCACGTTGAAAATCGAGGACTCGTAGCAAATAATGAAATTTGCTAAGTCTAGTTAGATTTATAACCCTTGAGGTTTCGCTTAATGGGGCTTCTATATTGTCCAAGAACGTGCCACCTCAGATTCACATGTAATAAGGCGAGTAAATGCCGATTCATACCTTGGTTTATATGGTGGAATATTCTGAGGTATAGATAAATCGCCTCTACTCCCCAAAACTCGCTCGCTCCCGAGCCTTGGGTAGCAAAATCCATCATCCTTATACAGGTGCCTAGCAGTAACCAATCTATATTGACTAAGGAAACCGAATCGACCAGCCCATTACTAGTCTAGAGTACCACCCTCGGCCAAATACCGCACTCTAGGCTTCTCGGTGGTCATCTCCTTGGACTGCGTCTAGTCGTAGACGCCGCCGCGCTCGTAAAAGGCGTCGACGTCCCAGTGTACCTACGACAAGGCCTTCTCAACTCCGTCAAGAATGGACTCGGACTCGCGCATCTTGCCGCTACCCTTGTCCATGAAGCGCATGCACTCGCCGACGACCAGGTAAGACGACGCCATGACGCGGTTGCTCTCAGAAATAAAGGCAAAGATGGCGCTGTGGCGCTTGCAGAAGACGGCGAACTCGTCGTCGGTGATCTCCCAGCGGCGCGCGTCGCGCAGCGTCTCCTCCGCGTCGTTCTCACCGTGCACCATGAGGACCTAGAAGACCCTCAAGCGGAAGGGCGCCAGGTCCGAGACCATGTCGAACATGTCCTCGTTGAAGTTGAGGCGGCAGACAACTGTGTCGAGCTTGAACTTGAAGCCGAACTTGCGGCACCAGCCGCGGATGCGGAAGAGCTGCGCCACGTTGTTGCCGTCGCCGCGGCCAATCTTGATGTTGGTCTGCTCGTCCATCGAGTCGCACGACACGGCTAGGACGTCAATGTACTTGCCATACTCTTTGAGGAAGCGCCCCGTGACTTTGCTGCCCTTGGTGACGATGGAGACGGACTCGAGGTGCAGGCTCTCTTTGTGGAACTAGAATATAACGCCGAGGAACTTTAGGTACAGAAAGGGCTCGCCGCCGGCAATGTTGAGCTTCTTCATGCCGGCCTCGAGGAGGATGGAGGCCTTGTCCTGCGACAGTACATAGGATGTCTTGGCGGTGTGGAAGTAGAAGCCGTATTCCTTGTTACACGCATTCCTTGTTACACGCATTCCTTATTACACGCATTCCTTGTTACACGCATTCCTTGTTACACGCATTCCTTGTTACACGCATTCCTTGTTACACGCATTCCTTGTTACACATTCGGGAGAAGTAGTTGACCGAGATGGGGATGGTGGACTTTGGCGCTTAGCGCCGGCAAACGGCCTGAACGGCTGGAACGGTGAGAGCCGCAATTGCAAGCGCCAGCAGCACCGCCCAGAGCATCACTATGTTAACGTTCCGGCTCTGCAGCCCTAAAAGAGAGGCAACAATTCCGTTCGCTATAGTTTTCGCTAGAGTCCCAATAAAGTTGCCAATTATTGTGCAACACGAATAGCACTTTCCGGGAGGAGAGACTCTGAAGCTGTTGACGTTCTGAGTTTCTGCACAACCGACAAAGAAGCGGAGGACGGAACGTTGCGAGGAAGAGATCAGCGAAGCGGGGCACTCGACACAAAATGCAGCTTGAAGTTCTAGGCCCGCCCTCGGTGGCTCCTTCCCTCAAGAATTCACAACAAAGCCTGGGCTTCGGCGGGGTAAAGCCTGCATGAGGCCGGCCTTAAGCCACGAAGCAAAAGATTGGACGAAGATACCTGCCCCGTACGACAGGGCGTTTCTTGGCCTTCTAAACCCAACAGAGGCCTGACCGCCCTCGCAGTCCCAGTCTGATACGTACCCGTAAACCAAAATGGCTGTCGCGCCCGTCTCGCAGCCGGCCGATTGCATCATCGCAGTCCTCGGTGAGCGCTCCCTCTCTTGACCGTGCAGTGTACAGATATGGCGAATCGCAACTTCACTATTCCCAGAGGGGCTGAACTCTCAAAGGTGCACCGGTTTCTGGAAAAGGCACCCTCTGCAAGAAAGTCGTAGACGACCCGGAATTCGCCCATCCTCTGCTCCATGTGTCAGTAGGCGACCTCCTTCGGGGGATACCGTCCGGGCCTGACAGGGCTTTTTGACGAAAAGGGGTAAAGAGAGGGATCATGCGAGTAAACCGGGAAATGTGTAAAACCAAGTAGTCTTATCTCGTCGCTTGGAGATCAGAATAGAGTGGTACAAGAGAGTGTGAGCCTGAGGTGGGGTTTGGCGCTATCGAACGTACGGCGCATGCGCAGAATTCTATGGCGTTACCAGGCAACAGCTCTAGGTAACCCGCCTTCTGAAAGCCTCGGTTGGGGGCCAATGTTCAAACTCCGATTTAGACAACGCAACATGGCCTACCCCTATCTCGAAGCTCTGAAAGTTATATTAACAGTGCGATCCGAGTCTGATTCTGAGTAGAATATTCTCCGTGTGCCCACGCGTTTCTCTGGATTCTATCCCGACGCTCGGGAATAGAGGAAGCTCTCATCATGGATGAAACACAACCTCTCCTTGACGACCTGAACGGCAATCTCTATAGCAACGTTGGGGGCATCTACGACAAGTTCTTTGCAGCCAAGCCCTGGTCGCCAGAAGCGGACCGCATTGTCCAGACGCTCAGTGCAAATGGCAGCGGCGAAGGCGAGAGCGTCGAGTTCCCAACTCCGCGGTCTAGGCGCTCTTTCCTAGACTGGGTCAGCAGCATCCAGTCGGACTTGCCCTCGGTCATTCAATCTGCTTTCGGCACCTCTTACGCAACTGACCTGCCCGCTATTCTACTTGCATCGGAAACAACTAAAGACTCTGAGTCTGACGACGTGGACGACTACCAGTCTCGCACGTGGGCTGAAGATGCCCAAGTGATTGGCGAGGTTTCCAACGCCGAAGAAGAGGTGTACCAAACCAGTCTCTTGCGACTTTTCGGGTACGCACGGGAAGTCTTCAGGGCCCAGCCAGACCGTCGCTTCCTGCACGGTTTCCACATTACTCTTCGTCCCTTCCTTGCCGAGCTTTGGGTCCTTGACCGCTTCGGTCTTTACTGCGACGAGCCTCTGGACCTCGAAAACCATGGCCAGCGCCAGCGCTTTGTGACTGCCCTAGCTGGCTACACGCTGATGAGCGACTCGGCGCTGGGCCTCAACATCTTCGTCCAGCAGGACCGTCTCCTGGCCGCCAGATACGTTCGCATCCGAGAGTACGGCGCATCACGGCGGGCAGAAAAAGCGAAACTCTATCTGAAAGAACCTGCCATCGCATCGCCCGAAGGGATCCTGGCTCGGGGACGGCCAACTTGCTACCGAGCACGTGGGTCACGCAGGGCCCGTGATGCCAGCGACGTCGTGGTCAAATTCGCCTGGCGGCTGGCTACCGCACGCCCTGAGGAAACGCTCCTCAAAATTGCCACGGATCGGTGCGTATGGGGAGTAAGCCATCTTTTGGGGGTGCGGGAGTTGGAACGCACCGCCAGCATGCACGAGGGTTTGCGCATCGGACCCCCGAGGTCGTTGGCCTTTCAAACCCTGGCTGCGGACGGGGGAGGCTTCAACACCCACAGCGTCGGGATGGATATTAATGATGAAGGCCATGCCCCGCTAAATGACTGGGTCTTGGACTGCGTGGTCGTCTCTCCATACGGCCGCCCTCTGCAGCAATTCGGAACGGCGATGGAGCTCCTCTTAGCCCTGCGCGATGTCGTCAAGGCGCACCACTCGCTGTACTTTGACGGCAAGATCCTGCACCGGGACATCTCCATGGACAACATCATCATTCCGGATGGAGATGGCGAGAACACGCCCAAGGGGATGCTGATCAATCTCAATGTCGCCCTGGACCTTGAATCCGAAGCCGTCGACCCAAACCGTCAGGTCGGCACCCAGCCGTTCATGGCCATTGGCCTTCTCGAAGGCAAGCCTCACACATACCGCCATGACCTAGAGTCTTTGTTCTATGTCCTTCTTTGGGCCGTCATCTGTCGTGGCTCGGATATTCCGCCGCAGGATAGTCGTCTACGGGAGTGGATCCGGCCCGGGGCAGGCTTCGGCGAGCTGGCGCGTATCAAGGAAGCCGACTTGAGCGACCGCGAGTTTGCGCTCGTCACGGCCGAGATGCCGTCTGGGGGATTTGAGGCGGTCAAGACCCTCGCCGATGAACTGCGTCGCATCCTCTTCCGCCCTAGCGACGGCGGGATCTCCACTAGGATGGATACAGAGACGCCCGACACACTGTATGGGGACATGGCATGTGCGTTTGATGATGCTATCACGGCTTTGGATATGTCTTGAACGCGCGACGACAGTTCTGAATGGTTGGTTGGACTCTTTCTCTATCTCAATCACCCGTTTTCGGCTGCTGTCTCTCAACGCTTACGCTTGAAGCCTGTCTCGCTTCATATCCACCAGGGTCTTCAACGGCTCCTGGCTGGGTTTCGCATGAAGTTTTTGAACCCATGATTTTGAGCATCTCACCGTCGGTTTGCTACAAAATAGCCGAGTCTTATAGTTAAGCCAAAGAATACCTGTTTCCTTTCCAACATCACCGAGAGGTCGTAGAGAAAGGCCTCTAAGATTCTAGAACAGGGTTTCTAACAGTTATTACCTCCCTCGGCCAGTTGTAACATCCATTGGGAACTTTAGGGTAACATGCGTGTCGAGCCACCATTTCCATGCGCTTTTGAACTGGCGTCTGTGAGAGCCTTATCGGCTGCCTTGGGCGGCCGCGCCACAGCTCGGCATTCCGGGCCAAGACCTGCAGACCTGCATGCCTAGGCTTCATGTACTGTTGCGTGCGGGATTTAAATGAGGCTGCAGCAGTGCAGAGTGAGGCTGTGCGACGAGTGGCTGCAGAGAGTCGGCCACTATGCTCTCGAGATGCAGGTGGTGCCTGGGCGTCTAAAGGCGTTTCATCAGGCAAGAATCCAGAGCCTGGTCCCCGGCGCCAAACAACCACGACCACGACCACGACCACACTTCATCTGGACCACACTTCATTTGGACCACACTTCATCTAGTCGCCAGTTTGTGCGATATCCCGTTTTGTCCAACACAGCAGATAAACCAAGGCGGCGCGTGCTGAAGTAAACACGCCATGGGCTCCCTTGGTCCAGCCGCTGTCTGGTCGCCGCCGCCGCTGGACGCGCTCAGCTTCCCCGCAGACTGCAGCGTCGCAGCTGACTTTCTCACAACGTGGTTCGACATCTCAACCATCTTTAACTTGAACGACCGCCCAGGAAGCAACCGCGATGTCTCGTTCTGGGTTCCCGACACGCTGAAGACAAACACGACCGAGATCTACTTCCGATCGGCCCTGGCCCCTGAGATGCGCGATGTACCGACATATGGCGACATTCTCCAGTGGGAACGCCTGCTGCGACTGAACGCGTCCGACAGACTCAACCACCTGGCAGACGTGGCCAACGCAAATGAGACGGGACAGACATACTTCTCGCTGGCGGTGGACAAGCCGGCGCGCGCGTGTCGCAACACAGCGTGCCGTCTCAGCTTCAACCCGCTACCGCTGGCGAGCATCAACGGCCCGGGCATGTTCATCTTCTACTACGTCCAATGCGCCATTGCCACCTTCTGCGCTCTCGTCATCGTTATCGGTGCGCTGGTGCTCGACGACCAGGGCCAGGCGAACCCGCGAAAACAGCTGTCGGGCACGCGCCGCCTCTTCACCATCATCTTCACGGCCGTCAACGACCGGTACGACGGCCTCTCCGTCGCAGCTTCGACGTTTTCGTTGATCCTGCCGGCGGCCATCATCGTGCAGTTTCAGGTTGCCTCTCGCCCGAAGATCTTCTCGTACAAAGACCTGCTGCTCGAGCTGTGGGTGACCGTCTTCACCACCACCTTCTCCGTCTGGTTGTACCGCATGGGCGCCTGCTTGCGACGGCAGAACAAGGCGACACCCATCGCCTGTCCGCTCTGCGGGAACCGCAGCACTCCCCTACCCTTGACGGCGCCCAGCTCCAAGCCGACAATCCCAGCCGCCATCATCATCTCCATCGCCTCGCTGGGTCTCGTGGCCGTCACGGTTTTCTACGTGCGCGTCAACATGTCGCGCGAGTACTACCAGCCCTTCCACTTCGAGTCCTTCTGGGACGACGTGTGCGAATTCGAGTACCGCCAGACCGTCACGCTGCTGATCGTCGCCGGCGCCGTGCTGCTCATCTACTGCCTGCTGCGCCTCGGCAGCCGCCTGATCCCGCGCTGGTATGCCGCGCGCGACGGCCGCGCCCGCAACACGGCCAGCGTCCTCGGCATCGTCGACGTCGTCGTGCTCGGCCTCATGTCGTGGGGCTTCCTGTACTGCTATACGCGATACCGCGAGCAGCTGCTGTCCCTGAGCGGGCAACAGTACAGCTTGTTTGGCGGCTGGAACCTGGGCCAGGTGTTTGCCATTTCGAGCTTGTTGTCGCTGCCGCTGATGTTTTCCATGAGTGCCTGTGAGTTCCGTCTCGTTTGTGCCCGTGGAATTATCTGGGCAGTGCTGACTGACAACTTTACAGTCCGGGCGCGGAAGACGGGCGACGAGGCTGCTAGCACCCGGCTGCAGTCGGAAGAGTCCTTGCCCCTGACGGGCTTCGGTCACGGCCACTACCAGCCTCGCCCGCCGCCGCCGCCCGGACGGCACGACTTCCGTGACTCGTCGACATCGTTTGACAGCTCCAAATGGCAGGGTACCACCAGGGTCTATGAGTATCCAAGGTGAGGCGAGTAAAAAAGCGAACACGAGTCATGGCTGTATTTGACGTGAACCGGCCGAACCACACACGAAGAGTGAACGAACGACGGGCGTCTTGCTTCGATGGATATTGACTGTTTCCTTCATCATGCATCTGTTTGTGGAATATCTAAAAAATTGGCTTCCAATCTGCGAGCTTGGTCCGTTCTACTCGTCGAGTAATGCATCATGTTTTCTAAATCGGTGTAAACTGGATTTGTGCTTTCTCCAACGAAAACAAAAGGAAAATTGACCCGCCCAACACAACTCCTACGGCAAGCCGACATGCGCCTCGCCCTCCCCGGGCTGCACAAAAAACCCGTCGGCCTTCATGTCGCCCCCGTTCAGCTGTGCGGCCTCAGCCCACGCCCTGACGGCCTCGAAATCGACACACTTGTGCCGCGTGTTGAAGTCGACAAACGGCTTCGCCTTGGCGCCCGGCTCGTCCTTGATGACCCACACGGATCCCAGCACGCTCAGGTCGGGCGCGCACATGAGTTGCTGCCGCAGGATGTCGAGGCAGTGCGTAACGTGCTTACGCGCAAAGTCGTCGCCGTCGCGCCACGGCCCCGTCCCCCGCGCCTTATAGTACTCAATGTTCCACCCCAAGCCCTGGCGCAGCAGGTCCAGGCAGTGCAGGTGGTGCAAACCCTCGAGGTCCGCCACGAACCCGCCGCTCGCCATGTGCTCGCCCGAGATCTGCACGTGCTGCGACGTCGACAGCCCCGCGCTGGCTGCCGAGCCGGCTGGGATTCCCATTGACCGGTAGTTGATGCCCAGCGCCTCCCACGCCGCGTCGACGGCCGGGGACGCCGGCTGCCGGTAGATGTTCTCGTTCAGGAAGGAGCCGTTGAACTTGACAGGGCTGTAGTTGGGCGAGATGGCGTCGAGCACGGGAGACCCTGGGCATGTTTGTTAGCGTAGTGTTGGGGTTGCATGGGTGGGTGGGGAGAAAAGGGGGAGACGGACAGTAGAGGCGGACCTGCCGCGTGCAGAACTTGTCGGCGTCGAGCAGGTAGCTGCTGTTGCCGAGCCACACGCCGAACAGGAAGCACAAGACGGCCGGCAGAATCACTGCGAGCGGGAGAAGGTTTCTTCGCCGCTTGGGCGGTGAGGCGGGTTTCGGGAGGCCATTCTCGTGGTCCGAGTAGGGGGAGAGAAGAGTCTCGCTGTCTTCAGGCAGAGCGACGGTGCGAAAGTCGGGCTCGGTCTTGGCTGGAGGTTTGACCAGTTTTTTGAACATGGTTGGGATTGAGGTTGCAATTGTCTATGGACAACTTCGAGCTCATACGGCGGTATGGTTGCAACAATTACAAACTAATACCTGCGATCTCAAGAGATAGACTGTGCCATTGATGGATATCTTAGCCTCGGGTTCAAGCTTCACTCAAACTGAGGGGAAGCCGACTCTCGAAAGTTAGACACGACAAGGAAAGCCAGCCATGACATCGCCGCTAGCCGGAAGATGACTTGAATAGGCGCCACCCGCCACTGCTTTGAGAGGGCCACTTGCCACGCACGATCGGTGGTTTCGTTATTACTTAGGTTGGTGTAACATTCTTTGTTGATGTGGGGAGGCGCTAGTTCTCGGGCCCCGACACAGCCCAACCCCTCGTCAAGAATTCCGCCATGAGACAAAGCGCCCGCCAGTACCTGGTTCTAGATGTGGAAATGCTTGTCGCATCACCAAAATGATGCAAAAAACTTGGGGAGCAAAGAAGGCTCGAACAGATAACCTCTTAGAGCGACCCGAAAACCGATCTCCCAGTTGTTGGTCATTTTACACGATACAGGCCTACAAAAAATGTAAAAAAAAATGTTTAGCGTCTCTTTGAGTAGCGTGTCATCCTTAGTGCAGGGGCCATGCTAATCTTCTCTGTATCGTTTCAACTGCAGCGGTGGTTAGCATCTCGTCATAGTTGACTTTTTTAGAGTGTTACCAAACTTACATTGACCATATTGCCCGAAGGCGAAAGTAGAGCCGCCCAAACTTACCTATAGACCCTAGTCCCCACCGAGGGTTCAGATGGCCCAGCCTCAGAGTACGGCCAAATCTTCCCATGCCGCCGTGCATCCTTTCCTACACCGTTTTGTCGCCCGCCCATTCCACACACTTTTGCAAGCAGAGTCTCGATAATTCTGCACGCCTTTTCCGGTCGTCACAGCAGAAATCCAGCACTCCTGCGCAAAAAACACAACAACCACTACGGAAATTCCAAGCCGGTTCAAATTGTGACAAAATGCCTTGTACCATGTCTAGCTCGCCACGTTTAGTCGCCCGGTCAGCGCTAGCCCCACACCCAACATGGCTGCATGCGAATATATGCAAGGCAGCGGGGAACATTGCAGTCGAAAAGGGTCTAGAAGCGGAGCGCTGCGTTCTATCACCCATCAGCTCGGGACTAGACCGCCACATGTCCAAACTGGGCAATAGAGAAGCGATAGCGCATGTGTTGGATGTGCACGATGCAAATTCAGCTAGCGTCTATCGAGAGAGAAGGCCTAGGTCGGATATCGTTGCCCGAATGACCTAATCGTCTCTTTTCACGATAAATAGGTAGACCTATTTAGTCGTCTCGATTTCAACTTGTGCGTCCCCCAAGCACCAGCCAGCACCCCCCAAGCACTAGCCAGCACTCCCTAAGCACCAACCAGCACTTACCCAAACCTAAACGATCGAGAAGACCACCACAAATCGCGTCATGCCCCCAATGGCTCCCCAATCCCAGCACGACTATCATCCCATTACAGGCATCCAGGTCGGCCTTGACGATCGCAAGGATGACCCTCTCCGGGAAGTGCCTCTGCGCCTGGAGCTTGATGACTGGTACCAATCGACAAAGGCAGAGCATGTCAACCAACGCGCCCTTTTTTTCCCTGCCATGAAGAAATTCATGGATGCAGACCCCTTTGACAAGCTCTCGTACTTCCAGGTCGCAGGTTGGTGTTGTCCACACACTTTTCTCCCGCCTCAAAACTGACAGAGCCAGGTATCCACGGGAAGCCGCTAGTCTCGTGGGATGAGCCCAACCACGATCCGCTGGAGCCTGGCAGAGGATACTGCGCTCACGACAGCATCCTCTTTGCCACCTGGCATCGCCCTTACTTGATGCTGTTCGAGGTAGGTGCTCTCCTCGCACCAAGAAACCAGCCCGAAACGGCTGTGTGCTAATTCCTAACCAATGGCAGCAAATCCTCTTCGAGCTGATGGAGGCCGAGGTGAAGCACTTTGACAAGGACGAGAGGCCCGAGCTCCTCGAAGACCTCCAGTCGTGGAGACTGCCGTATTGGGACTGGGCCTTGAAGCGCATGGCATTCGTCGAGGGCAAGTGGACGCGCACCTACAGCGTCCCGTCTGTCTTCCAGGAGGTCGAGGTGACCATCCGGCGCCCGAGACGCGTCCCGAGCCTCGGATTCCCCAATGCTCTCTACCAGTTCAACATGCCATACGGCTGGAAGATGGGCGACGCCAAGAAACTGGGCGACTTGGCCGTGACCCCCAGGTATCTCGACGGGAATGATAAAAAGACGGGCGAAAAGAAGCGCTGGGTATTTCCGGTGAGCCCAATCAGCCCCTCGATTGACGCATCGCGCTTGGCCTGGAAGCATAATTCTCTGACACGACACGCAGTATGACGAGTGTACGGCTACGAGCAGACATTCGAGTGGACCATTGACGTGGGCTCGGGGCGAGCAGAACAACGTCAAGGTCGGGCAAAGCCTCGAGGCAGGCAAGCTCCAGCAAGGAACCGGTAAGGGAAAGTCGGACGAGGAGATCGGCAAGACAGGAGCAGTCCTGCGCGACGCCTTCTACCGCATCCTCCAAGTCAACACGTTTGGCGAGTTCGCGACAAAGCGAGCAGAAAATGCAGGGACCGAGAAGGAGAACCCCAGAAAGCAGTGGTCGTCTTCAGAGGCTCTGCACGACAACATCCACGGATGGATAGGTGGCAACGTCGAGGAGGACGCCAAAAACAGCCGCGCATTCCTGGGCCACATGTCGTACGTTCCCGTCGCGGCCTTTGATCCCATCTTCTGGTTCCACCACTGGTAAGAGCGCCGTCCTCCTCTTTTAATGACGACGTGGTAGCAGCCCTAACCAAATCCCCAAAGCAATTGCGACCGGATGATTGCAATCTGGCAGACGCTGCACACGGACACATGGTTCGACGGGACCAGCCCACGGGACGAAGACCCCGGCAGCTTTTATATCAAAAAAGGCCACAAGGACACGCCCGACGACGAACTGCGTCCGTTCCGCAAGAACGAACAGGGAGAGTACTGGACGTCGACCGACTGCAAAGACGTCGCGGCGCTTGGCTACACTTATCCGCTGCTCGAGAAGTGGAAGTACGTCGACGCCGATGGCAACTACGCCCGGGCGGTGCACCTCGCGGCCCTCAACAAGGAGCTCAACGAGACGTACAATTCCGCGCGCGCTGCCGCCATCAAGGCTGAGGTGTCTCCCAGCGGAACCGCCCCCCTACCCCTGCCCAACATCTTCGCCAAGATCGACGCGAAGGAGCTCAACATCGACGACCAGCTCGTCGTGAACGACTACGCCGTGAACGTCATCTACGAGAAGTGCGTAACCCACTCCCATCCCACACACCTGGCTCTCTAAGAAAAAATTCCCGACAGCTAACCCACGACCTCCAGGTTCGACCTCGGCGGCGCGCCCTTCACGATAAGCATCTTCGTCGGGCGGGTACCTACGACAGTGCCCTACAGCTACCAGGAGGCCGAGACGTCGCTGATCGGCGAGGTGTACAACTTCAGCACCGAAGCCGAGGAGCTCGGGAGCAGCAGCGAGGGGTGCGGCAACTGTCGGCAGCAGCAGGCCGCGTCGGCGCTGTCGGCGGGGCGCGTGGTGCTGACCAACGCGCTCATCACGCGCTGGAAGGCCGGCATCGTGCACCACGCAGACCCCAGTGACGATGGCGCGGCCGCCGGAGACGACTACGTGCCCGTGCTCCACAGCATGGATCCGGCTGACGTGGTGCCGTTCCTGCGCGCCAACCTGCACTGGCGCGTCGTGTCGTCCACGGGCGCCCTCGTCAATGTCGCGTCGCTCAGGGTGTCGCTCGTCGTTGGCAGGGCTAAGCACTTTGTGGCCGACGTGACCAGGCCGTCGGTCTTTTCTGACTACAAGCCTGCGTATAGTGTCACTGCGGGCCGGCCCAATGGCGCCGCGCCCGAGGACGAGCTCTACACGCATGGTGTGTGCTATGACGGGGCGCACGGAGAGGTCGAGTAGTTAGGGGTAGGATGTGCCTCGGGCGCCGTAGACTGGCTTCTCGTAAAAGGTTGCTTCAGTACTTTTCCTCAATTCGCTCCATAGTTGCAGAATACAAATCCAATGTTTCAAACCGCCTCTTCATCTCGGGTAGTCGTCCTCCTCCACGCCCAACGCAACACCCACCACAACACCAACCATCACAACACCAACCACCACAACACCAACCATCACAACACCAACCATCACAACACCAACCACCACAACACCAACCACCACAACACCAACCACCACAACACCAACCACCACAACACCAACCACCACAACACCAACCACCACAACACCAACCACCACAACACTCTCCCCTGCCCAAACCAACCCGAATTACCCACCCTACTCCGCCACTTGGCCCTTGGAGAAACAGCACCCCCCGTGATCGCTCCAAAAGCAGCCCGCATGGTCACTGCAGAAACAGCCCATATTGTCACTGAAGAAACACCCGGCATTGCTGCTGAAACAGCACCCCGAGTTCGAACTAAAACAGCATCCGCCCATGTCGCTGAAGCAGCACCCGCCGCGCGTGCTCATGCAGCACCCCGGCGCCGCCTCGAGCGCCGCCCGCGTCGCCGGCGCCATGTAGAAGGTGCGTGCTTTCGCTGCTGCTGCTGCTGCCACCGCGACGGCCTCGGCTTCCTCGGCTGCTATCGGCGTGCCAGTCGCGTTCATCGGCGGTGGCGCTTTGTAGCCTGCTCCTTGCGCAGCAGCTGGTCCTGCTGGTGTCCAGGAGTGGGATGTGGTTGATGGCTGGGCCGAGGTGGAGGAGCGGAGGTTTTGGAGTGGTGTGTTTTCGTTTTCGCTCTGGCTGGACGAGGCCGAGGAGAATGAGGAGACACTGTGACGTGATATGGGCGGCAGGGTGTTTTGCTGTTGTCGCTGTTGCTGCTGCGAGGTGGACAGCGACACGGACGCCTCGTACGACGGCGGCGGCGGGAGGGCCTGTGTGTCCGCGGCTGACATGCCGTCGTCGTTGTACTCGTGGTCGTCGGCTACCGCGGTTGTGAGCTGCTGTCCGTTGCGGTAGTTGGGCGTCATGGTTGCCAAGGGGTCGTCACGGGGTTTGCTAAGTTTCCCCATCGTCTGATGTTCTGAATCTGCCACAATGCTCGGGAGTTCTGGATAGTAAGGCGGCGGAACTTGTTATTCACTGCAGTGCGTATTTTGGGGGATCAAAATAGTTGCCGTGACACTGGCATATATGGAGGTGTGGCGTAAGTTTAAGTGAAATGCCGAGTGCAGCTGAAGGGCCATGACGTGGTGCCATGACTATCAGCGGCCTTATGAGGTGACGTTGGAGCTCGGATCGAAACCGACGGGAGGGAAGGATTCGTCACCCCACTGTTTGGCGCTGGTGCTGAACGCGTGGCCCTTGGCGCTCTTTGTCCAATCCAGGCGTCGGCTCGACGCCCCCTCTTCAGCGGCCTACGGATTGAATTCGGCCGGGCTTATCACAACGTAATTTGGCCAGTTCATGGAATTTCCGGTACCTTGATTTGGTGAGCATTTAGTTTTTTCGGAGCCTCTCACGAGAATCATTTTACCAACAAACTTGCACGCTGACTTGTCGAAGTGCAAGCAGCATTCAATGAAAGTCATTAGCCGAGGTTATTGCCGGCTTTGTCTAATTACCGCCATCAAATACTATTAGACTAGCTACGAAGTATGCACCCTTATAGAGGCCATAACTAAGGCGAGATCTTCGCTGGGTCGAATAAAGGAACTGAGGCCGCCGTGAAGCTGTAACTAGTAGCCTATAGATAAGAAGCAACGTCCCCGCGCCCTGATCCTATGCAGTCCCGAATCCTGCGCTAGCTCTGCTTGCTGGTAAACAGCTAGTGCTAACTACAGATGGTTACGGTCTCGGGAGCATGTCCTAGTTCAATTGATTCTTCCGGCTGCCAAGGTGATTGAGCTAGTACCCACAGAGGTGCACGAGAGCTGGTTGGTTCTGAAAACTCTGCTATACCTGCTACCCACTTTGGCTTGCTTGAGTGTTTACAACCCCGCCCAGCAACACTTTCAGTAACCGAGCCACCGACAAAGACGCGCGCGCGCCTTGACGTAAACAGGGTGACGATGCACGAGAGCTTGGTGGAGACATACCCTCCGGTGCTTTCAGCAGTCCTGGAGGGAATATTGGCGACGGACAAACGATTCAGCCTGTCGTATCGCGAGATTTTGTCAACCTTTGAGTCGCACGAGCGCGTGCTGGCGGCAGCGGGACACGAGTTGCCCAAAGATGGGAGTCTTCCTGTCCAGCTCCTGGAGCAGGCTCGCGCGGTGCGTCGACGGGCCCTGGATGCCGCAACGCTTAACCTCGGGCCCGACGACTACGCTATCATCACCGGAGAACATATCTATCCTTCTGATACGACACCCACACAGTCTACTCCCGTCAACCCGCTGTTCGAAACGCATCGACTGTGGGGGTACGAAACCGAACAAGACATGCTAGACACGGAAAAGGATGGCCTCATGTTCATCCTGCCGCAATTCGTAGTCCGAGCTGCCAGCTTCTCGTTTGAGCAAAGACAGCTTATGGAACTCACCGGGGGTTTCTTTTTTGGCCGGCGGCTGGCCATGCGCAACGTCGTTGCGGGTAACCCGTTCGGCTCACTCGCGGATTTCCGATTCTTTTCGTTGGGTCCCCTCGACATGGCAAAGGGACAGTGGACTATCAATCCGCTCACCGAGACGCTCTGTCGCGAGCTGCACAGCTTTGTCCGTCTCCGCGGCAAGTGCGGCTGGTCCGTCGCTGACCTGGACATCGCCATCTGCTCCCTGCTCGAGAACCGGAGCCGTGCCAACGGCGGCACGCTAGGCTTCTTCGACGGTGATCGGGGCATGTCAGCCGAGCTCGTGGGCGGCCTAGCCGATGCCGCTCGCCTGGGACAGCTGATCAACAAGCCAGTGGCGCAAATTCTCCCTCTATGGGGGGATATCAACATGCACGGTGACGTCTCGCTGTACCGGAAGCTATTTCTCAGTAGCCCCGCAATGCAACTGCTGGGGGGCGACACCTTCACAAGCTACCTCCAAAGCGTCCCCCCACTCAGTCTCCACGCCAACTTCCTCCAGGCTGTGCTGAAGGTTACGGCGCGTGGGCTAGAGGGGCTGCTAGGGGCGGCCAGACTGAAGCCGGAAGACAGCACCACCATCGGTAGCCTTTCCTCGCTCTATCGGCACTCCCTGCTTTGCCAGATGTTGGACATCCTGCCCGAGGGCCTCGGGGCAGCTCTCCAATCCTTCCCGACAACGGCCGAGTTCTTCACAACCCCTCGTGCAACTCTTGACTTGGTAGAGGCCTGGAGGGGACTGCTCGAGAAGGAGTGGTCTGCTTCGGACATCTTGAGCGCCATCAATCCGGCGGCAGCTCGCCCGCCCGCCGGCTCGAGCACCAGCAAGGCAACATTGAGCGACGACGAAACGCAATTCTTCGCGAGTGGCAGCAGAAACCCCTTGCTGCTAAATGTGGATCCAAAAACACCCCCGACGCTCGCCGACCTCGTCGCACTAGAGTCGTACCGGGGGCTAAGAGACTCGGCAGCAAGAACACCAGCCTCAATCCCCGATCTTGTCCAGACCCTGTCAACCCGGCCTCCTTCCCAGGCGGCCGACATTGCATCGCAATTCGCGGCTGCTATGCACTGGCCAGAGGCTCGGCTGCACCAGGTCCTCGTCGCGAAGTATCCCGACGTGTCCGCCGAGCACATATCCAAGCGCCTGCAGGATCTCGACGAGCTCGTTTCTCTGGGGCGCGTCATGGAACTGCTCCTCCGCAAGGTCGACCCGGCCGTGTCTGTATCGCTGCTCTTCCAGATGGGCACCCCTGCAGCCCCCGACTCATTGTCTAGTTCCTAGGGTACATAGCCTGCAGTTATTTGTACACAGCCTGCAGTTATTTGCGTTGCTATTTTAGCGAGATTTTCCCAACGTTTGACTGGACGTTTTGAAGATGAGGAGGCGCGACGAGGCTAGGGCTAACCGCGAACGTAAACGAGAGTTCATCTGCAATCTAAGAGGGTGAGTACTTAGTAGACAATCACGAGAAAGCTCGAAATTCGTGATTTGCAGTGTATTTATTCGTCTCTGACGCGTTGTGAAAGTCAATTGTGAGGCTATTGTCACGGCATGGCGCATTGTGGGTTCCTTATCGGGTCCCTTATCGCTAGCCGTGTGACATCATTTCTAGACTAAGCCTGAGTAAGCTTAGTCCCTTAGTCACGTGCACGGAACCCCGCGCCCACAAACCCTCAATCGCAGCCTTCGCGATTCTTTCCCCTTTCCTTTCCCTTTTTCTTCTTTAGCTTAGTTTTACACTTGATCAATCCGGTATTTTGTTGGCATAGTCCTTCATTTCCTATTATCCGTAACAGCTATACGCATAGAGTCTGTTCCCAGCTCGCCGTTCCAAGCTCGCCGTTCCCAGCTCGCCGTTCCCAGCTCTCCGTTCCCATGTTGCCTGTAATTACTCGGAACGCCAAGAAATTCAGCTAGGGCAAAGACACCTGAACCGCGGCGCTGTGGATTTGTAACACTTGGTTCCGAGTCCTTAATAGGATATAGGTGTTACTCGTTACGAGTCGCGTTGGTAGAGAGCAGAGAAATCGCTCACAAGTGCGATCAGGCCAGCAAAAGGGCCTGTAATTGGGATGGCGCTGGTGATTTTGGTGTGGTCGAAGTGACCGGGACCATGTTTTGAGTTAGGCCGTTACGTCTCAGTTCAGGCACCTCGGACCCAGCCACGCGCTGGCCCTAGCTCACACGCCCCTGCGAGAAACAGCGGCGCCACCCACCCCAACATTGTTATCGGGAAATCCCGGAATCGCCACACTTGACCCCCAGGCAGTATTTCCCAGCGACGTTGAGACCTTTGAAGGCGAGCAAGTAAAGCGAATCCTGCTCGTGGCAGGCATTTCCATGGTACGATATCCAGGGAGCGTTTTCGGGCGTGGTCGGTGGCTGATACGCCTGCCAATGTTGGAGATCTGCCCACCGTCCGGCCAGCATCTGATCGAACAGCTGATGGCACCTTCCAGAAACCCGTCGACGTCAGCGGAAGGCCGGGTGGGCCAACTTTAAACTCGGAAACGTGTGGGAGGTCGCTTCTTTATATGTCGCAGCGAATTGGTAATTCCCTTTTATTACCCCTCCTCAATTCTCTCTTTTATATACCTCTTTCACATTCCACAAGTACATTACCAGTATAATTCCGTCCGTTGAAACGGCTCTCTCACACAACTCCAACCACATCTGTACAGGGTAGTTACAGGCACAGACAGCAGCCAATCGGCATCCCTGAGCGGCATCCTCCCCTGTTTGGACCCCTGTACACCCGCTTAGTCAAGACCCGCTCGCGCTCCAGGTCTTTGGGTTACGGTCTTCCAAGATGGTCGACGTCGCAGAACACCACCAGCAGTCGATGTATTGCCATGGCTGCCACTTCCAGTGGCAGACCGAAGGACAGGGTATCGAATGCCCTTCGTGCAAGAGCACGTCAACCGAGATTGTATGCTCACAGCTACAGCTGCAGATTGCAGAAGACGCAGCAGATTGGTCGCGGCAGCTACTGACGGAAGCCCTGCAGGTCACGGCTGACAACCACCCACATCATTTCCACAGCGGGCAACAAGAGCCTGCGTCGGCACCTCGACCCACGCCTCCCCAGAACATGGAAAACACGGATGGCCCGGCTCCCTCTGGTTCTCCCGACTCTTCCGACACTCCTACGTCTACCACAGATAATTCCATAAGGCAAGATACCGATCACGATGCAGCAAATGGCTCAGAGGGCCACGGCACCAGCGCTGACAGCGCCGCCGATGAGCATGCTACTGACGATGGCCGCCATGACCGCCCTTTCTTTGGTCACCCTTCCTACATGCACCACCATTTCATGATGCAGCCCACCTTCTTTTTCACGACCTTCACCCAGGGAGCTGGGCCGCAAATGATTACCATGCAGTTCTTCCAATCCGGAGGATATCATGTGCGTGCCACGGCTGATGACGATACCCCCGCCGAGCAGCATCAAGGACAGGAATCGCAAACCCAGTCGCAAACCCAGCTGCAGGATGGAGCAGCTCCACAATCGCCCTTCGCCCCGGATTCTCCCCTCTTTGGGCCCAATTCTCCCATCGCGGGCGGTTTCTTTGGCGCGCTCATGTCGCTCTTCAATCCCGCCAACTTCAACCCTGCTAACGCCATCTTTGGCGATGCCGTCTACTCTCAGGAGGCGTACGATCGAATCATGACGCAGCTGCGCGACCAGGTCGCACCCGGCGGCGCGCCCCCGGCTTCCAAGACGGCCATCGATCACCTTGAGGACAAGGAGGTCGACGACGTGATGCTCGAGGGTGATGGCGACGGCAGCACGCGTTGCGTCATCTGCGTCGACGAGATGGTTAAGGGCGAACAGGCTTCGGTCCTGCCCTGCAGCCACTTCTTCCACGGCGACTGCGTCAAGCCCTGGCTTGAACAACACAACACCTGCCCCGTCTGCCGGCATTCCATCGAGGAGGACGTCAAACTCCCGACCAAGATTGTCGACGACGTGCCAGAGCAGCCAATCTACCATCACGAAGCCACCGCCGGCACAGATTGTCTTTGAGGGCTGGGCAGGCCGCCCTTTGAAGGGCTCTTTTTCATGTTCTTGTTTCTATACTTGTTTTAACTGGCCAGTCACGGATATATCTTTCTCTCGGCCAACCGCCGCGGCGAATGGCGTTCCCGCGTGGGGGCTTGCATTGCATTGCTTTTTCTGCTCTCTGAAAATTTTATGAGAGCCATGGGTCGCGCACAGCACGATACTACGATTAGGATTCCGCGGGGGATGCTGGACCATGCTCCATCTACAGTCGGGAAATGGGAATAAAAGGGAACAATGAGGGTTTACGCGTAGGCTTCTGGCGCCTCCGGCTTAGAAGCGCGGCGTTATATGGGCGTTTGGTACACCAGGGCATGACCATATTTATGACCATATTTGTCTTCTTGTTTTCTGAGAGGGCTGGCGTTTGTCACGGGGGTTATACCAAAATTAGCAGCATTCACACATGCGCATAGGCATCACATTAGCTTACCTACTTGCAGGCAGGGGTTTTGTGCGACTACAACAGAAGGCTTTGTAGAGGCATGGGACAATAGGAAAAACCCTGTCCAGAGGACAATATTACTGCGAAACTTGAAAAAAATTACCATGTGAAATTGATAAGACGCCTTATAGCCTTTCCGGATTGGCTAACCTATTTAGAAAAGTGGACCCGATTTCTCAGTCACATCAATATGGGCAGCCCCTATCACGTGCCTATCTGCCATTCGGTCAGCACACTTTCTAAAATTGATGCAAACGGTATCATTATGTGTATCGCTCTACGGAAATTTTGAATCTAAAGCCCGATTCGTATTATAAGGGAAATTGGCTGAGATATAAGCGTTTAAATGCTTTCTGGCGTGGTGGGGCGTGCGTAAAGGTGGGCTTGCGCACGTAACTACGCGAATTGCCCTTCAACCCCGCGTCGAATTTCCTCGCCCACCCCACAATTGCTTTTCTTTTTCCAATAATTATTCGTATCGTAATACCTTCGACGAACCTTACAATCTACCCGCTCTTCGTAGCTAACCTCCTTTCCTCTATAGTACCGTTTTGCCTATTATGGCCAGGTTATTCGGTATCTATAGCGGACGCGGCGGAGGCGGTTGCCCGTAAAGTTTGCCACACCTGCGGCGTTGAGAAGGACATCGACCAATTCCGGTCGTTCCGAGGCCCTCGACGGATCGTCCTTAATTATGCGGATTGCCGTAATCGCGGCAGGTAGCAGGTAAGTCTATTAGACCTATCTTCCTTGGTTTCCTTGCTAACTTCATTCCTAGAGAGCCGCGTTGAACGTAAGAGTTTCTGCAGCTGCTGCCGTAACCCGCGGACAAAGTCCCGCCCTTGCGCCTCGCCAGAATCTCACCTTTCGTTTGATAAGTCGGTATTCTTAACCACAGTCCAACGGCAACAGGGTGAAGACCAGGCTCTATTCCGGTAAGCCGTGAAAGAATTACGGCAGGCCAAAGTATCTGTTTCGTCGTAGGAGCTTCTCACGTCGAGATGTGCGATCAAACTGCCTCCGGCTCAGGTTAAGGCTTTTGATAATGCCCTCCGCATCTTCCCCATCAAGGCGCAGGTCAACGAATACAACCATCAGCACCTCCTAGGCCTACGAAAGGCGGTTGTGCAGGTGAACGAAAGCGTAGGCGTGTGACGGCCCGCCTTACGCAGTAGGGATGTCAATGGTTGAAGGGAGCAACGAATGTGGGTTTAAAGCTAAGGAAGAGAAAGGAATCTATCGCGGGGTCCGCGCAGGGCGCGGAGAAATAGGTAGTGGTGCTCAGTGCGCACAGGCCACACACAATGCAGCCAATAGAATCAATCCTGTCACATGAGCCCTGTGGCGACCGTGACAAGGCGTAGAGAGAGTCGAGTCCTCCAACGCTAGCAATCTAATCAAACGATTACCTCTTTATATTAGTTGCCGGGTCATACTAACGAGGAACCTCTAGGCCAACGTAGGCTTGTGAACGGTGCCCAGGGTACTTACTATATACGACATCTCGTGGGCTGAAGGCGCTAACGTGCTGGAAGACCCACCGCAGGTTATTATAGTTACGTTTGATAACTATATTGGGCCGCCGTTCCTGTTACCTAGCGAAGAAGAGTTTCGTAATAGGGCTAAGTTGGTGGTTCCTATCCTGAGGGTTAAGCAGGAGTTTGTTCCTGGGGCTGGCACTGGCTACCGTGAGTAGTTTCCACTGCTTGTTTGCTACGCAATCACAATATATAAGTCACAGGGCGTTACTCTCGATAAGGTGGTTGATGCCTGATTGAGCGAGGGAGCGCCAAGACAAGGTCATATGACCGGCACGTGTAATTTAAGTACATAGGTACATAGGGAAGCGGGGCTTACCCTGACGCGGTTAGACCGCGTCTGCCCCACCAAAGGACCACATTAAGGTCCTCGGCAGGGCAGTGCTCCCGAGCTTCCTCCCTCGATCATCAATTTACCTACCTTTTCACGAATAGCCTACCGCATTCCGTGATCTAGGTGACGATCACCCTTCAGTGGTTTATGATATCTCCGCGCCAGAGTTCGCGTCCGGCCTATCGTACGTAGCAGTTTCCAGGGTCAAGACCTTAGATGGCTTAATGATTGAGTCGCCGTTTGATCGGAGTAGAATATACCGCGAAGTGCCGGCACAGAGTATACAATTGAAGATAGCGGATTACGAGGCAAGGAAATTGCAGCTATTAGATCCATAGGAATATAAGGTTGACTCGAGCGATATGAGCGAGTATATAACTAATAGCTCTATTGTATAGATGTAAGATTTAGTTGTGTAGGTTTAGCCATCTTAAAAGAAAAGATCTCTAGAGCATCGGAGTTGTTGGCCTCCGGACAGGATATTGTCGCTTCGCTTGCTCTCTACGTTATCTAAATAAGCTAACTATCGCGCTCTAAATTGCCAGGAGCGAGAGAGAGGAAGGAAGCGTCCCGTAGAGCAGCGAAGGGTCACGCGACTGACGAACGAAGCGACGCCAGCAATTTCAAATCATTGTTTCTCTATTTTGTGGTTTAAATATTTATAGATTCTCGTACGTATTACTGCTCTTGAGACTCCGGCTATCTCATTTGATAAGTGGAAACGCTGAGATGTGAGATGTCAGGCCCTTGGCTTCGGTGCGTAACTAATGGTTTGATGTCGATTCCTGTGGCTGTTTCTTCGAACCGCCTCGAAGCGCCAAGCCAATCACGAACTGCCCAGAAAGCTCGGTGCTTATTGGCCTGCGGTGTTCGTTCATTACTAGACCCTAACTAGCCCTACCAGGTGAAGCAGGTAAATTGGAGTCATTTCGATTCCCCCTTTTCAGTTTATCACCGAAGGCATCATGTTATCATCTTAACTTCACACTTCTTCCTCCAAGGGAAACGTTCATCACAACACAACACACCCGTATTGTCGATATCCTCAACGACCACTTTTTTCTCTATTTGCGAGAAAACCTTGGCTAACACGGATTCAAATTCTCCATGTAACTGAACTGTAAAACAGACAGCCCTAGGAAGCGTATCCCTGTCTTGCAGGTATTTGCCTACGACGCACTTGGGCACAGCGGGGTGGGCGTGGCCTTCATGTTGACCGAGTTCACCCCCGGCCGACACAGCGACGGACTCGTTTAACGAGTAAGATGTCCACCCGGGGGAGATCCAGGGACAAATTTTACGCTGGCCTTGCAGACATCCAAATCCAGCTGTCGTCTGTGCGCTTCGACAAGATCGGCTCCGTCGTCTACCGTGATGGACAGTTCGACGTGGGGCCAATTCCCGGCCTCGGTGGCCCGTTCGCCACTGCAGCGGCATGTCATTTCGATCCATAGCTTAGGTGCGTTGCATGGTTGAGTGCCGAAGATAAATGACCTCTTGTTCGGTAACGTGGCGTCTAGCTCTCTCGGCATTCGTCTCGGCCTCAGCCTGCGCGATTCGCGTCGCTGAGTCGCGCTCAACACCCACAAGCGCACACTATGTTGCCACCAAGCAATTGCGAGGGAAGCGCGAATCCCAACCACGCAAAGACGACCGCGCGCGGGGCCCAGATTACTAATGTGCCATGCTGAGGGGCATCTGGGCAAACTGCATAGACTGTAACCGTAGACATTGCCGACGTTCTGGCCACTCTCGTGACAATTATAGTTGTCAAGTCCATGGTCTTCCTGCCAAAAATGCTGATCAGTGTACGCGCGCGTGTGCGTGTGTATTTGTGTGTTAGTGTGTTAGTGTATCAGTGTTACTGTGTATTCAAGCTGGACTTGGAACATGTTCGCGAGGGAGATTCGAAGGACTGGCCATCTGGGGTCATATTTGCATTCTTGGGAGCGTCCAACTGCACCTTCCAATTTAGATTCACTTCAGGCACCTTTGGTGGGTGGTAGTTTCCAATCCATTTTGGCGCGCGCGCTTTGATCTCGACTGGCAGGAACGATATTCCCCGGTCGTCATCTATTGGAAAGAGCATCTGCTTAGAGCGCTTGTGGCAAAGAGATGATTTACATGACTACCTAATTTGTCAATTCAATAAAAATTTTTGTGAACGACTGTAGATGACTTACCTTTCCCTAATCAGGTTCGCTGCTTAACTATCTCTTGCGCCGATGTTGACGCATCCATTTCTTGCGGGCGAATTGTAGAGGCTTCCATTTCTCGCGGGGGTATCGGCGAGGCATCAAATTCCCCTGGCGGTGTCAATTGGTCACTGTGCAGTTGCGCTTTATCGTAGATTGGGTCTGCAGACTCGGAGCGTACTATTGACTCCGCAGCCAAACGATTTTTTCGGCGACGAATCCAATAGGTAAGGGCCCCGAGTATCATCGTCAATCCTACGATCGACCCTGTTGCTGCACCAGCAATCAAGCTATTTCTCGACCCTGACAGAGTCGCCGCCGTGCTTGTCTCACCTAATAAGTTGTTTAGGACCATATCTGATACACTGGTATTCGCCTTTGATAAAATAGGGAGCTACTCACTGGTCGAGCCTGCCGTAATGGTTGTGGTATATGTTGCAACGGTGGTGATCTTAAAGGCAGACAAAATCGGCACCATCTCAATGAAAGTAGAGTTATAGGCGTCAGTACGGCCGTCTGAGAGTGTTCTCGAAACCAAGCTAGTGGTGGTGTGATAGGTGAAATAACTTGAGGCTAGGGTCGACGTGTGGAACTATTCTCCAGTTGCATTGCAGTAAGTCAGGTGGGGGACTTTTGGAACACCCCTGCCTATGGAACAGCCCCTGAATCGGACCCCGCACAACACCACAAACTTCAATTGCCTACAACTTTGTCAATTAATTAGCTACAATGATGAAGTCTTCAGTATCGGATTTTCCTGATTCTTCTCTTTCAGAATAACTAAGGTCCTCTCTGCCAGCCTCTCTCTGTGAGGCACGAACCTCCTCAATTCCAGCGAACTGCGTATTAGGGTCGACTTGGACCTTCCTTCTCTTTCGGCCTCTTGTGCGTTCTAGGCTTTTTTCTGCAGCCTCCAATTGATGCGCCGTATTGGCTAGTTGGAAAACCACGTAATCGAAGGCTTTTGCGGCCTTGCGTATGAAAAGTCGGTCGTTGGCAGTCCGTTTCTGGCCGGCTAGAAAAACCTGCCCCTGAATACGGAAATCCTTCGGCTTTTTAGGGGTAAACCATATAGGCCGGCCCTCCGAATTCTTATTTAGAATGGGGTTATGGACCTCTTGAAGGTCTATAGAAACCGTAGAGGTCAGTTGACCAACGTCGCCGTCAGAATTCTTAATAACAAGGCCGTTGCTTAGGGGCTTCCTGAGGCTGACCGGCCAGAGGCCTGTAGCTTTCCAGCCGGCTTTGATATTAGATTCAGTCATTCCATAGACCCTGGCTTGCCGGTAGCATTCTAGGAAGGCCCTCTTTTCAGCAACAATGCCTTCGTCGAAGCCGGAAACAACCTCGTTATGCTTGGCTCTGTACCGGGCTTTTAGAGGGCTGAAAACCGATAAATCCAGGGGCTGGAGAACGTGGGAGGTGTGGGCTGGTAGAAATAACAATTGTACGTTGTTAGAAAAGGCTAGCCACATGAATTCTTCGGTGGTATGACTACCGTGGCCATCTAAAATAAGGAGGCGCTTCTCCGAGGGGGTAGCTGGCCGAGTCTCTGGAAGAAAGATATTGCAGAGCCATGCGACGGCAGTATCATCGTCAGACCAGCCGTTTTCAGTGGGTTTCCACTTCCAGCCCTTAAATGGCTGTAAATCGCGTGGATACCATTGTTGTTGAAGGCTTCCACCTTTGAAAATGACGACTGGGTTCAAATACCGGCCGTCAGCGGAAATACATTCGATAATCGAGGTCCAAATTCGGTCTCCTTTCTTCTTTTTCTGGAATTTCTTTCTTTCCTTAGATCCAACAACCAGGCGGTTATCTCCAATGCCAGAAGCAATGCCAGTTTCATCCATATTATACCTATGCTTGGCTGGAATAGCCTCCACGCCTGGAGGCTTCAAATAGTCAAACCAAGGCCGGATAACGGCCTCACAGGCTCGATCAGCACGGTTTGCATGGATTCTCCGAGGCCTAATTGTAGAAATAGATGGATTTCTAGCCAAAAACCGGCTAGTCCAGCGTTTTCCGAGGGTCTCGTTATCTTCGAGCATTCTTCTAGCTAGTTTCCGAATTTGGGCGTGGGTTGGAGGGTGACCGAGCGACCCTTGGAATACAATCCATTCGGTTAAGCGTTCTTCCATAGCCGGAGAAAGCTTTTGATTAAGAATTTGGGCCTTGGAGGCTGGCTCGGAACCACGAACCCGATTAAAGAGAGTAGTAGGGGGGATGCCGTGATTTTCAGCAGAGCTACGGAGTAAGCCGGTTTCTGCATACTCTGCCAGCGCATTCTGCAAATCCAACTGCGTATATCGCTTCATCTTTCATTTCTCAATTGAATGGAGAAAAGAAGATAAGTATTGAAGCAGAATTGGTCAAGTTGCAAGCGATTGAAATAGGTGAGTTGGGTGGCGAGCGGCAAGTCCTTGATGACAAACCTTGTTCCAAATCCAGGGGTGTTCCATAAGCAGACCACCTGACTTAGTCCACAAACTGCTTGAGGGACGACGCATTGTTGAAGTCTGTCGTGCTGAGATTTGCGTTTTCCGTAATACACTGCTCGCAAGCGGTGTAGTAGAGCTCAAAGCCAGAGTCCGGGAGGCATAACTCCGGCTTCTTCCCAATCGTTTGTGCCTTGATATAGGCATTGTCTACAGCAAAGCCGGTTAAAGAATAGTAAATATTAGTATTTCTGTCTTGGAGAACATACTGCACATATCATAGCAGACTGCTGGTACGATATCTTCGGACATTCTGAAAATTTCCCCGGTCTGGGCCGTGGTGGCGTGAGATGCGTCAAATCACTTGGCGGGTGACTGATCTAGTGACTGGTGACGCCGCGGGAGAATGTCAAAAAGGTTTTAAGAGACAGTTGATTCTGCGGACAGCACTTAATTAAGGCACGATAGGTAAGCGGGATTTTCGGCAGCGCTTTTTTTAGGTTCCTAGATAAGGACTGTGCAACACCGGAAAATTAAACCAGCTGAAGCAAGAGCATGCACTGCCCCTCATCTCTGCCGTATTCATTGAAAATGCAGGGGGTCGGTGAAGATGGTACGAATGGGATGCATTATCAATTTCTCCAAATTGCAAACAGTGAGTGAGTTTGGGGGCTAAGCTGTAATTCCCAGGAACCTACACCTTCAGCTACTTTACTGATATTACATTTGCCAAAATAAGAGCATCCGCTCTTGCACCGCCCTTCGTCCTTGGACCCCAGAAAAATTTGCGCGCTCTCGTGTGGATCCCGGACTTGCCCGGAAGTGTAATTTTTCAGCATCACCAGTTCGTAAAACTTGGACGTGATTCACATGAAGCGGTCTAGACTCCGTTCCTGCAAGCCATATAATCAGCCGCCTCCGGTGTTCGAAAGCTTAGGAGCAAACGTAAACGGGCACTAGGACAGTGATCAACGGGAGACGACTCGGCATTGTGGCAAACGTCGAGGCCTGCAGATTGGCGCATATATCCCAACGACAGTTGATGCTCACGGTCCCGGCGATGCTCACGGTCCCGGCGATGCTCGGCCCGCAGCGATTGGAGATGCTATTAGCCGGCGAGGTCATCTCTAGAAACTCGAGGAGGGCGACTTTTTTGTTGGTTCTGTGTAGATTGTAGGCAAAGGCAACAACGTCGCCGGAAATCTTGGACACGAGCCCATTCGTCGTAAAGCTGACTCTGCCCAGATCCCTGACTGCCAACACGGCGGCGTGGCGGCTGTTTGGTTTGACCTTGGCATCACATTTGTACCACACCTGGCGATTGACTCTCTTATGTTTATCAACCATGCCAGCGGGTGCCGCGAGCTCGTTGTCCGGGTCCCGGGTCCCGGGTCCCGGGCTGCCAGCCTGTCCGTCTCGCGTGCCGCCTCGTTGCGGTAGGCCACGTTGCAGCCGTTGACGACTCGTGCACGGAGATGGAAGCCGTCAAATGCGAGAAGCAACGTGGCCAGGGTTGAGACGCCGATCAGAACATTGAAGAGGGTCGTGCTAAGATGCATTTTCGGAACGCCGGGTGAGATCTCGATGCGCGTGGTTGGTGGGTGTTGTGTGGGAGAGACCTCGAGGCTCGGTGGTATCGATGCAGTTAGTTTGATGAATAGGTGAGGGTTACTGGCTTGAAATTGATGTCGCGGGAAGACACATGATGGAAGAAGAACGAGGAGGAGAGCAAAGGGGCCGAGCTACTTTAAATTCATCCTTACAACCTTTGCGATGCAAGCTTCGCGACTCTGGTCGTCTTGTCCATTATCCAATGCTGGCCTCGTCTCTTGTCCAAGATACGGCTTGGAGGGCTGGTTCCGAAGGCTGGTCCCGAGGCCTCCAGGCCGGCGGCGGAAGATGGGACCAGGCACATGCACCAGCTTCGGTGCCCCGTCGCGTGGTCGCTGGTGTTTGGGACTGTTCAGCGTTGTTCAAGAAATTTTTCGAGGGCGCGAGGAGCAATTATGGTAAATGGTTCCGAGGCGGTGGATTGGCTGGACGGTGGACCAAATCAACGGATAAAACGCCATGCCCACCCAACAAGCATTAACACGTTCGCTCGTTGCACTAGCCGTGATATCTACATATCTACCATTTACAAGCCACACTACCTATTCTATCACTATCTCGTCCATTGCCGCGGTCCTTAATCCTTGACAGTTAACATCCCCTCTCTCCAGGCTCCCCGATTATCTCCAGCGGTTTTGCCGAGGCAGACTCGAGCCCTTGCGCAGGTGCCACTGGGGGCGGGGCGGCTTCTAGTTCCTGGGCGGGTGACGGCGATGCTTCCAGTTCCTGCGCGGGTGACGGCGATGCTTCCATCTCTTTTGGCCGCGTATTTTCCGTCAGCCCATCGAGTTCCTGCCGAGGAATCGACGAGTCCCCGTGCAGTTCTAACTGCTCTTTATTCCGGTTCAGATCTGGTTCTAGAACCTCAGCGATGATGGACTGTGCAGACGCTCGTTTCTGCTTGCGGCGACGAATCCGATACAGCAGGGCCCCGAATATCATGGCCGCTCCAGCAATTGAGCCTGTTGCTGCGCCGGCAATCCACGCGCTTCCCGACCCCGACGGAGTGGGCGTTTGAGTAACAAGAACAGTTGCAGTGGTTGGGACTGCGACCGTGGTTGGACTTGGGACCGTGGTGGTGAATGTAAACGCGGACATGATTGGCACCAGCGCAGTCGTGGTGGAGTGATATGTCGCAAATAGACCATATGACTCGGTCGAAAGCTCCGTAAGAGTCTTTGTTGATAAACTGAAATACTGTGCCGATGACAGAGTCAAAGAAAAGTCAAGCTTTTCTGCGGTTCCGCTGCAATATAGCGAGTACTGCCCAAACTTGGCATCCAACTCGGACGCGGCGACAGTAGCATTATTGCCAGACGTGTTTCCATTCACACAATCCACGCATGCCGTGTAGTAGAAGGCGAATGCCGATGATGGGTCGCATATTTCTTGCGTTTTCCCAACCATTTGCGCCTCCATTGCGGCAGCATCTGCGACAGACAGGCTTAGTTAAGGCGGTGTTGCCCCAGGCTTGTTCAGTGCAGGAACATACCGCAAACATGATTACAGACTGCGGGTAAAGAACTCATGGTAGATTTTCTCACAATGTGCCGCGGTATGAAATGCACATATTAAGTTGCCCAACTCGTGGGCGAGGCCGAACGCGATGGAATGAGGAGATCGTTTCCAGAGGAAAAGGCAGCCCAAAGACTTCAAGCTCTTGTCCTCACGGGTGGGTGACGGGGTGCATCGTCTTTATTAAGTAGGTGTCCGAGTGCACCAAGTAATTAATTCTAGCTAGTGCCAATTAGCTATCCGGTCAGTTTAGTTAGCACTACAGTCTAGATCAATCAACATGAGTGCACGACAGCCTGGGCGTGCAGCAACCACTCAACCAAGGTACCCAGGCCTGCCCTTGTACGACCACCACTGAGACTGGAGTGGTCACCCAAGATTTGCACGTTGCAAATCTATTAATTATCACCCACCTTGGTGGGAGTGCGCCGGTGCGGCAAGCCTTGCACTGCCTTAGAGTCCACGGGTCTTTGCATGGAGTTGGCCACGTGAAAATTGACAACGCAGCGGCTACATGTTCTGGCAATATATCTCGAAATGCCGTGAGACGTCGCAAAAGACACTCAAAGTAGTCCCCGAATTCCGAAGTCGGAAAAGTTGCGCAACAGGCGGGGCATAAGACGAAGGCCAATTACCTGGGAATTTCACACTTGACAACGCAGACCGATTCATCGGTGTTTCTGAAATAATTATTCGTCTGCATCGCACGCGCTGATAAAGCGTTCATTGTCCACTCCATGATACTGGCTTGGCGGTTCTAAGCGACATGGATTGGATTTTCTGGCCCGTGATTAAAGTTGACAGTGGCTTGAAGGGTCTTGAATTGTCTGTCCAAATCCAATCTAATAATACAGGAAAGAAGGCCTTTTATGCTTCCAAGAAAAGGACAAAGGAAACCTGGTTCAACCGTCTGTTCAGTCGTACTACGTAAGGGACTCAGCCGTAGCAGGGGAGAAAAAGAGGGCATTAAGAAGTCCGGGAGCCCGAAAAAAGGGATCAGGGCTGAAAGTAACGAATGAAGGGATATGCAGGGATATGCAGGCATGTGACTTGACAATGTGGCTCAAAAGTGGCTCAAAAGTGGGCGACAGATTTCATTTAGTGCCTTAATCTGGGAGTGCTAGAGAAGGAGCGACTATAGAGGGAGGTGATCACCAAAATTGCGAAATTGCAGAACGACTAGACCAAAAAGAAGAAAGAAGAAAGAAGAAAGAAGAAAGAAGAAAGAAGAAAGAAGAAAGAAGAAAGAAAAAAAGAAAAAAGAAAAAAAAAGAAAAGGAAACTGCGGATAACCATAACCACACCTCCCCGGTAAACCTTGGTTGCCTTTGAAAGATGCTCTGTTTGTCATCATGGCGTCGTTAGCGCTGCGAGATCGTCTCTACTCCTCTGCCGGCAGCCCATAGTCAGCCCTCGAGGCACCAGCCGCCTTGCCGACCGTCACCTCGGGCAGGGGCTGGTAGTCGTGGTAGTAGGACAGCTTCCCGACCTCGTCGTAATGCTCAGCCTTGCCCTTGAGAATGTACACCTTGGTCTTGGGCAGATTTTCCCAGGGTATGACAATGCCGTCTGTCTGTGCAGGGGAAACACGCAGCGGATTAGCCCCCGCTCATCAGTGACACTATACAGATGTTGGACTATGGTGGAAGCGAAAAGGGAAAAAAAATGCGTACCCTTACGGCAACCCAGCTAAGGTTGTCGGCGAGATGGTCCCGCACACTGTCGGGCTTCAGATTGTGGATCTCGCCGACCCGGGACTCCCTGCGTCCTGGTAAAGCGACACGGTCAGCGGCACCGTGGCGCGCGAGAGCACGCCGTCGTCGTGCTGCTGCTGGCAGTTGGCATTATCGCCTTCTTGGGCGGGTAATACTGGTGCTGCTGCAGTGCGGTGGAAATCTTTGCGAAGTCGAGCGTCTCGATAACTTCGCCCATGAGTTCATAGAGGGTTTGCTAACAACAATCATTGGTTAGCAACTTGGAAGCACACCACCCAAATCGGGGCGGGAAGTCTGGCGTCGGTGTCGGCCCGCACCTTAACAAAGCCATGTATGGACGGTGCCACGTAGGGAAGGTGAGCATGTTGTGCGTGCAATTGATGCTGTGCGTATATCCCTTCCGCCCGTGTGTCCATCCCAATTGACGTTATTGGATGCCCCCCGTGAGCTTCACGGCAGTCTAGAACTTGATATGCAGCCACCTCGCAGCCCCGCTTCTCCAGGTGGGTGTGTTCAGCTAGCCCAACCAACGAACTCTTCCGTCTGGCAGATATCGTCTTGGGCCGAGTGCTGTTTCTGACACGTTGCCGCAGTCCCTGGTTGGCACAACGCCCTTGGGAGTCTTAGACCTTCGGGGATTAAGCACATACGTAATTATTGCGGCGATGCAGCCCGCTCATGACGGGGCTCTGTGATTCAAATGGCTGCCAATCGCGGTGTCCGTTGAATTTGAGAAGTGGTATGACAGCGCCGCCATGTCAATGTCCCTTGATCTCCACCATCTCCGAACGCAATGACGCGTCTGGCACCGTCAGCGTCTCGTCCATCCCGATTCGTTACGAAGAGGTCACCAACATCCAATTCGCCGCTCCCTGCCTCGCCTATGTTAGTCCTCTCGACCCTGGCATAGACCCCGATGCTATGATAGCTAGACTGCATCGCCCAAGAGTCGTAAGGGGTTTTCATGATGTACGACTGGGCCGGGTAGAGAGTGTCATTGGCTTCTACCACAACCCTGTGGCTGCCGCGCATCTTTTCAAGCCCTGTTAATGGAGTACGGTATCCGACCTTGGCGACGCCGACGCAGAGCTGTCCCAGCGGGCTCGCTGGGTAGCAGCCAGCCGCCGAAAGGAGACGGCAAACCCGTATGATACCTACCAGGTACTGACAGTTCTCACTGCTCTCCCCAGCTGCGTTCCTTCTCTGCGGGGAAATTCGTAGCATTCCTACCTGGTCGTGCATAGCCGCCTGGCTTGGGCTGGACGCCAGCCCCGGTGATAACGATGCAGGCAGGTTAGGGATGGTGAGGGTGTTCTCTCCGGGATTGGCTGGAAGCCGCCGCCACCCACCTGTACACCCAGTCAGACGTCAGACACCTGACAAGGCTCTCCCAGCCAAAATGGTCGAGCTGTGCAGATTGAGGAAATGAACAGACATTTCTCGTGGGCGGCGTGTTACTTGGTGAACAGTCAAGTCATCTTGCAACCTCCTTATTTTAATCTGAAAACCGAAGTGATCGAGAGGGACCGCGGGACTGACATCAACCCAGCCGCACCCACCGTCTCGTGTTTGGAACCTGCCGAATTACACGGTAGAAGCGCTCCTCAGTTGCCTCTACCTCGAGCGTGCCCACGCGGCGAGCCGCCTCGCCGTCCCAATAGACGATGAGAAACGTCCATACCAGAATAGGCGAGGATATAACCCCGTTTATCAAAGCGCGCTTGCTGTCCGATACTATCCCATCGCCGGAGGCTCCATTGTCTGAGTGTTCGCCGTCCAACCTCTCGTCGTACGGCAATATCCCGCTGCCGGTTGACAATGATGTCCTATCGTGTGAAGTCTTATCATCGTCATCATCCGAATCATCAGAATCGTCATCCGAATTCTCCTCATCCGACTCCCCATCATCCGACTCCTCATCATCCGACTCTCCATCCGACTCCCCATCATCCGACTCCCCATCATCCGACTCCTCCTTCTCGCACGCCAGCAGCAGCACACAGTCCCACGTCCGCCGCAGCACGCCACCACCCTCGTCGAGCCCCGCAAAAAACGACGCATTTCCCCAGATGCGCGCTTCTGGGATCACCCTCTCGTCACCCACGTAGCTGTGCTTCTCACAAGGGTGGCAGGTACACACGCCCGCCATCATTCGCGGATGGTCCCTCAGCAGGTTGTTGCACCGCACGCGCATGATCAGCGTCCGGACATGGATAAACGGCGACAGCTCGCGCAGCATCCTCGGCTGTGCCCCGTCTGCCGGCCGCAGGTCCCACAGCGGCACGCGCGCTCCGCTGGCCGTTTCTACCTCGACATGCACCTGCGCGTGCCGTGTGCTCGGTTGAGGCAGCGGCCCCGCCGACCCGCGGTGCGCGTTGGCGTACTCGACCGGCCCCGTCCAGCCCGTCCACGACCAGCTCGGGAAGTCGCCCTCCCGCCGCGTGAGCGCAGCAGTGCTGTCCGACGCCTGCGTGTGCTCCGCGGGCTCCCACGCTAGGCCCATGGCGAAGCCGGCCGTGAACGCCTGCGGGGATGCCGGGTCCGGCGGGGCGGCGGAGCCGGTGTCGATGTCTCGCGCGGTTGTTAGGACGGGTACGCCGTGGTAGCTGTAGAAGGGTGCGCGGGCCAGCAGGCCGCGGAACGCGTGCAGCACGTCGCTGGCGACCGTCAGGTGCCGGCTGGTGTAGGCCGCGATGTGGTCGGCGAGCGTGCGGTTGGCCGACCGCGTGTAGCGGGCAGGGTTGCGGTCCGTCGGGTACCAGTTGCTGAAGTGGCTGGCCGGCAGCAGTGGCGCCGGGCCCGTTTGAGCGTGATGGGGGGTTCTGCTGCCGGCGGCCACGCTCTCGATGGCCGACGCCATGGACTCGGCGGCCGTCGTGGCGCCGCATACAAAGTAGGCCTGCAGCGGTGTGAAGACGACGGCGCGCCGCGACAGCACCGCCTCCTGGTACGTCCAGCCGCGTGTGGCCCATGTCGTGTGCTCCAGCGCGACACGCAGGAGGGGCAGCCCGGCGACGAGCGTCATGTCGTGCACGCGGGCTGTCGCGCGGTCCCGCGTGCGCGGCTGGCTGACGCCGGCGAGGCCGAAGCTGGCGTCGGTGCCGGCGGCTGCCACCAGGGTCGCGTAGGCGCCGCGGTAGATTTGGTCCATGTTTTGGATCTCCTCGAGCTTGGCGTCGTGGTTGTCTTGGTCGATGCAGTACTTGTCGACCCACAGATAGCGTTTGCCGAGCTTCGCCACGGTTTGCATGGCGTCAGTGACGACTGCGGGGATGCCGGTTGGCTGTAGTCTTCCCTTCGCGGCGCTTCCGCCTTGTGTTGTCGTGGTTGTCGACGCTGACGGCGCTCCCCAGACGTAGCTCAGGGCAAAGTAGTCGTCTCTGGGCAGGTCCATTTGCACAATCTCGTGTGTTGGGCTGATGCAGTCGATGCACCGGACTGCTATCTTGGGCTTGGACTTTGGGCGGCGGCACTCGCCGGCATGCTTTGAATCGCATTGCCTCAGCCACCCGCGGATGCGGGCGTAGCTGACAGAGGCTGGGTCGAACGGAGACGCTGCGAGATATGGGCGGTCCTGCGGCGTGACGGTGTCTGGCGTGGTCTGCAGGAGAAAGAAGGCGCCCTCGTTGTGGATGGCGCGCAGGTTGTGTGTGTTCCCTAAAAAGCTCCAATACTCGGCTTCCTCGGCAACCACGGCGACAACCGGGACTGGCAGCTGGTGCGTGTATCCATCTCCGCCAGAAATCGCGCGGTTGTTGAGCAGCCGCAGGTGCCATTTTTCCTTCTCCACGCCGCTGGAGTCTGGCTCTGAGCTGATTCTGTCAGAGGAGAGATAGCGCACCGCGCGAAAGAGTCGGCACAGAGAGCAGTCGGCGTCGATGAAAAGGGGCTCGAGCGTGCACACTTTGAAGCCCTCCCACCAGCGCTCGCGCGGGAATCCGCGAAAGGCAAAGACAGCTTCAAAGTCGATGGCATTGCACCGGCTGCAGAGGCCGTCGGCGCTGATAAGCACTTGGTCTTGGTCGATGGGTATTGAACATGCGGATCCCGAAGATGAAGCTGTCGTCGATCCCTGGGCAGGCTCGTCGTCTTCCTGTGCTCTGGAGCGTCGCTTCAAGTTGCGGATCCATGAAGGGATTGCCAGCCTTGGACGTCGTTTCGGGCGACCGGTAGCTCCGGGCAATGGCATGGTGGTGGAGTGGAGATGCAAAATTTCCTTCCACCGGTCTGAAAAGCCGAGAAGAGGGGTTTTCACGGCCTAGAGCTAGACCTATCTAGGATCTACGGCTGTAGTGCGGCTGATGTCAGAGTCGCTAATCTACTTGGCGTTTCCTTCCACGGACCGACTACAAGGCTAGTTTGGTTCGTACAAGACCCAACTTTGTATCAGGCTAGGCCTTGATCATTTCGACCATGACCTCGAGCTCGTCAACAGTGTCGTCTTCTTGGCCGTTCAGAATCCGCCTCGTGCCAGCGCTGCCGTCCGCCTCGGTTTCGTCCGAATGTAGCCTTCGCTCCGGTGCTAGGGGCTCTGTGGTCGAGGGGGCAGCGTCCTGTTCCAAACAGACGTTGCGAGCACCTCGTTGACACACCTCGCTGGGGATTCCGTTCTTCGTCCACTCCCTCTGGCGGGGACTGAAATCCTCGGCCGCGTTGTACCGAGGGCGTCTGGTGCTCCCCACGAGACCGCCGGTATGCAGGTATTTCATCGACTCGAGGAAGCGCAACAACTCAGCTGAGTAGCAGCCTGCTTCGCGAGCTTTCTCGATGTTTCTCTGCAGCTCATTCCAATACTTGATGATCTCTTGTCGGCATATTTCCTTTGCCTCGTCGACATATTTCCTTTGCCTCGTCGACGCCGACGGAGCGCAGCCTCGCCAAAACATCAACTGCGTTTACGGTATTCGCTTGCTTGTTTGATGACTGCGCCAGAAACCGCTGCTCCTTTTCCCGCGAGAAGATGTCGTTTGTCGGGGATATAGCGGCCCAAGCCGGGTGAATCCGTGCTCGGGGATAGTTAAGCCCATGCCAAAGTACATCAGGCCGGTTGTGAAACTGTTAGGAGAGGTTCGGTCGGGTTAGGCTGGGATAAATGCGGGCAAGTGCGCGCCATGGAAATATGGATGGAGGTACTCACTGCCTTCCGACATCCGCAGCTCGAAACTAGACAAAGTCTTCAAATGTGTCGAATTGGACATTTGTTCCCCCTCCACCCCACCTTCTAGGTAGCTGGCCCACATATTGAGGGCTTTCTTGGCACGTGTTACGGCACGGCCGAACTATGGTCCGTGGTACCGCAACCATGCCCTGGCTGCAGGCTCCACCCTGGAGCCCCCACGCTCCCAAATCGAGCCCCACTCCTCCCAATTGGGACTAGCTCAATTGCCCCTCTCCCCCCACAAAACCCGGCCTGCAGGAACCGCAGGCTTCTTCTTTTCCTTTTCCTTTCCTTAGCTTCGTTATTTTATGAATACAGTCATTCCTACTTGCAGCCTTGACTCTCGTAAATACCTGCCTTGACAGCACGCTCTCTGTCGATGCTGAGAATTCTGTGACTTGGCTTTACAAGCACCCCCTTCTTTCCCGAGGCCCGGGAGCTCTGAGAAGAACGCTGGCCCCCGGGTCTGAATGTGTCAATCATGTTACCAAGCACCTCGGTATGCTGTCCCCGTGGATTAGCGTGCCTAGCGGACTAAAAAGGTAATTAAGATGGATGTCCGGCTTACCTTGGGCTCGTCACCGTACTTGGCAAGATCATTAGCGAGAACGGCAAGATCATCGGCGAGAAATCCAATCTCGGCCCCGTACGAGACCATCTCCAGCTGGTCGGGGATGCAGCCAGGAAATCCCACCGAAACGACGTTGAAGCGGGCACTCATGGTTCCCGCGTAGTATTGGCACGGCTCCACGCTCTCGCTCCAGTCCTTTTGGCCCAGGATGGAGCCGAGATCTCCAAGCTCGTGGCTGTTGTGCAACCGCACTTCGCCGCCATCGCACAGCCCATGCGAGTTGTACAGCGAGGGGTCGACGACTGACGAAAATGCCAACTCCATGTTTCGAATTGCGTGGTAGACAGAGCCGGGAGATGAAATGTCTTGAATAAGCCTGCGAGGCCGAGTGATCGATTATCTCTCATCATATGTTCGGAGACGACAATTCGCCGCCTCCAAAGACTGTGGGCAACCAAGACCGCCATTGGGTCGCTTTCTTCAGCTTTCAGCTTCGTCGTCTTTTGTCCAACTGCATCTAGCTCACTTGGAATCACGCTTTCATGTCCGCCAAACCGCCCAGATTTCGATGCCTACATGTCACCCCTTTCTCACGGGTTACGGCCCCGGTGTGCAGTCTGAGTCGCAGGCAATTAAAATTTCATTCCACCTCTCACTCTATCATCGCTACTCTGTGTAATCTCAAAGAAAAAACTGTACGGACTGGAACCGAGTCCTCTTCGCAACACGCACGTCCCCAAACTGACGGAGACAAGGCTTCTGGGCTTGCCACCTCCTTCCCCCTCTTCTGTATTTCCCATTAGACTCGAGTCACTTTTTTCCTTCCTTGGGCTTCCCGGCCTCCAGTTCCTTATGTCTGGCAATCACCGCTTCGCGGAGCCTCGTCAGCGCCGCAAGCGTCGTATTCCGGCGCACTTCGTTGCGCCCTTGTCCCTCAAAGTGGTATGGGAAGTCGTAGGCTTTTCCGTCGGGATGAGCGATGCCGATAAAGACAGTGCCCGGGGGTGATCCCAAGTCCGCATTCCTGCCGGCCACGCCAGTGGTGCCGATGCCCCAGCTTGTCTTGCGGGGCGGCTCGGTACCGACCTCGTACCGCATAGCATTTTGCGCGCCTTGCGCCATGGCTTTGGCCACCGTCCCGTGGTACACGGTATATTTCTCGATGACGTCGCTGCCGACCTTGAGGACGCGCACTTTGATGTCTGGCGCGTACGCTGTGACGCTGCCCCGAACCACCTGGCTCGCCCCATCCACCGAAGTCAGTGCCATCGAGACCATCCCCCCGGTCAGCGACTCTCCCGTGGCCACTGTCTCGCCGGCCGCGCTCAGCCGGCGAATTACGTCTTGGGCGAGATCATGGATTTCGGTGTCCATGCTGGAATTGCTTGAACTGCAAGATTTAGTCCGAGATGGGAAATGGTGACGGGATGCCTTTTTTGGAGGCTTTTGCTTGATGCGAAGAGTATATAACAATGCTGTTCTAGCGAGATCGAAAAGGGAGTTGTGCGAGTGTTGATTGTTCAAATCTTTCCTTGCTTTCAGAAGCCAAGAGGGAACCCAATATTTATACCAGACTTGAACAAGAAAGATGAACTGCCAAATCAGGTTTTAATCAAGCTGGCGGGCTGCGAGCCAGGCGCCCCGTGGCCGGCCGGCCATGGCAGCCGGGCAGGGCAATTGGGAAAGCAAGGCAGTGCGGAATAAGATGGAAGGCTGTTGATATTGTCATCTCGGACAGCCGGCTGGTTCGTGACTTGAGACGGGGCCAGGTATCGATCAGGCCCCATCTGCGACAGAGACTTTGCGGCGCATGCGGCATCGTCATACGGAATCCAATAGATGCCGTTCGGCATTTGCATCGCCTCGACGTCAGCTTGGACAAACCAGCCACCGCCATTGGCCAATTCAGGTCCACCATAACTTGGCCGTTCCCGTCCCGTACGGCGTAGCAAAGAGGCTCGTCTTTTGTTACTGGATTAGGGCTTGGTTTCTGGATGCTTCTTCAAACCAAAGAGGCTCAGAGCTTGTTGGGTTTCAGACCGAACCATGACAAATTCTGATAATTGTCTGGAAGCACCATCCCTTCTCTAGATTAATTCCATAGACTTCTTTTCTCTCAGTTGGATCGCGGGCCTTTCTTGGGACCTTGTCTCGGACTTGTACAGTTGGTGCCTGTATTGAGTCATTTTTGCCTTCACAGGCATAATGACTCTATGCTCTATGTCTGCAATAGGCCTTTCGATTAGTTTCCGACGACTGCGAACATTCCTCCCCACTTCCAAGGTCCTGTGAGAAGTTGCACACTGAACTCGACGAGTTCATGGATCCGACCACACCGAATTAGAATCCATTCACTTACTTGGCTGGCGAAGAACTCGCTCAATAGCACAGATGCCCGTGTCTCTCTTCTCACAATGACGGCGGCCCTTGCGTCAAGGTGCTGCGTCGGCTCGATGTAACGTCACCCTAGTATCGCAAAAGCCAGCCTCCCTTCAAGGTATCAACATTTTGATGGCTCAAATTTCACCAGATAATTTGAAGCTCGAATTTCACCCGATAATATGGCCCTCTTTTAAAGGTCATCACATCCCCCCCCAGTCGAAGCGAATTGCCAATTGAATACATGCGCGCCGTGTACGATAAGAACTCGAGATCAAGAATACTCCCACTTTGTAATTGTTGTTGGGTTGGTTTATTTCGTCACGCAATGCCTCGCCGAGTTTCCGAAAGCGAGAAGTGATTGATTGAATATCGCTGAGACTGGCGCTCTGTCTGTTTCCTTCCTACCTGTTCATTTTCTTTCTCGGCACGCCTTTTGTTTCTTATGGAGACGTGGAGCACGATGAGTTCATTGGCGCATGCCAGCAGTCCAGCAGACTCACTTGCTAGGACGAAGCCGACGCACCCGAGGGAGCGTTTGATCTGCCAGGCAGCAAACAGGATTACTTTCTCGGTATATTAGGTCGCTCTCTCCCCCACGGCGCCACAGCCGTCGCTCATTTCATTTCGTCCCGGCGGTCAGGCACATCGGATGCCAAGCCTGGAGCCGGCGGGCAGCGGGCAGCACATCGCCCCCCAAAAGTCCGGCACGCGCAACAGCCCGACCCCTTGATCGACAGGCTAAATGCCACCTCCTGACACCGATGAAGCGGATGCGCGAGGCTTCACTGGCCGCGATGGCCACTACCGAGAAATGCAAAACAGGAACAAGAAAGCTTGAACCGCGTCTTGCAGACTATGCACGCATCATTTTTTTTAATCCGAGTCCAGGGAAAGGAGAAGCTCAGGCACAGACGGCAAGTCGAGGACCGTAGGGTCCCACTTCCTCCCCCCTTTGTCTGGATCTGATCTTCCTCCTTCCTATTCCATTTCCTCTTTTCGACATTGCACATTGAAAGAGCGACGCAAGCGAGCATCGGCTCCGAGAGGGATTCTCCCAGACGACTCACGCGAACCTACCTCGTCATCTTTCACTTTTGCTCTCGCTTCCCGTTGGTCTGGCATCACCGCACATCACGAACACTCAGCTCAACGCGCAACGCGTGCCCGAGGGCAAGCGAGTGCTCCGGCATCAAAGGACAACAAAACAACAAAAACGGAGAAAACACACAAAAGAAAATGCATCGCCCCTTACCATCCTACCTTGTGTCCCTGACGCTGTCGGTCCTCGTTCTGCGCGAATCCTCCGTCTTCGTCGCCGCAGCAGCGCAGTGCTACAGCGTCAACGGGCAAAAGAGCTCGGGGGTGTCGTGCAACGCGGCGGCGACGGGATCTGGCGGAGCGGGCTCGCACTCGGCATGCTGCGACGACAGCAGACAGGAGGCGTGCCTGTCGAGCGGCCTCTGCCTCGCCACGCAGCGCACCGACAATCAGACCTTCTGGGCCGAGGGCTGCACAGATCCTACGGGGCTCGACACCGCGTGCCCGTCCTTCTGTGGCATGTCCAGCCAGTTCATATCCAGTGAGTAATTGCCGGAAGCGGCCCGAACGAGTTTCTCAGGGTCGGGAGAGCAATCGGTGTTTGCCTAGCGATGAGAGAGAGGGAGAACGAAGAGCTCACGCGCCAAATCGCACTAGTGCCCGTCCAACCTTCCTACACAATGTTATTCTGCGGAAGCGGGCAGTGGTGCTGCTGCTTCGACAACCTGGGGGCCGTGTGCAACCAGACGGAATGCTGTTCGCGCAACTTCACGCTGGGTACCCGGGGGTTAGGCACGGTGGTTCGGCAGCTGGACAATACGGGGTCGGCATCACTCTCCTCCGGCCCTCCTGGGTCAAGCGGCAGCAGCGGCGGCAGCGGTGGCAGCGGCGGCAGCGGCAACGCCGGCGACGACTGCCAGCCCGGACGCGGCAATAACTGCTCCTCGTCCAACGGCAACGACTGGCGGGGGATGCGGCTGATCACCATCGTGCTGGTGGGCGGGCTGCTGGGGTCGCTGCTGCTTGGGGCGATCGCGGCGACTTGCTGGCAGTGCACGCAGAACCGGAGGCTGCGGCGACAGGTCCAGACACTCGAGAACAACAACACCAGCGGAAACTTGGCGGCCAAGCGCAAGGCGTCGTACAGCGGCAGCAGCGCCAGCCACCACAGCAGCATCCTGTCGTCGCGATCGCGGCCGAGCATGTCGGTGCAGCGGCTGACGACGTACTTACCGCCCCCGCCGCACGACGACTCGGCGCTGTCGCCGTCGCCGGACACGTATGACCACGGCGGCGGCGGCGGGTTGGCGACCCCGACCATGGCGTCCAACGTGGCGTACCATCAGCATCTGATGATGATGCACCAGCAGCAGCAGGCGCCGCAGACGCCGGGCGGGGGAGCGCCCCCGGGTTACGGGTTCCCCGGGGTGGCCGTGATGCAGATGCCAGGGCAGGGCAGGAGGCCGTCGTGGCCCAGGAACGCGAGGCATACAGACGGCCGCGACCTGTTCGATCCCAACTACAGCGTCGGCGTCGCCATTTCCGAGCTGCCTACAGAAAAGGATCAGCGGTGACCAGACAAATCGGTGGTTGTTATCGGTATCCGGCAATCGTCGGCTCGTGAGTTTGAGGTGTTTCTGAGCCTTCGTGCTCCTATTAGCTCAATACGTGTAGTTGGCGTCCGGGGTGAGGGGGGGGAGGGTTGTGGGAGGCGTAAGCCGTTTAATTTTGCTCTTCTCCTTTTCACTTTCTCCTTGGCCACTTGGCAAAGTAACGGTTGGGTCCTTGACCTAGCGTCGAGCGGGGACCAAAATTCCAGCGGGATGGAAAGCAAGCGCCAACGGTGAAACCGCCGTGTTTTGAGGGGGAGTCTGGAGCCTTTTACATTTCACAATTTGTTTGACCAACCCGGTACCTAACTAATCAGGCAGGTCGGCACTTGGAGCTAATAACGAAGAGGGAGAGTCCCGTTCGGTTGAATCGACGCACGTGCCATAGGGGACAACCAGCGGGTGCACGAGCGATCGATCTGATCCCGTTGCTTTCTCTCCAATCAGGTAGTTACTAGATGGCATATGCTGCCCGTGTCAATTAAATTGGCGTTGCTGCTTCTGCTGAGCCGCTACCGCCTAATCCCGTCGGCATCTGAGGCGCCCTCGTCGGCGTGCCGGCCTGCCGCGTACATGCTGTGTTGGGCCCGCGTTGGATGCGCTGCGCAGCTCGCCCACGTAATACCTTCTGTCGCATGCATGGAAAACCAACAGCGAGGCGGAGGAGACGCGTGTCGGCGCCGTGGGGTAACCCACCATCATATCTGCGTCGTGTTACGAAACACATTACGCGATTCGTAGGTCTTTGATGTTGTGTTCGGACAACCTTTTCGGGAATAAACCGGCCCGTTGGAAAGCATGGAGAAAAACCCCGCGGAACGAGACCAGAAAGTCCGAAACTCAGATCTGGACGAGACCCGTGAGGATTCCGTGTATCGCAGCGCTAAAATCGGCCAACGACCAGCTCCTACGGACAGTCGATAGTTGTGTTGCAAAGGATCACGAAAACGCAAAAATAAGAACACGACGGCCTGCTGTGAGATTATGGCCTCGGATTACTGTAAGTCATTTGGGAAAGATCGCGATCTGCTGGCCTTGGCATCGAACTTGGGGTGAGAGTGCGACAATCTAACTTGTGGGGACGACCTAAGAGCTGTCCCCAGTTCCGCCGCTAGCCGGGGGGTTGACCGCCGAGACCGACGAATGAGGCAGGTGAGCAAAGGTAGACAGATCCTAGACGGAGGCCACAATTGGCAAGCGTGCCCTTGGCCGTCTGGGGTGGACTCTTCGTAGCAACCTAGCGGTTTCCAACACCGTTCTCACGCGCCCAGCATTGAAAGGAGAAACTCTAATGAGATTTCGTGTTTGGGACTCCCGCCGCGGTTGCACTCTGACAATCGGCTCGTCGAGGCCCTGAAGGGAGCATCGCTAACATCGCTAACATCGCTACTGCGAATGGGGAAGCCATGTCCGGCAGGCGCAAATGAAAGTGAATCCTTCAACAAGTAGGTTACGGTAGGACAGGAACAGGGTCTAGCTCATGCACACGCATGTGCCAATGAGTTGGGAATCACCTCACGGCTCGAGCCTCGACCGCCGGCGACTGCAGGCGGCAGGTGCGTGTGTCGCGTGCTCTGGGTTGAATCGCGCCCGTTTTGGGAAAGCTCGGCTGGAGGCGTACGCACCGGGCAGGCCGCGCGCGCAAGCGCACAGCTTCGTGCGGAGCACCCGCAGCACCCGCAGCACCTGGAGGTTGGTACGCCCATACATAGTCCGCGAATGGAAGTGGAATAATATCCGTCAACGCTAGAGGAACGGGAAACCGGCAGGCAACCAGGAATATTTCTAATGCGCAGGTCGAGCCAGTGCATGCTGCCGCACGTGACGGACAAAGCACTTCCTCCAGCTGAGACCAATGCGGTGGTGGTCGAGACACAGTGCTGACTGCCTGGGAGCCCTGGGGGTGGACGGGGCGGCCAGGCCCCAGTGCTGACGAGTGGTGCAATGTTGCTGACTGCTGCCCTTCTTGGCAGGCCTGACCCCGCACGCAAGAGGATCAAACTCAATTTGTTCACAGCAACTTCAATTGTCCGGTCCTATACGACGGGTCGACTCTGTCGTCTGCTATCTAGCTCAGTGTGTAATCACAAAACCTAGCAATCTGAGCCACTAAAACTGTCAAACACGCGCCGCAAACACGCATTGGATCTAAACGACCCCCCAAACGGCAAGGTTGGTGACGCTATCGATTCGATCGAATGTCGGACTGACCACTTGTCGCGAGACTGAACGACCAGCGGTCTGTATTGCCTCCCTAGATAATTCTGTTTGTTCGGCCAACTCCATTGACGGAGCAGTGAGCACCAGAGTGTAAGTCGCTGGCCACGTTTGCCGCTTCAGAAATGACTTCAGAAATGATGAACAGCACTAGGACAAGTCCCTACACTACTGACGGATTATAGAATGCACCTGACAGGCGAACAGAATGCACCTTACAGGCGAACAGAATGCACCTGAAACAGAATGCACCTGACTGACAACAACAATGGGCTTTATTCCAATTCCAAGGGATTTGCCACAAAACACAGAGAGACAGTTACGCAAGTGGCTTTGTCTTCCCGTCACCGTATCAGTGGGGAGCATGTTCTGACCCCCACCCTCGCACTAGGACCACGGCACCCGACCGATCGAGCATGGGGCACTCGGCGGCATTTGGCCTTGCCCTGTCCTTTGGGGCATTCGCAGCCGCAAAGACGGCGGGCGCTCCACGAACAAGGTTCTGTTTGGATGTAATCCGTATTCCGTCCAGTGTCCAACATAGGTGTTACCCAGAGTTTCGGAGGTCGCGGATGTGAGATGCAGCACTCCTCGGCGGCCGGCATGCCCTTCTGTAAGTGAACGCAGTAGTCTGCCTGGTTAGGCGCATTTGCTTTTGGCGTCGGTCAAGCTCCAAAAGCACCCGGCCGACGAGGAAACCACGCAGCGCACCGAGCGAGCGTTTCGCATCGAGGCCCTAGCTTATCGTCGGTCAGCTTGCGGCGAAAGCACCAAAGCAGGAGCGAAGCTCCACCAGCTCCACAGCGGCTTCCCCGAACTCTGATAAGGTCGCTCTCCCAACTTCATTGGGTCTGACTGTTCCAACCCTGTTTTGTGGGCAGCACGGCCCAGGCTTGAGGCTTGCCAAGTCTCCGGCCCCTCAAACAGAGGACGGACCCGCAACGCCCCCCCCGTCATCACAGGGCACCCATCCCAGCCGTGTTGGGAAGTTGACAAGCACTTCCAAGACCGCCTAGGCTCTTGGCCCGTTGATAGCGAGCCGCTCAGTGCTTGGCTGCCCGTTTGCCGTTTCTCTTCCCTCTGCCCTTCCTTCGCGCTTTCTTTTCGGGTATTTGGCCCTAGACTGGCAGATAAGGCCGGCTCTCGCAAAATCCCAAACGCCACTTTCGAGACAAGCAATAGCCAAGCTAGCCGCTCCGGGATACCGCCGGCTTAGCGCCTGCACCTAGCGTGGCCCGTCAATTCAGTTCGTCCCACCTGCACACAACCTCCCCTAGGGGAAGCTACTGATGTTCCGTATGTACATGTAGTGCACAGGTGAGGTGGTGCCGTCCAGACTCGATATACGGTGTCTGCTTGTGCTCGCCACCGAGCTTTCTCGTGGCCCCGAACTCGACACCAAGCTCTAGTCGGCCCGCTTCCCAGCCTCCACGTCTGCCTCGTTGCCTGCCGCCATCCAACCTGGGGAGCTTCAGGCAGTGGTGTGGCGCGGCACCGCCAACCGAGTGGCCGCCACAGTGCCGCCGTCTCACAAAGATACTTTTTTTTTGGAGGGTTGGAGGGGGTGGTGCGTGCAAATCGCACTCAACGGCTGCCGGTGGCGGGGAAGATCGTGAGGTAAGGGTCCCGGCGGCTCTTTCCTAGCAAGCCCATCGCGGCTGCCCATTCGCTTGACAAACGGAATCTCCGAGTCTGGCAAGCCCTGGGCAGAGCTGGCCAATCACAGGCGCGTATATATCATCCCGACAGTAGCGCATCCGAACCGGATTACAAAATGCGCACTTACATGGGATGGACACTTTGGGGAAAACGCATGCAACCCATCTGAACTAGGTAGGCGTTGATCGCCGCTCCGTTTGCCCCAGCTATTGGTCTTGCTTGTGATATGGACCAAATCACGGCGAGCCTTCTGGAGGCTGCCCTCACAATCAGCTGCCCCTTGCGCAACCCAACCCCCCCCCGCCCCGGCCCACAGTGTCCGTTATTGTCATTGCCAAGTTCCCCTCGGTCTGCATTGGTGGCTAGCTCATCACACCCGGACCAGACCCTCCCACCCCCCTTCCCCAGTGAATACCCCCCTTGGCATGCCGGTCCAGTTGTATCGCATTATTGGACCTCTTGCTTGGCTCCTTCTGCTTGGAGAAGCATCATCGGCATGCCCAACGCCCGGCTATCAGAGGCCCACTGCCCGCTATCAGAGGCCCACTGCCTGCCTTTCTGCGCACCCATCGGATTGGCCGCCCCACAGTGTCTCTCGCCAGGCCCCGTTTCCTTCGATGCGTGTTCTAGCCAGTTTCTGTGAGCTCCATCCCGTGTTTGTCACTGTTGATCCGTCCTCAGTGGCCCCGCGCGCCATGCCATGCCATGCCACCACGCCATGCCCGCCCGCTAGGTCTGCATAGATAAGTCCAACGCGGTCCGCCCAACTGGAATCGCGTTCCTTCTCGCTCCCGTCTCAACCCACGCGCTCCCACCGGGATTTCCACCAAATCCCCCCGTGAGAGCTTGAGCAGAATTGCTTGGGCACCACGGCAATCCATCTACATCGGCTATTGAGAGCCCCTTTTGATTTTTGATTTCTCTCAACCCCGTCCTTCCCCTTGTCCCCGCCGCCATCATGTCGTCGTCGGAAGAGAAGGGCCAGGTGGCCGTCGGCTCCCTGACGCCCGAGAAGGAGGTCCCTCCCGCCTTTGAGGACCACACCAACCAGGGCTCTCTCGAGACGTCCCAGGAGGACTTCATGACCCGCAATGGCCTCAACTTGCGATCGTTCCAGAAGCGCTCGTACGGCGAGGGCATCGTCCAGCTCGACCGCAGCATGAAGAAGCGCCACCTGCACATGATCGCCATTGGAGGCTCCATTGGCGCTGGTTTCTTCGTCGGCTCCGGTGGCGCCTTCGCCACTGGCGGCCCCGGCTTCGTCTTTATTGATTTCCTCATCATCGGTGTCATGATGTTCAACGTCGTCTACGCCCTCGGCGAGATGGCCGTCCTGTATCCCGTCTCTGGTGGCTTCTACACGTACTCTAACCGCTTCATCGACCCGTCCTGGGGCTTCGCTATGGGCTGGAATTACGTCTTTCAATGGGCCATCGTCCTGCCACTTGAATTGACAGTCTGCGGTATAACGGTGCAATATTGGAACGACGAGATCAATGTTGGTTCGTAAACCATTTTTGGCCCTTTTTGGCCCCCAATCCCGTGTCTCGTCTCAAGCTAATTTGTCACCAACACAGGCGTCTGGATTACCGTTTTCCTCGTTGCCATCATCATCATCAACGTTTTCGGCACACTTGGCTACGCTGAGGAAGAATTTTGGTCTGCCGTCATCAAGCTCGGAGCGACCGTCGTCTTCATGATCATTGCCTTCGTGCTCGTGCTCGGCGGTGGTCCCAAGAGCGGCCGGTACGGCGAATACTGGGGCGCCCGTTACTGGTACGAGCCCGGCGCATTCGCCAACGGCTTCAAGGGCTTCTGCTCCGTCTTCGTCACTGCCGCCTTTGCCTTCAGCGGAACCGAGCTTGTTGGCCTCGCTGCCGCCGAGGCCGAGAACCCCGTCAAGGCTCTCCCCGGTGCCATCAAGCAGGTTTTCTGGCGTATTACACTGTGAGTGCGATTTGGGACCCTTGCATCTGGTCCACTGCCGGCGGCCGAACACGAAACTGACCGTTTGACCCCTTGCAGCTTCTACATTCTTGGCCTCTTCTTCGTCGGCCTCCTGGTTCCTTATGACGACCCGAGTCTGCTCGGCTCCGGCTACGTCGATGTCAAGGCCTCGCCATTTGTGCTGGTCGGCAAGTACGCCAATCTCCAGGGTTTCGACCACTTCATGAACTTCATCATTCTCGTCTCGGTCCTGTCAATCGGCGTGTCGTCTGTGTACGGAGGATCGCGAACCCTTACTGCCCTCGCGCAAGAGGGATACGCGCCCAAGATCTTCACCTACGTCGACAAGTCTGGTCGCCCGCTCTTCAGCGTCGGCATCATCCTTCTCTTCGGTGTCCTTGCCTACGTCAACCTGGACGCTGATGGCCCGACTGTCTTCTCGTGGCTGCTTGCCTTGTCCGGTCTTGCTGCTCTCTTCACATGGGGCAGCATTTGCCTGGCCCACATCCGCTTCCGCTCTGCGTGGTTGTACCACGGCCACACTCTGGACGAGATCCCATTCAAGGCTGTCGGCGGTGTCTATGGCAGCTACCTCGGACTCTTCCTCATCGCCCTGGTTCTCGTCGCTCAGGTTAGTTCCATCCCGTGACTGGTCGCCTCCACGCCCGAGTGTTTTCTAACCTTGATTTCTCTTTTAGTTCTACGTCGCTGTGTCTCCCGTCGGCATGGACGTGAACACGGCCGAGGGCTTCTTCCAGTCGTACCTCGCCCTTCCCGTCGTCCTGTTCTTCTGGGCCTGCGGATACGCGTGGAAGCGCCAGGGCTGGCTCCGCACCGACCAGATCGACATCGACACTGGCCGCCGCGAGCTCGACTGGGAAAGCATCAACGCGTGGCGCGCCACCTTGGCTGCTATGCCCGCATGGAAGCGCATCTACCACACCGTTTTCGTATGAGGCGTCGTGGCCTGTCTGCTTCTTTTCGTTTTTGTGCGGGGCGCCGGTGTGCTGCTCTCCCCTCCAATCTGTGGGAGGCGGGTCAGCAGACTTGCTTCCCCCCTCGCGGGCTGCTACTGCGTGTGCTCGACATTTAATTGATGCAAGGGTTGGGGGAGTACATAATAAGCATTTAAAGTGTTTTCTGTGAATCAGCTGCAGCGGGGTGTTCGCATTTGCGCGACACCCTTGCCTCGGAGTTGGAGCGCGGCGGCATTCTTTTTCTACACTAGATACCACTATTGTCTCGGAAACTATCTATTTCGAAGCTGACGGGCAATTAAACTGTTATCCAAATATTTTGTCTCTTGCAATGCAGTGTCGCACGAGTTATCTATTCGTTACGTCTTGAACTTATAGTCTTGTACTATGGTCGCTGTTGCTCTAGAATGACTTGAATTTCCGACTGGCGCGATTGAATTTGATTGGTTTCATTCAACTCTTGTCAAAGGGCTTAATGACGGTCCTGTAGACTGATGGATGTGGATTGGAGCACCGGGTATTCAAGCAGTCTTACAGAGAGGTAGTGCATTGGTTGTCAGGTTGCGACTCTAATGCTATAGGTAATCTCCGCCTTGTTCTTGCCTGCTCTCTGCCTTTTTCGTCTCTCTATTCCTAAGGAGCTAGGACGCTCTATATTGTAATGAGTGGAGGGATCTCTTTAAATTTCTTGTCATCCATCTCCAGCCTTTGTTGGACTACAAGCTGTGGACAGCGCCGTAAAATGAGATACGGTTTCTTGTAGCGAACTGGATTCTGTATCTCATCGGCTTCAGTATCGTAGTGAACCCACAACCGAATGTCCGAAAGACAAAGAAAATGTCCGAAAGACGGAGAAAATGTCCGAAAGACAGAGAACCTCCCTTGATTCTTTGCCCCTTTAGATAGGTACGCATTCAAGTTCGTTGGGGTTTCTAAATCCCTCTCCAAAAAATCAGAAGTCAAGAAATGGCGCCTTTTTATCCACTTGGAATGGCCGGTGGGGGTCAACACCACGAGCCAATAACTGAGGCGCCACCGAAATCGTCAAGAAGGATTTGCGGTCCGCGTATCCCCCGCGTCGAAGGAGCAGGACGTCCCACTCGGATGGGAGCCTTGGCTAACTGCAGCCGCTCCTTTGTTGGCACGACTAGCCTCCTAGGTGGGGGTCTATTGTCGGCCAACACCAACAAGTGGAGAGAAAGTCAGTTAGCTGCATATGTGTCCGGATGACTTCATCCTTTTGTTGCTTGCCGGTGTCCAACTATTGGAGCTAAAGATTTATCGCCGACCGCTTCAACTTCCTCTGCATCCAAGATTTCTCCCCCTCAGCTCTTGTCCCAGAGCCAGTTCACACCGCATTCTCTCACCGACTCTTCAGTATCCTGTCAGGCTGTCAGGCAAAAACGATAACAGGCAAACACGATAACAGGCAAACACGATAACAGGCAAACACGCATACAAACCACCAACCATGGCCGCATCCCGCTCGGAGACCGAACTATACACGTCGGACGACTTTGTCGAAAGCGCCGGAGCCGTGCTCTTCCGCGTGGCCGCGCGCGAGATCCTGGTGTTGCACTCGCGCGTCGGCGAGTACGTGCTAGCCAAGGGCCGGCGCAACTGCGGCGAGAGTCGGCGGGCAGCGGCGCAGCGCGAGGTGGCCGAGGAGTCGGGGCTCGCCTGCCGCCTGCTACCCCTCGACATGTCGACGCGCGCCCCACCGCCGGAGCCGGCCCCGATATCGCCGCTGTTTCTGGCACGACCAACAGGAGAAGGCGCGGATGAGACACACAGAGATCCCGGGGACCACCACGCCGACGTGTCCCGGTCGTACGCCGGCGTGTGCGAGCCGTTCGCCATGCAGATCCGGCGACTAGGGAACAGCGGTAGTGGCGGCGGCGGCGTCAAGATTATCTGGTGGTTCGCGGCGGCGGTTGCGGACGAGGACAAGGTGCCGACATTTGACGCCATGACGCCGGCGGAGAGGGAGAGATTTGACGCCGTGGCGTTTGTGGGCTTTGACGAGGCGCTGGAGCGGCTGACGTTTGAGCAAGACCGCGAGGTGGTGCGCCGCGCAATAGCTCTGGTGGGCGGGACGTACTATGGCAAGTAGGGGTTACCTAAGGCCGGTGCGGGAAAAGCAAGGGCACGTTCTGGAATACCAAGCGAAAATGGGGCGCTCACGTCAGATTCGAAACGAATGTATTGGTCAAGGTTGGTTAGGTTAGAGGACAATCAAAAGGCGTTATCAAAATGATTCAGCTTTCCCCCCTCAAGCCCCTTTCACGGCCGCGTCCTTCCTCAGAATCTCGTTTAGCCCGTCCCGCTTGGCACAGTTCTCGAGCTTGAACGAGGCGGCGAGCGCGTCGAGCTCTTCGAGGGTTTTGTCGGCAAAGTAGCTCGCGTACTCGCCGCACATGATCTCGCTGAATAGCGTCTCGCGCAGCACGCGGTGGATGTGGCCCTCGACGCGCCACACCTGCGGATAGCGGCCATCAACAAACTCGGCGGGGATCTCGTCGCGGAAGTGCTGTATCACGGGCGCATACACGCTCGCCACCTTGGGGTTCGCGCCGTCATCCCGTCCCCATTTGTCAAGCCCTAGCCGCTTCTTCTTGGCCAGGAACGGCTTCAGCAGCTGCACGTACGGCGAGTCGGGGTCGGCGTAGACCATGCCTGCGTTTCTCACGATCCCGATGTCAGTTCTAACCCTTGTAATCATGCCCAACACCGCCGGAGAGCAATCACAGGGGCTGACACACCCATAAAGCCAATGTCCTTGTACAGCCAGATGCTCCAGCTGATCTGGTCCTTCCGGTAGATGGTTAACTGCTGCCCAAGCAGATCGTAGCGTTGGCCGTTGATCTTCTCGTGGTCCGCGTAGTCCGCGCTGGCGTACACGGGCCCAAACTCCCCGTTCCAGATCTTTTTGGTCGGGGCTCCGACATTAGCACTTGTCCCCGCTGCAAGCAACAGAGTCCGCAGAGGGCTAAACGGACCGGAACGCCGTGGGCTTTCATGAACTCGACCTTTCTCTCGTACGACTTCTGCAGCCTTTCCTTCTGCGCCGGCGAGCCGACGTAGGGCTCGCCCGCCGGGAAGCCCATGGTGGCGTAGTCGTGGATGGCGTAGACGCAGTTTGGCAGCACCTCTTTGAAGGCGCTAAAGTCCATGGCGTACGTGTTGCCGTCGAGGAAGAGCATGTGGTGTGCGTCGACCTCGCGGATCGCCTTCTCGACGCGCCGGTAAAAGGCCTGCAGGTTGACGTGGTCCGGGTCGCCCGGCTCGTTCATGGGGTTGTAGCCTGCTACCTAAACACCGTGTCAACAGAGTCGACTTCTGGTGTAGTCTTCGCAGTCTGTACCCAGGTATTCCCCCGATAGTGCTTTGCAATCTCGACCCAGAGGTTGACCATGCGGTCCTGGAGATCCTTGAATTCCCAAAACAGGGCCTTGTGGATGCCGGTGTCGCAGTGCCAGCCTTGATTCTGCCCGCCGGGGAAGGTGTGCATGTCCAAGATGGTGTAGAGGCCCTCGGCGGCACAGGCGTCGACGATGCGGTCGACGAGCTTGAACCCCTCGGGTTTGATGACTGACGGGTTGAGGTCGTCCATGAAGTAGCGGTAGTTGATGGGGATTCGGACGCAGTTGATGCCCAGTGACGCCAGGAACTTGGCGTCTGACGACGTGAAGAAGTACTCCAGAAACTGTGTGTTGCCGCGCCTCGGAGCGTCAGACTTGAGTTGCGACGAGACAGGAGAGAGGAGTTGGAGGAGACGGAAGCAAGACCTTGTCAAAGAAGAAGTCGTACTTCTCGCGGCCTAGCACCCGCAGCATTGCCGCCCGCATCTCGGTCTCGTGGCCGGGGTAGCCCGTGATGAAGTTCTCCATGTTGGTGTGGCCGCCCGTGGCACACTGGAAGCCGTGTCAACAAGTTTGCACCCAAGATTTGACAGACAGGCCAGTCTCTTACTCCTTTGAGAATAACACGATTTCCGTCCGAGTCCGCAATGTCAGTCCCCTGGACCCGAAGACACGCTTTCGGCGCTCGGAGAGCCATCCTGTGATAATTAGCAAACGACTTGAATTCGGATAAATGATAATTCACAGTGGGCTTTGTGCTGACACAAGACACGCAGCAAATGTTTCGGGAGGGGAAGTGAGATCCAGTAAATATCGAAGGTGCGTTTTGCCAACACTATGGAGCTAAGAGGGTTAGAGAACTTGAGGGTTGGAGAACTTGAGGGTTGGAGAACTTGAGGGTTTTGGCCCTTGCATCAATCGAGCCAAGCGACATCGGATTCCTTGGGCAGCAATTCGCCGATTGGTATGGAAGTTGCGGGGAGGGCCTCGTGACCATCCTAGTGCGAGTATGGTATGGGGAATTCCCATTGCGCGAAACAAAAACGGGTACCTTTAAGAGAGTTGATGCGTCATCTGCATTTGACCAAGGACAAGACAGGAGCGGTCGGCAGTTTGGTAGTAGGGCATGGCGTTGGATCGGTTGGTAGGGAACGGACCAGGCACGCAAGACCCAAATCAACAAGACTTAAAGAAAGTCAACCCATGCATCAAGAAAATCATTACTCGACAATTCACTCGCATCAATTACCTTGGAGAAGAAAGACAGAAACACCCATCGATTTTTCACATTAGCGATTGTTTGTCTACCGCTGCATCTTCTTGGCTAGTCCTTGGCCGCGTTCAATGCCTTGGCTGGCGTCGGCTGATTGTCAACAAGGAATCGGACAAATTGTGCTGACCCCTTTCACTTTTCACTTTTTTTCTTTCTCTTTCTCTTTTTGTTTTCGCAATTGAACAACGACACTGCCATGTTTTTTGCATCCTTCGAGCTTTATTTTGGCGTGAGTGGCGATTGTCTTATCGCGCGTGTGGGGATCTGCCGCTGACCTTTCCACGCTGCTCACCGACGAGAGCTGGGGGGCATCAACGGCCTTGGCGGAATTGACTTCGCCGTACCGAATTGAGTTAAAAGACCCAGCAGGCAGGAGCAGGGGGAGGCGACAGGGTCCACATGGGCCGCCATGGGCGAGCCCTGGCTGGACTGATGAGCGGAGCCCGCCGGCAGCCGTCGACTCCGCTATCATCCGAGGAATTTCCAGGACAAATCTGCTAAAAGAATAGAGCTCACGTTAGTATCCGTAATTTTAAATTTCTTTTCGCGTCGTCAGAAGAAGGAAAATGGAAGGTCCACCTAGCCTTATCTTCTCGATAATTCACGGCCACCGATACTAACCAGGCCCCAATTACCGCAAGATAGCAATAAAACTGATTTCCACCGTTCGGATCCCCTAATCATTTCAGGACATCATTTATCGACAATTTTGAACCTCCAGTTATCGAACGCGAACGACTCTCAGCATATCCCAATTCCAGGACTCACGACTCTATTGTTGGAGCCCGGAATGGATACGCCTGAGGCCACAGGTTCCCGCTGGGGCTGAGCGACTGCTGAGCGACTGCTGAGCGACTTGAAGGCGGCAATTCATACGTCCTGGCCGAAACGCGAGCCAGAAATAGACAGACAAAATGATCGGCAAGGAAATCTCGACCCCAGACCGGTTACAGATACTAGGAAGTCCTAATAACACGCGCACACACCCACCGTTCGAGCCGTTACCCCCATCCTCCCTTATCTTTTATTCCTTTTTATCTCGTTCTCTCTCGCCACCTCCCCTCCTCGACCCCTGACGGACGATCCACCGTCGAATCAATTTTTGACTTATATCTCCAAAACTCGCCCAGCACTTTCAATCCCATGGCTCACACGACCCGATCGCTGCTGTCGGACATAAGCCACCTCGTGTTCACCGCCCGATGGCCTGTGAGTTGCGACGACACAGTCACGCCCTGACAGTCCGAGCTGAAGTACTACGCTCTTGATGTTCCGAAACAAGACCCATCTCCATCAGGTGGCCCACGCGGCCATTCTAACAACCACCCACCCACTGGCCACTGGGAACAGCAAAAGGCGACACTGGACGCAACTGGGCTGACTAGTTAATCGCTCATCAACGATCCACACCTCACACACCTCACACAACTATTCTCAATGGACGTGGACCCCGGTCTAGCCGCGTGCACGTGGGTACTCTGGACGGCGGCGGTGGTAGCAGTGGCGTGCCGGTTCGCATCGCGGGGGCTGCAGTTCGGGCCGGGGCTGGCGTCGTTCGCAGCGCAGCTGCAAGCCGACGACTACCTGATGGTGGTGGCGACGGCGGCGCTGACGGGCGTCGCCGTGACGTCCAACCAGGTCAACGAGAACGGCAGCAACTATGTCGCCGACGGCGTGGCCGAGACGTGGCCGCCCGGCCGTGTCGCCCAGGCCGTCTGGGGCAGCAAGATGCTCGTCGCCCTCGAGTGGTTCATGCTCGCCACGCTGTGGCTCGTCAAGGCGTGCCTGCTGTTCCTGTACGCCCGGATAACGTGAGTGCACCGACCGGGATAATCATCATCGCAGGCCACGAGATGGAGACTGACTTGCTTGCCGGACCAGGACCGGGCTGCGCGAGAGCATGGCCGTCAAGGCGACAGCCATCTACTGCGGCCTGACGTTTGTCGTCATCCAGGTCCTGTACCTGGGCGTGTGGTGTCGACCTATCCACGACTACTGGGCCGTGCCGGTGCCCGTCAACCACCGTACGTGACCCCACCCCTTCACCTCGAGACTAAGACAAAAACATTGGCTGACTTTCGAACTAGAGCAGTGCAAAACATACCACTATCACATCATCACGGTCACGGTGCTGCACGTGTCGTCGGACCTGGCTATGCTGTGCATCCCGCTGCCGGTGATCATCCGCGCGCGGCTGCCGCTGCGGCGCAAGCTGGTTCTGTGCGGCGTGTTCAGCCTGGGCGGGCTGGTGGTGGTGGTGGCTATCCTCAACCGCTACTTCAACCTGGCGATGCCCAACGACAGCGGGTTCCTGCGGTGGTACAACGCCGAGGCGGCCACGGCTGTCGTGGTTGCCAACGTGCCCTTTTGCTGGGCGCTGCTGCGCCAGGTCTTTGCGCTCGACTCGTGGGCCGCGTCGTCGTCCGGGTCGGGGGGCGGCGGGTCCGTGGCGGGGAGGCGGCGGTCGGGCTTTCGCGTGGGGGGAAGATATGTGCGTACGCAGTCGCCCAAGGGCGGCGCGGCGGCGGCGGGTATGGGAATGAAGGTGCTCGACGATGAGGAGGGGATCGCGGTCGAGGAGGGGATCGCGGTCGAGGGTGGGAAGACGGGGGTGGGGCGGTATCCGAGCGTCAGGTTTGCCGACGGGGCGAGGACTGGCCCTCGCGTGATAGTGAGTAGTCAGGAAGGCGTCGCGTGAAGTGAGTAGTCAGGAAGGCGTCGAGAGCACAGAGTGGACTGCGGGCGCGCATGGTCATGATTCGGAGCTGGGGGAAAGGGGAAAGGGGAAATTCCGGGCCGAGCATCAGCCGCTGCTCGCGAATGACATGCCCATGACGTGATATTTATTAAATTTCACTCCAAAATACGGACAGAATTTATACGGCGCAGATACTACTAGGTAGGCTGGCAGACGAGCTACGACGAAATGACCATGAACCAGCCATATATCGAGCGCGCGGCCCCAAACTAAATGCCCCAGAAATCAAGCTCGACCTGCTCGTGAATCGGGACGTTGTGACCGACGCCCTGCGCAGAGAACCCCAGGAGCTTGGTCCCGTCGCCGTACACGGACTCGGTGTACTTTGCCTCTGGCGTGTTTGAAACGTTCTTGGAGAAGTCGACGGCGAGCACGTTGGACCACTGCTTCAGCATTTCTGCGTAGTTGGGATAGCGCAGCGTGGTGTCGGCGGTTCCGTGCCAGCTAATTATCGGTAAGTAAATGGGGAAGCCCGGGATGGGGAATTACAACTTCACCCTGCTCACATCATGACTTTGGGATAACTTCCCGTGTAACCCGGATAGTAACTGCGGGCGAGATCACCCCAAGCCTGGGCCGTCTTTGACGACTGGCCGTTGGCGCAGGCATTGTTCCAGCCCGGCGACGACGTGCCAGCCGTGGCGCCGCTGACGTAGAAGCAGCCGTCGGCGACGCCCGAGTATGCCGTCACGCCCTTGAAGACGTCGGGGTAGGCGCCGGCGAGCACGTTGGCCATCATGGCGCCCGAGCTGGTGCCCGTGGCAAAGACGCGCTCGGGGTCGCCACCATACGTGTCGACGGCGTACTTGACCATGTTGACGATTGTCTGGCTGTCGCCACCGCCGTTGTGCGTGAGCGACTGCTTGGAAGCCACGTCCCAGCACCCTCCCGACGACGGCGCGCTGGGGTAGATGATGATGTAGCCCTTGGCGTCGGCGAGCGTCGCGTATTTGTTGTTGTTGAACGTGAAGTAGGCCGTGGCACTGCCGCCGCAGTAGTGGATGGCCACGATGATGGGTGCCTTGTCCTGCTTCTTCTCTGCGAGGTAGACGTACATCTTCGCCGATGTCGGTGTGCTTTTGAAGGCCGTGACCTGCTGCAGCCGGCCGGCAGCCGCACTGGCTACGCCGGCGAGACTGGCAACGACGGCTGGCAACGCGAGGTCCAAACGCATCCTGGAATTTTGTTTCTGGTGCAGATTTCGGGTTACGACAGTTCCAGATCAGACAGATCGAGGCCATAACAGAACCACTTGGTAGATAATCCCAGCTGTTCTTTTAGCTAGGGAGCTCTATTCCTACGCGTTCGACCGCAGGTATTCCGCCCCTGTTGCCGGTGTGAGTGTCCCTGTTACCTGTGAGTGTCCCTGTTACTGTGTATCCCTGACACCTGTGAGTGTCCCTGTTACCTGTGAGTGTCCCTGTTACTGTGTATCCCTGACACCTGTGAGTGTCCCTGTTACTGGTGTGAGTGTCTCCGTCGAGTTGCCGACAACAAGCAAGACATTGATTGGCAAGATATTGATTGGCAGGCATAGATGAGGTGCTATCCCTTCTTGGGAATGGCAATCTGCAACTTTTGCCAAGATGTTATTCGCAATTTAGAGTGCATTCCCACTCCCTAAATCCACGAATCACGATCTAGGTAGCTCGCCAGCTTAATTAACCACCAGATCCGGTATCCTTGCGCAAAAGGGAGACTGGGGTCGAGATGGAGCGGGGAAGCTGCGCTGGCTGGATGGCTGTCTACATCTGCCTGAACACAGCCATGGCTCAAACTGGCATCTCTGGAGGAAGGGCAGGGTGTTCGAATCCCGACGCCCCGTCCTTTTTACACTTCGACTTTGCCTCACACGAGACGTATTCGACGGGGGCGGTCATCCTCCGCTCCATTCCGGTCGTCCGCAGACCCCCACCCGACAGCTTCCTGCCACCCCGCTTCCTGCCACCCCGGCTCCGGCGCTGCCTCGCCGTCCATGATGCCCTGCACATACGCGTACCCCACGAGCCTGTGCGACGCGGCAGCGGGCCGCAGCACGACGGGCACCAGGCTGCCAGAGACGAGGTAGACGGCATCGCCCGCGCGCGTGCCCGGCGGCCCAGAGCCAATGTACCCGCGTGCCGTCTTGAAAAACACCTTGCCGTCGCTGGCGTACCAGAACTCCTGCTCGGCCTTGCGCGCGATGTGCTCGACTTCGTCGGCGGTGAACACGGCGCCGTCGGCCCGGACAAAAACAGTGCCGCCGGGCCGGCCGCGCACGCTCATGGCCAGCTGGCCCATGCGGAACAGCACACCGTCGCCGTCAAACGCGCGGGCAAATGTCGTGCGCGCCGTCTTAAGCGAGTGGTCGACCTCGGACACCTGGTCGCCCAGCAGCGTCCGCCACACGGCGTCGTACAGCAACATGCCCTCTTCGCCGCTGCCGCTGCCGCTGCCACTGCCACTGCCACTGCCGCTGCCGCTGCCGTCGGGCTGGTACTTCACCAGGTGACCCTCGTCGACGCCGAAAAACACGTCGAGCTCGCTGAGCGTTTTGGCCAGGTCCGGCGTGGCTGCCTTGTCCGCGGCCCGGCTAACGTTTGTGATGCGGTCGACGTACTTTCCAGTCACGCCGAGTGCGCGGCTGTCGGCGGAAAGCTCCGGCATCTTGCCCGCCCCCGGCGGCCACGCATTGTACTGCGACAACCGACCCCTTATGAGGTTGGGTGTTAGGCAGCCGTATGTCGCACCCCAGTGCGGGACCCAGGACGGCAGGATGTGGCTGCCGGCTGCCTCGGGCTTGATCTCGTGGTTGAGCAGGACCTGGAGACTCTGCTGGTGGCGGATGAAGCGCATAGCCATATCGGCGTAGAGGTGGGTCATGTCTCGCTCGTAGTCGGGGGCAATATCGACGACGGGACCGGGCGAATCTTCGATGAGGCCCAGCAGGCCGTACATCTTGTCCCTGGGGTCTGTGGCTTGTCTGTCGCGCGTCTTCTCGAGCAGGAACAGCAGTCGCTCGATCTGGTTCTGCTCGACGATTGAAAGAATCTCGCGGACAGCTTCTATGCTGCTCGTCATTTTTGAGAAGCGCTCGAGCGTGCTCTGCTGGTCCGGCGGCAGCGAGTGCCAAAATGACTTGCAGCACAAGCCGTTGTCGTGGTGCCGCGGCAGAATCGCGCCCGAGGCCTCGATGAGTGACATGGGAGCCACAATCTCGCCATAGACGGCCGTGACTTGGCGGCGCTGGAGGATGGCTTCCTGGAGAACCCACAGGCGGGTCCACCACGGGAGGCCCGTGAAATGGTCGATCACTTTGAGCGCCCCGACCCACACAGGTGAGTCTGTGGCCGAGCAGAGGCACAGTTTCGGGCACCTGCCGTTTGAGAGCATCTTCATAATCGCAAAGGCCCCTTCTTGGTGCTGTCTAAGTTCCGCGAGGGGACCCGAAGACGAGTTGCTGTATCCGGCGTCTTCTTGTCTGGCAAAGAAGGCATCGATCCTGTCCTGCTCCCTGATGCCGTCCTGTGGCTCGTACTAATCGACCAAGATTAGCTAGCTTGTCCCGCAGCAGAGTCAGGGGGCCTTACCACAACCCACATGGGTAGCTCTGCGGTATCGACGGGGTCGTAGTCGGGAGACTCGGGGCCTTTGCAGTTGAGCACAGTCAAGAGATCGGTGACGACGCCCTGCGGGTCGATCTGCGCGGCCGACGTTAGCGATCTGTGCGGCCGTCGTCAGAGTTGTAACTTGTAAGCAAGAAATACATGGAAGGCAGGAAACAGCCCACTCCGCTCTTGGAAGGCGCGTGCTCAGTCTGGATCAGCCAGGTAGCGTCTCGATGCCACTCGAAGCGCGGGGGGTCGTCCCACCCGGCCTGCTCTTCCGAGGACACCAGGCCGAGAACGCCGCTTTCGCCAAGGAAGACCACGACGGAGCGGGCAGACTTGTAGGTGCGCGCCATCAGCCGGACCTGGCCCATCTTCTCGCCGTGGTCGGCCTGGTTGATGCACACAGCGTCAGCCCACACTGGGCGCACCTCCTGGCTGGAACGCAGTCGCCGGAGGGCCGCAGCCAGGTTCGTGGTCGCGTAAAAAGTGCATCCGTCCACGGTAATAGCCGTCGTGTCCTGTGCGTCGCCCCAGACGTATGAAAGGGCGTCAAAAACGGGGTCGCCGTCGAGGGAGGCCGTCTGCAGCGTGCAGCTGATGCCGTCGGCCCATCGCCCGGGCAGCAGCTGCAGAATCCGGATATCGCTGCGCCCGGGGTCAAGTTTGTCATACCTCAAAGGTTCTGTAGCCATGTTTAATGCGTGCTTACTGATGCTTACTGATGTTTGTGAAAGATCAAACATGGCTCAGGTTGACCTCCGCCCTACCACTTTGCCGCAGGTGCTGCTGGTAATTGGCACGGAAAGCGTCGGACGCGGCACAGGCGGGCAAAGATTGGACTGCACTCTGCAGCCTGCCGGGGCTGCTGCCTTGGTCTTGGCTTGTAGCAAAGCATGAGCCTAGGCGGCCACTAAGAGTGCTTCAATTTTCCTACTCCTTGTACGTTGCATCTTGTAGTTCGATGTTGCACACAAAGGCAAATGGGCCCCCAGAAAACATGATTTGGGCTAGAAACAGGTGATAATTACGTCCGCATTGGACAGGGCGTTTGCATGGCAGGGAAGAACAATAGAGAGAAACCAGTTCAGCCACCTGAATCATGCTCGATTGTCGATCGGGACATAACAGACGGGATAAGAAGACTCCTACTCCTAAATAGCGAATCAGAAGCGAGTCAGAATATTGCTTGTTGGCTACCTGAAGCAGAAGTGGCTCACAATATTAGGTGTTAGCCAGCTGAGACTAGACTCGGAAGCCGGCACTCGGCTAGCTGGCTCTGCATTGCTTGATGCGACCGACTAATTTCAACAGGACATACAAGAGTGTCGTTGAGTATACGCACTCAGAACCAGTGGCGAGCTGAGAGTCTCCCAAAAAGGAAAGTTCAGATCGGGTCTGCTGCGATACCGCCGGGCTGATCTCCATTCAGGAAACAAAACCGGACCATTCGAAGCTGGCAAGCCAGCATTTTGGAGCTACAATGCAGCACATGCGGCAAGTCGGCCTCTCTGTCTCCCACGTTTTACCATGGACCATAGCCAAAGCTAGCAAGCCGAATGCGAACGGGTATAGCTAGAAGGTTGAACCCATATGGTACAGTCGAAGTCTCCGTTCAGCAACCGGCATACTGGGGCTCAGCAGACCATCGAGTCAAGAGTCAAGACACGCAGCACTTCCACACAACATCACTTGAACACTTGCCCAAAGCAGCCAGAATGGCCGGCTGGGCGACAAAGTGGAAAAACGAATGGGTCAAGGACAACGTGGTTCGGATTAAAAAGGCCTAATTACAGGCTGAGAGGCAGCTGGGAAGGCTGGCTGCAAGTCGAGTTGGCCATCTACCTGAGCGACCAAGACGCACAAGGACCTCGTATTTGGAAAGATGAAAACCGACTTCGGGGGCTTCATTATTGCTTCTGGTCATGAGAAGGCTCCAAGGGCTCAGTTCCCAGGTGGTTCCAAACCCCTGCAGATATGCCGCCCGGTACGCTCGGAGACTGTCAAGGCAGACGTCCACATTTCGAAGGGTTTTCGTGTTTGCATTCATGAGCGATAATTGTGTGGTGAGGCTTGAGACTGGCAAGGCAGAATTTCGGAATCAAGACAATCTCAGTAGGTGCATGTGTTGTCGCTCTGCGGGCGAGAAAAAGGAAAACCCCTTGGTAACTACCGAGGTAGGTACCGTGGAAGCTATTTCGCATGTCTGATTTCTCGCCCCCCTAATAGCTCGACACTCGACCTTGGAGCTGACCAGAAACACAACTGTTCAACTCTTTCTCGCCCTGTATCAGCAAACACCCTTCGAGGTCCATCAACTCCGACACTCTCTTTGCGCTCCCCTTCTCTTAGTTCGGAGCACATCCAGGCCCTAACCTCATTTTTGTCTGCCCACCTACCCATCTATACGCTCATCGCCCATTATATCCCACGCCATGGACTACTGCCACACTTGTGATATCACTGCCTTGGGCGCCACATTTGTGATATCACTGCCTTGGGCTGCTCCGGGTGTGATGGTGTCCACGGCACCCTGACAACCCACGCTGGCCGTCATCTCGGCCTCGGCTGTTCGGCTCTGCCTGGCAAAGATGTGATATACGAGACGCCCCACTATATTTCGGTAGTCATCATGGTCGAAGGGAGCGTGGCGGTGTCGGACGGTCCCGAGATAGTACTTGAAATCGAAAAGATCCCTCTCGAGGACGAGGCGGCCAAGGCGGCTGCTCGCCAGGCTGCCTGAGAGGCGGCCGTCGAGAGGGTGAGACTCGTTGCCCAGCAGGCGGCGGAGGAGACGGTAACGGCCATCGCCACACGAATAGCCAACTATCTCGCCCCCATCGAGGCCCCCAAGGCTGCCATCAAGTTCATAACCAAGGAGGCAGCCAGAGTCGCAACGAGACGGCCATTCAAGTTGCGAAGAGCAAGGCAGACTAGGTCGCCCAAAAGACTGCCTTCAGGTCGCTACCAATATTGCCAAAAACGCGGTGGACCGCGAGCTATAGAGGCTCCAGGAGCGAGAGGCAAAGACGAACCTTGACCGCTTCATCGAGACCCAATTAGGCGGGCACGCCAACAAGGTCAATGCGAAGAGGTAGATCGCTGCAGTCGCCAAGAACGGTCCTGCGGTTGTAGCCCACAGCAATGAACGTACTCGCAGTCTCGGGCAAAACACTACAACATGACCGTCGCTAACAACGCCAGTGACACGAAGTTCCAGGACGCTGCCACGGAAAATTGCGAGATCCTAAATGAATACTTGAGTGGTACGTGGAGAGAGAAATAATCACCCACTTCTAGTCTTGTTTCCGAACCTTCTTCCGCTCTCCCTAATACCAGTATGCCTAATCGTACGACTCTGTTCCTCTAGGCAATGGTCCTAAACCTCTGATCGACCAAGACTCTAACTCGAGCAAGGATGACGACGACGACGAGGATACACTTCGCAGGATCTGATGGCGGCCTTCAAGCGAGGTGATTGCCCGACAGCCCTCGACAAGGCAGACAAACTCGTCAAGCTCCTCACCAAGAAGAACGGGTCAACGACCGCAAGACGCTGCAAGAGAAGAGGAATATGGGCGACCTCCGGGTCCGGAACAAGGATTTCGGCATGGCGAGCCAGCTGTACAATGACGTGCAGCAAGCCCAGCAGGCGGCCTTTAGCGCCACAGACCCACACACGATAGCCACCGTACAGAAGCTACAAGACTTTAACGGCGGAGATTGGCAGAGGGACTCGCTGAATCACTCTTGAGATTCGGATTATCTGCGAAACGCCCATGTTTAAAAATTATTGTGATTTCAGGTTACTGGAATAGTTGCCTTTCGCAAGCATACAGCTGGGTTCAGTGCGGCGTCGGATGCTATTGCTACTCTGCGAACTCTAAGCACCTAATTAGGGAGTGACGTGCCTATTTAGTTTAAGAATCAATAAGTTAGTGTGGCTATCTACCTACCTACATACGGTATCTCTAGACAATCGAGCCTCCTCAGGAGTAGCAATATCGCTCCTCAGCTAAAGTCAATTACGAGTCCGGGCGGCCCGGGGTATAACGAAATCCACCACCAATTATAGAGACTACCTTTGGTAGGGCGTAGCCAAAGCCCTTATTACTAACGGCAGTAAATGGACCTTTAAGCTTCGTATTACAAACCACTCGACTGTTAGGGTCGTCTGTCTGTAAGGGAGCATGGGCTCCACAGAATGCTGGGGTTGGTAATTATGAAGATAGAACAAAGGGCAAGCTCCTATCGCAGGGTAATACAGTCAAATCGAAATGCCACTCAAAGTGTATGAGTGCAGTGAATGTGTATTGCTTGCTTCAAGAACCAAGCAAGAATTATCTAAGACCGTGGCTACGGTCATCGTATATATTTAATTCAGGTAACCAATCAGGACTCTTCCTTTGCGTGCTCAGTGCTCCTCCTAACGCTTGGTACACCAAGCGTCTCAGAGACTACCGAGCGCCCTGCTCGGTGCGCTCGCCTGGTCTTGGCAGACCAGTCGCACCGAGCCCTCCTGATTGGCTGTGTTGAACACTTGCGGGACCCAATTGGCAATTGGCTTCCAGCGCCTCCTGCAGCAGTGGACCAGGATCGTAACACGATGCCCCTCCTTCCAGGCTTCGTCCCGAAGCCAACAATCGTCAATCGGCAACCAAAGGTCCTGGTAAGTTCTCCCTCAATCAACACAACCGCGCACGGCTAATCATGAGGTCCTTTCCTCAGAAAACCCTTGCGAAAAACACCCTCCGTGGACACCGACGAGTCCTCGACCTTTCCCGCCATCGCCCGAACATGGTTTCTTGCCCTCGCTGCCGGGAGCGCGGCCTATCGTGCCAAGCTCCCCCCGGCGCTAAGAGCTGTTCCGAATGCCTCAAAGTCAGCAACCCCCGTTGTGGCCTTGAGGGTCCCGACTGTGCGTGCTTCCTTTCCTCCACTGGGTTCCCTGCTTATCTCCCCTTTTAGACCGCGCTTTCCAGACGGAGTGCGATAGGCTTGAAGCCGAGGAGGAGTCCATCCTCTTGCTCGAGGAACAGGCTTCTGCTCTCATGGCGAAAGTTGTCTCAAAAAAAACGGCGCGTGCGCCGCGAGAGGAAGACGTTCGAAGAGCGGGTGACCAAGGCCTATGCTCACGAAGACTCCGCTATTGCTGAGCTGGAGGAGGAGGAACGGCTGGAGGCCCAGGCTTCTGCCGCAGCCTCTGGCAACGCCAAGTCCCCTTCCCTACCTGCTTCCATTGACTGGGCCGTGATGGAGGCCGCAGTGGAGGCCGATATCGCCTCTTTCCTAGAGTCGCCTGCAGCGCAGCCTGCATCCTTTGTAGCTGGCTAACCGCGGGCCTTTCCCCTTTGTTGCGCGTGCCGCGCTCGGCGTCTTGGGGCTGTCCTCGCAGACTCCTTAGGTTGGTCCGGATTTTGCTGGTGGAATTCCTGGATCTTTTCTGGGCAGGTCAATAATGAAACCGGTTCCCACGAGTTCTCCTCGTTCCCACAGTCGAGCCACTTAATGAGATATTGAAGTTCTCCTCGTACGAGTCGTGAATCCAGGATTCGCTCGACGTCGTATTCTTCTTCGAAGTCCTCGACTTCGACGTCTTTTTCCAGTCGTGCATTCTTGGGTGCTGGTTCCAAAAGTGAAATATGAAAGACGTTGGTCCTCAGCTTCATCGAGCTGGGTAGTGAAAGTGCGTAGTTGGAAGTCGCAACCTTTCTCTCAATCTTGAACGGTCCAATCCTCTTGAAGTCCAGCTTCTTACTTGTCCGTTTTGTCGTCAAAAATTTCGTAGAGAGATAAACTTTATCCCCCTCCTCTAGGCGAGGTCCCTCGAGCCTGTGTCTGTCATAGTACTCCTTCATGTGCTGGCGTACTAACTCGAGTCTCCCTTGAAGGTAAACGTGGAGTTCCTTGGCCCGATCTGCAACCACTCTTGCACGGGGTGCGCTTGGTGCTTCCGCAGGTGGTCCCTGCCTAAGATCCGCATCGTGCTTGAAGAGGTTAAAGAAGGGTGTGGTTCCGGTGGCTTCCAGAACCGCGGTGTTGTAGCTGAACTCTGCGCTTAGTAAGAGGTCAACCCAGTCATCTTGTTCAAAGTTGACGTAGATCCTGAGGTAGGTTTCCAGGATTTGGTTGAGCCGCTCTGTCTGCCCATCGGTTTGCGGGTGGTGTGATGTCGAAGGCTTGCCTCTCGTCATCATTTCTTCCGTAAGACTCTTCCAGAACTTGGAGACGAATAGCTTGTCCCTATCCGAAATGATCTCTCTTGGCCAACCGTGCTTTGACCCGATGTGCTTCCAAAAGACCTTGGCGAACCGTGCGGTATCCCAAGTTTCTTTGAAGGGTACGAAGTACGAATACTTCGTAAACCTATCCACAACTACCCAAACCGCGTCGTAGACCACATCCGTAACTGGGTCCTTCGAGGGTGGTAGTTTGGTGATGAAGTCCATTGTGATTGAACTGAATGGATCTTCGGCGACTGGCAGTGGTTCTAAGAGCCCGTACGGCATGTGCCGCTTTGCCTTGCTCTTGTTGCACTCCTCGCATTCCTCTAGTACTTCTTTCACCCTAGACCTGATCTTGGGGAAGTCGTACCATTGCTGGATTCTGGCGAGCGTCTTTGCTTGCCCAAGATGTCCGTTGAGCCTAGCGCTATGATGCTCCCTAATCATTTTCGCCTGGACGTCCGGGTGGACGTACATCTTGTTTCCGTACCAGACTTTGCCTAGGCCGTCGGTAGTAGTACCGAACGGAAGGTCTTCTTCTTCCTCTAGAGTAGTGACCTAGAACTAGTATTCCTTTTCGTTAGCCCAGTCTACTCTATAGACCTGCAACAGTCATACCAGTCCTCGATCGGGTGGCGCAGCACATCTCCGTCTTTCTCAAAGAGCGGGGGAGATTCCACTTGCTCGCCCTTGACCCGATGGTCTAGTCTCCGGCTAAGAGCATCCGCCCTAGCGTTCTCTGTGCCTTTGATGTGGTGGATCTCGAAGTTGAATGGCGCGAGAAACTCTGCCCAACGTGTCTGTCTGCCGCTGAGTTTCTGCTTCTTGGCCCATTGCTGGAGGTTCTGGTGGTCGGTGTACACCTTACGGGGTGTTCTGTTCCACTGAGGTATGGCTGCCAGTCTTCAAAAGCGTAGATGATCGACTTTAGCTCCTTAATGTGAATCTGCCATCTCTGCTCGGCGCCGTGGAGAGCCTTAAAGATGTAGGCGACTGGGTGCTTGTGGCCGTCATGCTTTTGCTTGAGTACTGCTCCCAGAGCGTAGTCTGAAGCGTCTGTTTCGACTTCAAAAGGCTTGCTGGTGCCTTTCCTCCCGTACCCAAGGAGTATCTTTGGTGGTGAGTTCATGAAGCGGTCGCGCGATAGCCGCGAATCCCTTAATGAACATCCGGCAGAACCCTACAAATCCAATAAAGGACTTGACGTCTGTGGGGTTCTCTGGTGCGGGCCAGTCTCTGACTGCCGCAATTTTTGCTGGGTCGATTTGAACTTCCCCTGGCGATATCTCAAATCCCAGAAAAGTCGTCTTCTGCGTGTGGAACTCGCTCTTATGGTGGTTAACCGAGAGTCCCTTTCCTGCAAGAGCTTTCAGCACCTGGTGCACGTGCTCTTTGTGCTCCTTGAGGGTCTTGCTATAGACCAAGATATCATCGACGTAGACCATAGCGAAGTCGTCTATCGCTTGCCGTAAAGTATGGTCAATCATCTCCTGAAACGATGCTGGAGCGTTGGTGAGGCCCATCGGCATCACTTGGTACTCAAAGTGGCCGTGTCTCGTTCGAAAAGCCGTCTTCCACTCATCTCCTTTCTTGATCCTGATGTGGCCAAACGCAAAAGGTAGGTCAAGTTTCGTAAACCACTGAGCTCCGGAAAGCCGATCTCTCATCTCGGTAATCAACGGAAGCGGGTAACGATTCTTGATCGTCTCTTCGTTTAGTGAACGATAGTCCACAACCATGCGTAGTTTTCCATGCTTCTTCGGTACGAAGATCACTGGATACGCCACTGGTGACCGTGAACGCCTGATGAAGCCTTTGGGTAGGTTCTCATCCAGGTATTCCTTCATAGCCTCATCTTGCTGTGGGGTCATATGGTAGATCTTGTGCTTCCTGAGTCTCGCACCCTCCTTGAGGTTGATCTCGTGGTCAAATGGACCATGTGAGGGTAATTCGTCCCTCATCTTTTCTCTGAAGATGTCGTACTTCAAGTATTCGTGTGGTACGCCCTTGAACTCATCCGGTGTCTTGCTCAAGTCGTCCTCATCTGGCTCGCTAGCGTGGATGAGCATAATGAACCTCTCTTCTTGCTCTTCCTCTTGCTCAGTCGACCGTTTTCGATCCCTGCGTTGGCCTGTAAGGCGATCTTGGCTCCTACCCGTATTCTTGGGTGGCCCTTCGCCGTTCTCTTGGCGGTTTTCTCCTCGAGTTCGGCGTCCCGAGCCTCGGCTGTGCTCTTGGCGGCTGGCGAGGAACTTCTCGCCCTTCTTCCACCAAATGTCGGGGTTATATTCTTCCATCCAAGGGTCCCCTAGCAGTATATCGACCTGCTTACTCAAGGGTACGATGTCGAAAACGACGTTGTGAGATTGTCCATCAACCGTGATCAAGAGTTCTTGGGTTTCTCTCGTACAACGCCCCCCGTTGTGCTTCATAAGCTCTCCCTCAAAGGTCCGTAGTCGTAACGGTACTGCCTTCGTTCTCCATGGGATTCTGAGCCTCGTAACAAGATCTTCCGAGATGACGTTCCTGTCACTCCCGCCATCGATCTTCGCTAGGAGCGTGACTGGCTCCCGAGGATTCTTCGTCCTCCATTCGCACTGGGCCTGAACGTGTAGCCCACGTGGGAATCGTGCATCTGCCTCTACCCTGCCGATGATCTGTTCATCCGGGTAAGGCCGTTGTTGAGGGCTTTCTGAGGACCCGACCGCAAGATGCCTCCAATCTTCGGTATCGGTCCGTTGAAGCGTGGGTTTTACTCGCTTCCTTCAGGCCTGCTGGAGGCCCGCGAGTCGTTTCCCAAACGCTTCTCGTACTGACGATGGAGGAACCTAACGAGCCGTTCTTCATGGCCTCGATAGGTGGATTCTTCTGGCTCGATCCTCCTCATCGTCTCTGCCTCCAGGCGGTACTCAACCGAAGGCCACAAACGGTGCGCCCTGTTGAGCCTCCTGTTTCTGGAGTGGGTGAGGTGCTGGGTCTTCTTTCTGTGCCAGTCCTCAAGCTTCTGCCTCTGGTGGACTTGGCAGCCTGGCTGTCGACAAGCCCTCCAGTCGGTTTTGCCTTTTCGGCAAGGTTTAGGCAAGAGGGGTTCGATCACGATCTCCGCCTCCCCCTGATGGTCTTCCGTAGCCGCACCGACCCTTGTATGCCAGGTAGTTATATGTCGATATACCCTGGGAATCGCCTGTCCTGATTTCCTGGCCGGGAAATGGTTGTAGAGCCATTTTGGCGAAAGATGTGTCCGGCAAGTTTCGTGAACGCAACTCGCCCAGTCTACTTCCTGGTGCTCAGGATGCGTGGGGTGTAGCTGGTGTGCGTCTCCGGGTTCTTCGTCTTCTTCGGCTTCCTCGATTTCAACGAGGTCCAGGAATGCTTCCCCGATTCTGGTATCCTCGAGGGTCCTCTGGGTACGCCAGATCTCTTCCCGCTCTTCTGGGTTGATCCAGCTTTCAGGCGGTGCTGGCTCGTCCTCAAACTCTTCAGTCTCGATATTGAGCTGTTCCAAGAGCTTGGTCCTCTGAAGGGTGACTCTAGCTAGCTCATCAAGGGCGAGCTGTCGTCCCTGGGACGACCGAGTGCCGCTGTCGATCAGGGCGATCATCTGGTCCTGTCTTTCCTTCAGTTTTCCGAGAAAGTGCCTGATGTCCTTGATCTCTTGCCGAGTAGCCGCTTGATTGGCCAGTCTTTCTTCGGCGGCTGAGCTGAAGGGCCAATGGTCAGGGTCTTCTTCGTCTTCCGGTTCGTCTTCCGGTCCGGCTTCGCGGTCGCTCCCACCTTCGGGCGACTCCGGGATCTGCGGGACTTCCGGTCCCCAGGCTTCCGCGAGTTCGTGGGCAAGTGCCGCGGTTCCGTAGTCCGGTGGACTCTCTTCCTCGTCGATATCTTCCAGCACCATTCCAATGGTCTGAGAATCGTCGACGTCTTCCAGTACCATTCCAATGGCCTGGGAATCATTGAAGCGTGCCCTCCTGTCGTCCGGAGGTCCTCCTTGTCCCTGTTTCTTAGGCTGTCGGCAATCTCTAGCCCAGTGGCCTGTCTTGCCATAGTTGTTGCAAGTGTCGTTCTTCTTGTCGCGTGGTGGGCGCTGTCCCTGGCCCTGGTTCCTGGGCTGTGCCTGAGAGATTGCGCCGACGCTCTCATCCATTGGTCCTGGGTGGGTGCCGTACGAGGTACTCGGAGTGTGCCTCTTTTTCTTGTCGCTGGCTTTGTTGCCCTGACTGGCGTAATAGCCTCTTGCCGAACGTCCCTCCTTTTTCTCTCTACGCCTCTCACTTTCGCGCTGGAATCACCTGTCGTCAATGTTGATTGCCGCGTCGATGTACTCCCTCAGTGTCTCCGGGCGGGGCGTTTTGCAAAGCTCATCCTTGACGTGGTCCTTGAGACCATCGTAGAACGCAAGCAGTTGCCCCTGAACCGACCAGTCGAGGTGCAACATGCAGGTCTGGAAGTCCACTGCGTATTCAGCCACTGAATGAGTCTGCCTCAACTTCTTGACCTGTTCCTCCGTCTTCCGTTGGATGTGACTGTCCGCGAAGAATTCTCCCATTTGTGCAAGAACCTCCCTGACTCCCTTCTGGATGACGGCGTGGATTTCCGGGTTTCTGTCCGCCGGCTGTAGCGCTAGCGCCTTCTGGTAGGGTTCGAACCAAGTGGCCGCTTTTCCAACAAGTCTAGTGCCAAGGTACGTCACCCCATCCTTGTGGTACGGCAGCTCGTCGACGTTGTATGTCGTGTAGGAAAGCACCGAATCTTTTCATGTCTCGAACTTGTCTTTGTCCCCGTCGTAGAGCTCGGGGTGAGGGATCTTCAGCTTCTTCTTGGGAGGTGCTTTGGCCGCTTCTAGGTCCCGAATCTTACCTCCGGCCTCTGCTAGATCCGTTCTCAACTGGGTGAGTTCTGCTATCAGCTGTTCGTTGGTCGCTATGTTGTCGTTCAGCGAGAGGGGTCCGAGTTGCTGCGCAAGGTCCGTGACTCCTCCGTCACTGGCGTTATCCTGGGGTGGAGCCGCGTCTGCGTCTCTGATCTCCGTATCCTCAGGCTGGATGGATCCAGCGATGCTGCTATCGTCAGATTCGTCACTGCTTGACGAACCGGGTTCTCCCTCTGGCTGGGTGTCTGGCAGGACCGTGTCCTCCCCAGGCGTAGCCAGGTTGTCGGTGTGCGATGAGCACTCTGTTCAATCAGTACCAAAGAAGGAAGCAAACAACGTATTACAAACCACTCGACTGTCAGGGTCGTCTGTCTGTAAGGGAGCACGGGCTCCACAGAATGCTGGGTTGGTAATTATGAAGATAGAACAAAGGGCAAGCTCCTATCGCACGGGTAATACAGTCAAATCGGAATGCCACTCAAAGTGTATGAGTGCAGTGAATGTGTATTGCTTGCTTGAAGAACCAAGCAAGAACTATCTAAGACCGTGGGCACGGTCATCGTATTTATCTAATTGTGGCGGGCCAGTAAGAGCACAGCTCTTACTTGCCCGGCAGGAAGGAGCTGCCTGGCACCGGGCACTGCTAGCGTGCCGGGCCATTTGCCTGGTGCCAAGACCCCTCTTGGCACCGGGCCACCTCTGATTGGCCGTCCTTCCGTTTGCCTGGTGCCAAGAGCCCTCTTGGCACCGGGCACCGTCTGACTGGCTCAAGCGACGAGCGGGGTCCCCAGTCATGCCTGAGGCGCCCGCTTCCTGCAGCTGGTCCAGTACGAACCAGGTTCGTCACATAGGGGTAATCCGTCTCTTATCTTTTCTCTGAAGATATCGTAATTCAAATATTCGTATAGTACGCCCTTGAACTCATCCGGTGTCCTGCTTCAGTTGTCCGTATCTAGTCCGCTAGCGTGGATGAGTATTACGAACCTCTCTTCGTGCTCATCTTCTTGCTCGGTCGTCCGTTATTGATCCCTGCGTCAGCCTATAAGGCAATCTTGGCTCCTACCCATTTTCTTGGGCGGCCCTTCGCCGTTATCTTGGCGGTTTGGTCTTCGAGGTCGGCGTCCCGAGCCTCGGCTGTCTTTCTGGCGGCTGGCGAGGTACTTCTCGCCCTTCTTCTACCAAACGTCGGGGTTGTAGTTTCTATCCGTGACGGCGGTCAATAGCAAGAAGGAAAAGGATCGCTAATGTAGCTATACCATTGTCTAAGGATTCTAAGGTGAAGAAGAAAGAAAGGAAAATCTACCAAGGTGCTCTTCAGTGTGCCGAGGTTAGGTGGGAGCTGGAGAGCGCACGGGCCCACAGGGCTTGCAGGTGCCAAGCCCTCGGCCCGATTGGGACTAGTGCGGGGTCAGCTCCAAAGAGGGATCGCACTGCTGGCGGTGCTGGCCGTGACACCGCGTGTCGTGTAAGGAAAGGACCCCAACCCACACACACGACCAACTCACATGGGTACCGAGCGGGCCAAGACCTCACTCCCATGTCATGGCCCGCCCTACACTCTGTCATGTATATAAGCAGTTGCCCTCACCCCTTCCTTTGCGAGGGCTAGGTTGAAGTCTCTTACCAATACCAGTCATTGCTCGCTCTCTTCAGTACCTTCATTGTGACCTGTTGCACGCGATCGAAGTTGACAGCGCATTGAATTGTCTGCTCAATAGGTCTAAAAGTACAGAAAAGAACGCTTCCTTATACTCATGGAGAGAAGGCAAGGGAGGCGTTGTAATCAGCCCGAAAGAGGGCATTCCGAATGAAATGAGGACATTCTGAGTCAAGAATGAAGGAAATAACAAAGAATGAAGGAAGCTCAGAGGCATGTCAACCAGGGCCTGTCTAATTCCATGAAAAGTGGGGCAATTCCAGACGACATGACCACCCTGATCAGGCGTACCTACCTTCTTTACAAAAAGCTCGGGTTAACTTGCCACCTCGCTAGGTGACCCGTTGTTTGAGGATTTGTCGAGCTCGAAGAGCGCTCCATCCTTATCGTCTATATCCTCGATAATCTTGCCCCGCGCTGACCTTAAGCGCTCAAGTGGTTATCTTCGGGCGCTACACGTTTCTGTTGTGCTGTTGCGCGCCGAAGTCTTGACGATGAGCTCGTTGTTAGGCCATCAAGCGTAATCTCGGCGCCGTAGCGAGCTCAATTGTATGGTATGGAGGTCCCTACGATTTGAAAAAAATCGCAGCTACCATTGTTGAGGCCATCGGGCATCGGAAAGTAAAAAAGAAAAGAAGATGATTTCTGCTACAGGGAGGAAGCTGTCACGGCCGGCTTGGAATGAGGGCGGAACTCCTCTATTGGGCGCTATAGACGAAGATTCTAAACTAAAGAGAAAAGGGAAAAAAAGCTCAAAAGCCTCCCCTCGCGAGATTCTTCCAGGGCGTCTCAAGGTGGGGCTCTGGCCGAGCTTCCATTAGTCAGTTGGGTGGATCCCTCTGGCTGGTCGGGTGGATGCACCCGGCTGGCGTCTGATTAGTCGGAGCGTCTGGGAGGCCTGGAGGACCAGGCCCTCACAGAAGCTATCTGCAGTCAGCTAAATGTAGCCTGGAAGGTCTGTGCTCTGCTGACGTAACAGCTACGAGCGCCCCCTCGCCCAAGCTCAAAGCCAATATCTCTACAGCTTGAGTACTAACGGCTGCCCTATCTAATTATTATCTAGAATGATTTGGAGCTGGTGAGAGTTTGCGCCTAGCTCAGGGTGTGTTTAGCGTCGGTGTGTGTTTAGCGTCGGTCATCCTTTTCCCCAAGGTTTGGGAAGGGTTGGAGAGGCAGAGGGGGGGATTTATCGGCGGTGGTATTAGTGCGTGCATTATCTGTACATTATGTAGTTGGCTACCAGACAGCCAGGGTTTGTAGGGACAAACAGCAACTGCAACCCCGCATCTCAGCACGCCTCACAAACACTCAAACCCGGAAAACACCGACACCAGCAGACATGGCAGTGGCGCTGTGTTCTTTTTGCGCAGCATACCCAGAAATCTCCCACGATTCTTTCCGTCTACCAGACTACGGACAGCTCGAGCAAAGCGCAACGCAGGGCTGCGGAGGCTGCCGCTTCTTCCGTGACTGTTTACGCACCAGTGTCAACGAAACTCTGTCATTCAGTCCTGACACCCGTATTAGCGTCCGTCCAAGCTTCTGGCCTAGCCTAACTGCAACCGACCCCCGAGCAGGCAGGGAATTGAAATATACTTTACTAGTTGCCGTCTCGGGGGAACACTACGCCCAGCTCTGTGACTCCAGAGAGGGCCACCGACGAAGCTTGCTGCAGAAGGCCCTGAGCTGGCTACAAGAATGCAGTACCCAGCACGCACCATGCGCATCGCCCTAAGTCACTGCTGGGGCCAATGCGCCGACATGACCAAGCTGGGGCTGGAGAACGAAGCGACGTGGCACCACGGTATTGACCTCGAGTCCCTTTCGCTCAACTTTCAAGACGCCATCACCGTTACACGGCGGCTTGGCATCCGCTACCTCTGGATCGACGCGCTCTGTATTCTCTAGGACTCGGCTGCCGACTGGCTCGCCGAGTCACTCAAGATGACATTCGTCTTCGGCACTGCAACCCTCGTGCTCTCGGCCACGTCCGCGAAACATTGCAACGAGGGCATTTTCCTGCAGCGACCGCTGATACGCTCGCCTGCTCTCGGCCGGAACAAGCATACGTTTCTAGTGCCATTTGCCGACATCGACCTCTGGGCCAAAGGACAGACCGAACCTGACCGAATCGTTTCCTGCGAGTCCATCATCGCAAAGTCTGCTCTGAGCTCGCGTGGCTGGGCCGCTCAGGAGCGGATTGTGGCAAAGAGGATTTTGCACTATACTAGAACGGAGATGATCTAGGAGTGCGCATACCACTACCGATCGGAATTATCGCGGCCTCGGGAGCCGGCGACCTCCTCGGATAAGCCCGTCGTCGACCTCAACGTCTCGGCGCACCCAGACTTTCCGAGCTCCAAGAGGAGAAGAGTACAAAACTTAGTCACGCAGTGGCGTCAGCAGAGCTCACGCCAGGTCGCTCCGGACGACAACTTGGATCCGGACCAGGCCATACAGGCCTGGTTCTCCTGCATCGAGGAGTATTTGCCGCGAAAACTAACGTTTTCCACCGACAAGCTCCCCACCGTTGCCGGCCTGGCTGCTCTATTTCAATCTGGTCTCACCGGCGCTGGGGAATACCTAGCCGGCTGTGGAGCGGATACCTCGTCCGGTGTCTCTCGTGGGAAGCTTCAGGAATGGAAAGCAAGGGGGCTTCCGCCGTCTATCGCGCGCCCTCTTGGAGCTGGGCCGCTTGCGACTGTGGTGTAGCGTGGGCCTGGGAATCCCGACAGCGTGGCCCACCCCCTACCTCGATAGAGTGGCCAAATGCGTACAACCCCTGTCTGGTTAGCCACGAGATCGTCCCTGTCCAGGGCGATGGCCCAGAGCACCTCATGGGCGCCGAAGAAGGCTCCTACATCGCTCTGGAAGGATTCTGCACACCATTGCGAAGTTTCAGGTGCAGCAGTCCCGGTGATTACGATTATGTCGATCAGACGGAGGATTGGAAGTACACACGCGACGAAGACGAGTGCGAGGCCGGCGACGAAATTTGCGCGATGCACTTACAGTGGGCCATGGCAGACGCTGACCCGGTTGACGATGACACGGCCAAGCTCGTTGTTTGCGCGTTGCTCCTGGTGCGGACGGGAAACAGCCCTTCCTTCCGTAGGCTCGGTCTGATACGGCGTATGATTAGCCGCGAGACCTGCTACGTTGATGGTGAAGAGGTGCTCATGAGTCTGGAGGAATCATATGACTCTGTTGGCTGGGAGAGAAAGTTGGTCAAGATCATCTAGGGGTCATATGGCTTGCAAGTCAGCCCCCATCTAGTTTCGCGAGGTCAATAATCAACTCATGCGCGTGTCGTTTTAGCCCTTCGACGCTTCGCGGGTGCCTGATTAGGCTTTCAAGTATGATATTAGCACCTCAAAGCTTTGTCTGAGATAATCAACCTTGGGTAATTAAATTCCGACTTCCTTTACCACAACTCAGACGTACAGCCATTCCATGACTCTCGGGCCATCGTTGCGCAAAGAATCCAGGCCATCGTTGCGCGAAGAATTCAGGCCACCGTTGCGCAAAGAATCTCATCTCGCCCCCTTAGAGCAGACGCCCTCTATTAACCAGCTGCAACAGAATGAACACCTGCGCGGCAGAGCCAAGGAACGACACCAACGAACTCCACCCCGGCGACACAAGCAGATACAGCAACATGCTCCCCACCACGCTCAGCGCACTCGCCACAGCAAGAATCCACGTCCACCTGCGCGGCTCACCGCCGCCACCCGCCATCACATCAGGCCAGAGCATCGTGAACAGGCCCAGGAGCTGCATGGCGCCGCCAGCCACCAGCTGCCAAAACTCGGCATCGTCGTAGCGCCCTGGCTCGCCCGGGCCGGGGCTGAGCCACCAGCCCATGAAGGCGGGGATGCAGGCAAGCACCGTCACGCTCGGCACGGCGAAGTTGACGAGCGCGCGGTTCTGCGGCGCGTAGTGTATCTGTTCTTCAAGCGGCGGCGGTGGCGGCCGGGCAGGGGGCTGGGAACCCGACGTGTCCCACCACCGCTCCGCTTCGGCGTCGAACAGGTCCTGCGGGCTGCCGTGCATCGCGCTGTAGGCGTCGGGGTAGTAGCTCTGCAGGGCGTCGATCTTGACTCTGAGAGCGGCCAGCGCAGGCTCGTTGAGGCTGCCGGCGTCGGCGGCCGACTTGATGGCGGCCATAAGCAGCCTCGCGCGTTTGAGCACGTTGTTGAGGCGGTTGCGCTGCGTCTGGTCGTCATGCACCGCGGCCTCGAGGTAGTCTTGGTAGTTATGGCAGCCGGCGAAGCGCTTGGGCCGCACGGGCAGGTCGACGTGGTTGCAGCGGGCCACGAGCGCGGCGTGCTCCTTGGCTGCGCGGTACAGCTTGACCCGGATGTTGAGCAGGTCCGGGTAGTAGTCGCTGGGGCCGAGGTTGACGATGCATTCGTGCACCTGCCAGTCCCGGAGACCGGCCACGTACTCGCTCCCCAGTCTCCGGTCGTGGCGGTAGATGCTGCGGCGGTCCATGTTCAAGTCCCTCTCGGCCGGGGTGAGATACTCAGCAAACTTGTCGCTGCAGGCTGCCGTGTCGCCGCCGTCGCCCAGGGCGAGGCTGGTGAGCGCGTTGAGCACCAGGAGGTGGCGTGCGACTTGCTGGCGTAGGGCGCGGTGTTCTTGGTTCACGGCTTGGTTCTCGTCGCGGCCCGGGTCGCTCTCGTCTACTCGCGCCACATGTTGTCAGACTTGTCGAGATAATACCATCAAGATATTTGTAGGGATAAGCTCAAAACCGACCTGGATGGGCCTTTCCTCTCCGGATCCGAATGTTGGCTCCCGAGACTCCCGCCTCGACGTCACCGAGGGAAACAGTCGTTGTGCTGGCGCTGCTCAGAGCCCTGTCGATGTTTGACGACGACGCCATCCTTGATGCCAAGATTCACGGTAGTTGGAACTAGATTAAGCGATTGATTATTGCGTAGGGCTATGCTAGTAAATATCTCGTGAGTGTTAATCGAGACCAAGGGTATAGTAAATAGTTAAGGAGATTTCACGCTCAAATCTTTGGGATCAACAAGGAAGGGAGCAGAGACTCACGATGCTCGGCTGTGGTGGTCGGCTTCCCCTCTTTTCCACCTTTCCAGGGCGCGTTTCCTTCAGCCCAGTGGTCCAAATCTAGCTTGGCGGAGGGGGCTCAGCCTTAGATAACGATGCTTCGCCTCCACCAGTTAGCGGGCTGGAGGTTATCAATGCACGCCATGCATCCACACATTCGTTTTCCTCGGTAACTGGAAATCAGCATCCCATCAGCACAAATTTGACGGCTCGGGCATCACATCTTTGATTAATTGTGCTGAGGTTTTGAAGAGGTTCGAGTCTCTCATATCTGCAAAGCGGCACTCTCGCTTTGCAGCCCCAAAACTCATCATGGGCTCTCACCTGTAGAGGGGCTCTCACCTGCAGAAGGCTCTCACCTGCAGAAGGCTCTCACCTGTACAAGGCTCTCACCTGTACAAGGCTCTCACCTGTAGAAGGGCTCTCACCTGTAGAAAGGCTCGCTTGCACTCACTGAGGACATCGGGCTGAAGATCACCCAGTCGTAGGAATCTGAACAAGCCGCATGAGGAAGTTTGGCGTTGGGGACCTGGGTACATATTCTAAATGTCTTGAATAACCAACAAGATCAGCATTAATCGATGCACAGCATGGCAATATTAGGTAGCGGCATTGCTAGGAGTTGGAACCCAGTTGGTACACAACAAATGATTGCCGATTATAACGCACTAATTACCCCCAGGCCTGGTGGGAAAAATTACTAGACTAACTACAGAAAGGTAAACCAATGAACGGACGTGAAAGCCAGCGAGAAAAGATGGCTTCACTCTTTGGTACATGATACACACTGCAAAACCCAGTCCACCATCACCGCTGCCCAGCCCTCGTCCCCAATTTTCAATCTGTTGTTGACTCAAAAACCACAGCAAGCAGTTGTAGACCCGAGTTGACGATGACGGCCCACGCCAATGCGCCCTGGCGCGGGCCCCAGGAACCCCTTCACTGCCGTGTTTTGGCCGACACGTCGTGGGGATACGGCTACCTTAGCCGATGAGGCTGCCGCACTGGAACAGGCTGATGTCGACGACAGTGTTCTAGAGGAATAAACGTAGTGTCAGCTTTTCCAGTTGCTTCCTAGACAAATGGCAACAAACAAATCGTCAGGGGGTGTTTCGCACGGGAGCAGCATTGGTAGAGCAGCAGTAGACATTGCCACCGTTGCAGGTGTTGCCGCCCAGGAGGTCGCCGAGTAGCAAGCTGATGACGGTGCACTGCAGGTCGAGGCCGCCGTGCTGGGTGCAGCAGACGGGCTGGTAGTTGGCGTTGCAGCTGCTGCCAGTGCGGGCGGCCACGACAGGCTCGGCCGCGGGAAGAGCCGTGGCAGTCATGGCGAGGGCCACGATGGCGGTGATGACGTTGGTGAGTTGCATTTTGGCTGGTTTAGGGGGTGGAACTGGGCGTTCTTTGCAACGAAGTGGAAATGAGGGGGTTCTGAGGTTGAGCTTGAGGGCAAGGCTGGGCCGGGATGCTGGATTGCTGATGTCTTTGGTGATGAGTCTGGGTTGGTGAAGTCGAGAGAAGAAGGGGGTTTATATAGATAGCTGTGAGGGCAACGTCGCCGGTAGTTTCGAAGGTGGAAACTGCTTCACGCCTCCATAGCCACCCCCTGGCCTCTGCATCAACTCATTCCCGATGCTGTGTTGATGTCCGTCGTCATCGACACGATGATTTCCTTGTTGGGAAGAAGACAACCAATGTCCAGGCCGAGTGTCAGCTTGGCGCTTTAGTGATAACAGACATATCCGACCAGCTTCTGAGGATATTCATGATTCAACTTGGTTCTGGACTTCAAGAAAGTGTTGACGTTCACTTGCTTAGGCGAAAAGCTAGAAGGACACTTGAAAATCCAGTTCGCTTCAGCTTGGGATGCCATTGCCACGTAAGAAAGCTACCACAGCTCAACACACTCTGCGGAAGTCGCAGCACATGACTGTTGCCAAATCCCCAGCTCCTACATAGTGTGCAGTGTTCCATGCTAACCAACGAATTGGAGGAAACCCGGGGCTCGGTGCGACCCGGAGAAGAGAGACTGATCAAGCTGTGGCCGCCCCTGAATGCCGCTGCCAACTTCTCTTCGAGATGCAACATGATCTGATAATTATGCCTCGGGTGGTATAGGCATCCAGCGATTGCCGTAACGGCGCGTTCTGCGATGTGATTTGCCAGGGGTTGCCCCAGGTTCACGTCGTCGCAGGAAAGAGTGGCGGCAGGGGAAATCTGCAAGACATCCCAACCGGCTCCTGCTCGCCGTTAGCCCCATAGAGATGAGATGAGCTTGGCGTCTTGGGTCCGAGATGGCTTGCACATCCGAGATCGGGATTAACCAAGAGAGCAAAGTCGAGTTCTCAGCCGCAGTTCCCGCCCGTCCGTTCAGTGCCCAAGCCAATACCAGCTATATCTTCGGCGCGAAGGTTAAAGGCACTCTGTTCTATCACCACAGCAGCATACTTGTTTGCTTTGATAGCTCATTCGTGCCCCTTTGCTTAAGCCTGCTTAAAACCAAGCTTGTCATACGGCTCAGATACGAGTCGGATAGGGGTCCTCGTCAGGATGCCGTGTGCCATGGCGTGTAGGAAGAAGCCGCCACCAAAAATTCCCGGCACATTCATAACATGGAAGCGGCGTACGAGAACGCGGCCAGAAGCTAGGCGCGTTTTCCAAGCTGCAGCCAGCCAGATTCATGGCGCATCACTTTGTAAAACTAGATTCCCGAACCCCACGGGGCCGGAACGAGCTGCCCAGAAAATTCGTTGGCCCGTCACGTTCCACGACATGCGAGCCTCGGAAATTGCCCCTTTAGCCGCCTCCCAGTAGCAGTCGAATTCTGAAAATACTAAAAGTAGATCTCTAGAGAGCTGCTATGTATGCGGCACGACCCTGGGAGGCATATCCGCCGCGTTGACAGCTACCGACGACCAGGATCCATAAAGCAGCCCGCACGTCCACTGTTGTTTCAACGAGTACGGTTATTTGAGTTTTTCGAAACGCAGCATTATTCGTTCAGATCAATCATGCTAATTAGAAGCCTGGGGGAGACGTTGGTTGGACATGGGCAGTGGGCAGTGGGCAGTGGGCAGTGGGCAGTGGGCAGCGGGCGCTGGTCAGGCAGCTTGGCTGAAGTGGACTTTCACCATGCCAACTCACAATTAGCAAACTGGGCAGCTTGACACGAATCCCTCCGGATGCGTAGTGGTGTTTGATGACGAGTATCAGACGACCGGACCCGAAGGCTTTGCTCTCCGACGGGTACGTGCAGTCCGCCAACGGCTGTGAAACGCGCCACTAATCCTAGCTAGTGCCAAACATGACTTGGTAAACAGACTTGAGTTGAGAAAATTAGAACAGTCTCTCTTCTGATGTTGCAATCCGGCACTCTTAATGCAACTTCGGAGTGAAAACAAGGAAGCGTTGCCACAAGACGAGACCAGCCTCCGTTCAACCAACTAAGAAGAGCCGCTCGTTGGTTGCCATTACCCTTATACCTGATTATAAAGCTATTCCATGAGCCTCAGAGCTTTGCAGGTCCTGTCAACCTCGGATTCCTGGAAGTTCGAGATCGCCATGACAGCTCTGTCATCAAGGCACGTGTGACTCACGAGAGCCGTACAAGCAACCAGAAAGAGATAGTGATAGCCCACAAACCAAAGAGAATCTGCAGGGCCGTGTAATAAGTTCATGGAAGGGAGCAGCTCAAGAAAGCCACTACCTTATCCAACCAGGTAGGTGGACGTGGCCTCATCTTGTTTTGTCGTTCATTATTCAGGCAAAATCAAGCCCGCTGCCACAAATCTCACCTCTCGTGCGAGACGCTTCTCATCTGAAGCTCAAGATCCCGAAGCCTCGCACAAGGCGCCCGCCACTGACGGCAATCCTTCGCGCCACCAACAACCCCTTGCCAAGGCGGCCACCCCCCACCCGACGCCGGCTTTGTGTCGGGTTTGCGCGTGAATGATTTTCAGTTTCTTCCAGGTCTAGACCACACCCTCGACGGCCTTGCAGTGTTGGTGGCCGGAAAACAACATCGAGCCAAGGCGCCGTGCTGTCCGGTCTGCAAAATGAGGCGGCCTTGGGCAGAACAATAGAACATCCATACCGAGTTTGGCCAAAGGGTTAATTACCGGCCGAAACCCCCTTCCCGAAATTCTGTAACCAAGCTGTGCGCGACAAGACGATGTCGATTATTTTCTGGGCTGACAGGACGCCGAAGATGGCACTCACTTTGAAGTGGCCTCAGAATCCAATGGCCGCCGATGGAGGGTGGGTTTCTTGGCAACGCGATTGCTGACCCCGATACTTCGTACCCCCGATCGGTGTCCACCGGCCTTGGCTTCACGCACGAGCGGACAATATATTGAAGATAATACTGCTAGATCTGTACAGTACTTGTGTCAAAATGCTTACTTTACACGCTCTGTTCTCCGTAATCCAGATAGAGTTGAAAGAGCGCGGAGAAGCTTCAGTTAAGGACGGGAAAATTCTGCCGCTCTGCTTGGCGTAAGCCCTAGGCCAAAGCTGGTATGGCTCAGCAACGCCACAACACCGCCTCGGCAGTGTCACCACACTTTCCAGAGTCGAGACACCCATTCCGAACTGCGAAAGGCTGTTGGGGAGCCGGACTTGCACCTTCTGCGGTCTTGATAAGGACTGACAAATAACTTGCCCCGATTCAGCTCGACTGGTTCCATTTTGGCTAACCAATAAAAGACATTGTGTCTTTCCGCCAAGGACGTCAAAGTCGAAACCTGGTAAACGATGCGGACACGAAGGTGCGGACACGAAGGTACGAACTGAGTACTCATTAAAGAACGCCCAGCAAGGTCATGTGAAGATGGCCATGGCCTACAGTGTGTGTTTTGTCCGAGAGAAAGAAAGTATTATTTCCAAGAGAGTATTATTTCCAAGCAGCATTATGCCAATACAAACACATTACAGTATGGTACATGTAGATAGGAAACGTGAAGGCGTGGTTGCTCGTTGGCAAGCTCTGTCCGGTCACCTCCGCGCGTCATACGACACTGTGTACTGGTCTGTCCTCCGCACATACATTGGCGGCGGCGGCGGCGGCGGCGGCGTCACCAAGCTCTGCTGGCTCCCTGCAGAGGGATAGTATGTAACGACGGGCTCTCCGGCATATCTGTGGTCGACCTCGACCTTCGCCACGCCGCCGAGGCTGTTGAGGTGGTGATGGTTGCTGCGCTCGAGGTCAAGGTACACGCCGGCTGAGACGTCGCCATTCTTCCCGCTCGGCACGGACCGCGCGGACCTCGACGAGTGTGATGATTTTGTCTTGGTGGTCCTCTCCGTGTTCCAGCGCACGAAGCGGTACAGGGAGGCGGTGACGGCGGCGAGCCCCGGGATGTCTTTGAGTATTCCGCGCAGGGGCGGCACGCAGCCCATGATGATAACGAAGGCCTGTTCCAGTCCGGCCCACATGACGGCCAAGCTAGCGCTGTACTGCGCGTCTACGGTGGGCTGCCTGCCGATCCAGACGGCCTTGAGGATGGACAGGGCCACCGTGAACAGCGACATGCCGAGCATGACGATGAGACCGACCTTGCGGTGCAACGCCATGTGTAGGCTCCAGACGATCATGACTGGCAACAAGACATAGGCCAAGTCCGAGAGCGTGTAGAGGGCTGCGTTTGTCAGTCCGAGGCCTCTAAAGCGCACGCGACGTTTGGAAGTGGCGGGGACTCACCTTGCAGGAAATACTCGAGGTAGATGACAATCCTCGGGTCCCATCTGGTGACTCCGGGGCGGAACACGTCCCAAAGACCCTCGGTAGGTTGGACTTGGAGCAGATGGATAGGGATGATGGCTGTCCCTACGATTGTCTGAGTCGTCGTGAGGACGATGGTGAACCACTTGAACCACTTGTGGACGCCGCCAAACAAGCGGACGAGAAGCAGGGCAATGGAGATGCGGGCTGTGATGGAGACAGCCATGCCGAAGACGAGGCCGAGCCAGCAGAACTTGAGCACGTTGACAAATGGACCGGGCATCTCAATATCAGCGTCGTGTTTCCCCATGCCGAAGTGGTACGAAGTCGATATGAGGCTCTGGAACACAAGCTGAAAGACCTGTGGCGCGGCAGCCTCGTCAGTATCCGGAGCTGCCGTGTAACACACATCGAGTTCACTCACAACCGCGGCCAGCATTAGCCAGTCGTCCAATCCCGTGGCTTTCGTGCCCTTCTTGCACAGGTAGAGCCTCAAGGAGATGGCCACCGTGGCAATTATGGTGAAGGTCCACGTCATGCCCATCACCAAGGGCCCGATGCCGTGGTCATTGGGATGGGCCGGCGGTGGAAACGCGAACGGTGGCGGGGCGGACATGACGGGTGTCGAGGAGAGCGACGATTAAATTACTAGCAACCGATCCGACGGGAAGGACAGATTGAGAGGAAATAGGACGAGCACCAATGATGTAGGAAAGACACGGAAAGAAAAGGGCGAACGAGCGAGAGATGGTATATTTGCGGGAGGGCAGAGAGGGAGCACGCTGGGGCCAATGTCCAACGTGCATTCCCTTGGGAGAAAAGAGGGCAACGACGGAGCCATGTCTGGCCACATCTCCAGCTTGCAATCCCGGGCCAAGGCGGCGTCGAGCGGCGGTGCGTGTGCCGTCCACGACTTCGTTCGAACAGTCGCCTCAACTGGGACGTGTGAGCGGGGGAATCTACGACGTCGGAGCGAAACAGCGTCCCGTCTGAGAGAGGCACAGCGGACAAAAGCGCCCTTGGCTTAGCTCTGCTGACCCGTGATTCTGACACTCCCAACTGAGCGAACGGCCAACAGGCGGCGGGCTGGACAAATCCTGCCAGCCATCCTTTCCTCGCTCCAAATCGTTCTAGTTCCAGTTTCGGGCTTGCCTTGCCACTTGACAGACTGGCCGAGCTCGAGCCGAAACGCGGTGCCTCGAGTTGCGTTGGTTTGGCCTCCAGCGTTCTTGCGGCAAGTGCAACAGCGAGTGCATCAGCGAGTGCGTCAGCGAGTGCGGCGACAAATGTCCAATGCAGACAAGACAGTACTGTACGAAGAAACATCGGCGGGTCAAAAACCGGCGCATCGGCGAATGCAATGGGCGAGTGCGACAGCAGGGGATACCTACAATCCGAGTCGCCAACAACCTTGGCGGTTGATGGCGACGAAAACAAGGCAGGTGCACTATCGACAGGCGCATCGAATCGCTGTATTCCAGCAGGTTTCTAACCGCGAAGAGAGAATGGTGGGCAGAGAAAGCAAGTGCAGAGAAAGCAAGTGCATCGATGGATCGGTGGGTTTTGGGGTTTTCGGGAAAACGTTCGGTCAATAGGCAAGTGCGGCTCACTCACGTGCAAAACAGTCTTTCAGTGGCAATACGCCGATCCTCCAGGGTCGATACCTGGTACATACGTACAGCACGAAGCTGCCGAAATAAGATGCAGCCTTGGAAGGAACAGGGGGCTTCGGCGGGGACGTTCGGACTTGGGAGATGGCGGGGTCGGTCGGTGACGGCCCAAAAAGTTGGGGTGCACGTTTCGTCGGCTTCCCACGGGCTGCTGCCACCACGCAGTCATTCGCTGTAATTGTCTTGATAAGGCAATTACTGACCGAGCACCCGAGGAGATGGGTTGTCGTCCATCCGGACAGAGCAATCCAGACTTCCCAGACTTTCCCAGACTTTCCCAGACTTTCCCAGACTTTCCCAGACTTTCCCAGACTTTCCCAGACTTTCCCAGACTTTCCCAGACTTTCCCAGACTTTCCCAGACCTTCCCAGACTTTCCTTGGTTGGCTGAAATATAAATAGCGTTGGGCTGCAGTGCTGCGGCGACGAATGCGACTGTTTTCGCGCTTGCCCACTGGGTAATAAACCGAACCGGGCTCGTTCCTTGGCAACGTCGCAGTTCCCCTTGCATCGCCGCCGGTCCGCCTTTCTCGACATGGAGAAGAGGAAATAACCTCATGTCCTGAATGGCGGGGTAGAGTCTACATTGCGACTTTACGTTGTCTTCTCTTGGGACCGGTAAGTTTTATCAACTGGTCGTGGCTCTCCAAGTTGGCAAGGTTTCGTGCAGAAGGAGATCTGGTGCAGGATGACGCCTTGAGTCCTTGACAATGCTGACTTGGAGTCAGCAGCGAGCGCGCGGCGCGATTGCCGCCTCTGGAGTCTGGATTCCTGGAAACAACCACGAATACGTGTATTTACTTACGTATTCGTAGTTACCTTACACACATGTATTCCGTACGCGGAACGAATATGCAAGGCATCCGTATCCGTATCTTGCGGGCAAGACGGTCATAAAGTTCAAATACGAGCAGCAGCCATGCAAGACAAGACAGCTAACGGCCCGACAAGAAGGCGACAGCCTAGACGCCAACACGCGGGAATAGCCGTGCTTGATCCTGCCGCAGATTTAGGAGCCAGCGACCGTGCGGTACTGTACAGACTTTGTGCGTGGATACCCACAGAGTATTCGTGCCTTGCTATGTACATGCTTATTCACATCTGGCAGACGAACTCCCGCGCCCAGGGGCCCTGCCCCACCTCACATCACCTCAGTAGCCGCGCACGCGGTAGTGCATCTCGCACGCGGTAGTGCATCTGCGCACGCGGTAGTGAATCTGCTCAAGCCTTGCAAGGCACTTGGTAGGGAGCATGCATCCTTGCTGCCGCATGCACGATGCCTCGATTCTGCTGAGAGGAATGATGAAGAACCTTGGGGAACTTTTCAGACAACCTAAGTTGCGTCGAGCAGGCGCACGGCCTTTTCGCCCGCCAAATCCAGAAGGCCGCTTTCGTTTCGAGGCCTCACCGAGAAGTTACTAGGTTATAGCAGCCCTGATCCATGCTCAACGCCGGCACTCCAGCATGCAAGGCGCCGAATTACGCTAGAAAAAGCACCCCGCCTTCCAGCTCCCTTGTTCCCCTGCTCCGGGCACTACTCCGGAGCGCAGCTACCTTAGGTTCTGACGCCAGCCGGCCACAGCACGGGCGGCCGTGCGAAGTCGGTCTCTCTCCAACAAGAGAAAATCGCCGTGATAGCGTCGCGATAGCGCTTGAATGGCCTCGATTGAAGCCCATGACGCATACCAACGGAATGGTTACCTGGTGCCAGCGCTCCGGTCGCGAAGACGGACCCAACAACTGCTGTGCGACGCGACAGGCTCGTTACCCCGCGTCCCCCAAATAATTGTCGGGACATGCCTGGAAGGCGCGGGCAAGCGGCCATCCACCGTTCACATCCATCGTTCACCATCCATCGTCCCATCTCGCCCCATCCCAACGCCCAAAGCCGATGTTCTTCATCAATCCGCAACGAAGTTACCTGTGCCGCACTCCTAACCGGGGGCCCTCCGCCGTAACAGGGCCGGACTGGGGCATGTCCAACAAGCGCGCTCCTTGAGGAGCCAACCAAGTGTGGCAACTCGAAGAATGTAATGTTATCTAAATAAGCCATCCATAAGGCAGGCAGTCTAAGGCAGGCAGTCTCCCTTAGCATCTCCCCTCGGACCCCTACCAGGAACACAGGGCAGCGGGGTGCAGGCAGGCATCGCCGTTCACCCCACCTTACCAGGCTGCCTGCCGGGGTAGCTGCGAAGTCAGTCAATAAGCCGCCGAAAGGGGGCCCAGGTGCATATTGCTTTAAGCGGGTTTGCTTTCCTTTTCCTCTTTACTGCATACCGTCCCACACACCCACACACCCATACAGCTCACTCCTGGAAGCAAGACTGGTAGGACACGGCGAGTGGCTGGGCATGTTTCCGGATTGGTGATTTTTCTTTTTGCTTTATTGGCTAGGTCAATCCAATCGCAGCAATGGCGGGCTTGTCATCCTGCTTGAGATGGGGCACGGCGGCTTGAAGACGCAGTGGTCAGCAACCACCCTCCACACAATAATTATACTGGGTGCTGTCCTTTCCCCCCTCAGCACGAGTCCTCCACTTCTTTTCCTCCAGCGGGATCATATCTCACGTCCCTTGTAATAATCCTCGGCAGCTTGGGCTCACGGCAAAAGCGGCCTGTTTGTCTATCTATCTTGATACCTACCTACCTAACTTGATACCTACCTACCTTGATACCTACCTGACCAACTTGATACCTACCTACCTACCTTGATACCTACCTACCTACCACCTACCTACCACCTACCTTGATACCTACCTACCCACTGCCCCCTCCACAAGTTACAGAGACCCCACACCACGTCACAGCCGCTCTCAGTTACACACACACATAGACCATGCCATCCTCGCTTCCGGACCCCGCCCCGGCCCCGGCCCCGGCCTCCGCCTCCGCCTCCGCCTTGGGCCAAGACCCCAAGACCGTCTTCGTGACCAGCGCCACCGGGCTGGTCGGCAGCACGCTCTGCGAGCTGCTCATCGCGCAGGGCTACTCGGTGCGGGCGACGACGCGGGACCTTTCGACGCCGGCGGCCCAGGCGCTGCTCCGCGTCGGGGTCCACCTCGTCCAGGGGTCGTGGGACGCGCCCGACTCGGTGCTGCGCGAGAACCTCGGCCGTAGCAGCAAGCTGTTCCTGTGCCTGCTGATGGACCTGTTCGACGCTTCGCTGATGCCGCAGCGGGCGGCGCAGATGGCCCGCGTGGCCCGCGCCGCCGGCGTCACACAAGTCGTGACGCTGACGTCGCTCGGCTCGGCCATGGTCGAGGACGGCGCGCCGCTGCTGCCGGTGCCGCTCAGCCCGTTCGCGGCCGCCGCGTTCCCCGCTGGCTACGACGTCGAGAAGGCGGCCATGGCCGGCGGCTTCGACAGCTGGACGCTGCTGCGGCCGGGCTTCTTCATGGCCAACTTCCTCGAGCCCAAGATCGGCCTCGGCTTCGTCGGCCAGCTACGCGACCGCGAGAAGGGCGTGTGGCGCAGCTCCATGGCCGGCGAGGCCCTGCTGGGCCTGGTCGACCACGTCGACATTGCCAAGACGGCGGTGGCGGCGTTTGAGGCGCCGGCAAAGTTCCACGGCAAGAAGGTCGGGCTGGTCAGCGACGAGATGCCGGTGCAGAACGCCCTCGACGGGCTGGCGCGCGCCATTGGCGACGGCCGGAAGCTCAAGGCGGAATTCATGGGCGACGACGAGATGAAGGCCGCCCAGGAAGCCGGGTCGTGGTTGTACTTTTGCTCAGACCCCACCGCGCGCTACATGCACGACTACGTGGGCGACCTCGCCGAGATTGGTAGCTGGATCCCCGGCGGGCTGACGTCGTGGGACGCTTTCCTCGCGAGGGAGGAGAAGCTGGTGAGGGAGACTTATGGGCGGCGCATGAAGCGGAGGAGTTTTTGGTTATTCGGTTGGAAGTAGCACCAGAACACGGCCGGTCTCTACATATTCCCTTGTCTTCTTTATATTTTTATATACGGTTAGCCTCGATGCCCTAGTGTCAAGTAAGAAGTCACCCGCATTTGTGTAACGCTGCGAGTAGTCCCGCCACTACCAATGTAGACCGTTTTGCAGCTGAGCAACGTGTGCCATATTAGCCAGTAACCTAGACTTGCTCAACTTGATCGTGTTCTTATCGTACGTAAATACGCTGTATACGCTCTCAAGCCCTTGTATTCCTGGTGAGGAACCAGGTACGCCTACCAGAAACGCCTCAGATACGCCTCAGAGACGCCTCACAGACGCCTCACAGACGCCTCAGATACGCCTCAGAGACGCCTCAGAGACGCTCTAAATACACCTCAATGAAGTCCAGCAACCACGTAACACAGCAATCCGTACGGCACATAACACCGTGACATGTGCGAATACCCACCACAGTTCACAGCAAGGCAGAGCATCATATCATACACGTTACATGTGATGCGTTTTGTTATTTTTACTCTCGTTATTTTATCGTCAAGCTGACCACAGAGTGCGTGACTCTTAACTATAGAACCTCACGGCAGGCGCACGTCCATGACGCTCTCGTAGCTGCCGCCATTGTAGACGTACGTCTTGATGAGCTTGAGCCCGGCGGCCTCGATCAGGCGGCGCCACTGCGCCTCGGTGCGCTCGCCACTGGCAAAGGCAGCCAGCATGGTCAGGTCCATGGACGTCGTGTCGACGTTGACGCCCGTCTCGGGCAGGATCATCTCATCGATCAGCAGCACCGAGTCGGCCGTCATGGCCGCCTTGGTCAGCTCCAGCAGAGTCTGCACCTTGAGATCAGGGTGGTTGTGGAGCACGCCGCGCATGAAGTAGAACTTGGCCCCTGTAAGTTGTCAGTTCCTGGACGTGGCAGCAAAGAGGCAGGGGGGTGGGTAACTCGGGAGAGGCTCACCATGCACGGGCTGGGGGTTCCAGAAGTTGTGCACCATGTTCTCGACCTTCGGAGTGGGCAGGGCCTGGGCGATGGAATGCGGCAAGTCCTGCAGGATGACCCGGCCGGGCACGTTCGGATGGACGGCCTTGAACTGGGCACACTGGTGGCCGATGCTGCCGCCGATGTTGACGTAGACAGGGGCCTCGGCGGGCCAGCCCTCGGTCGCGGCCTCGACGGGGTACACGCTCAGCCACGACAGGTCGGACTCGCGCCGCAAGGCCATGAAATCGTTAAAGTAGGCCAGGTTGGCCGGGTTGTCACCGAACCACGCGTAGGCGTGCTTGTCGGTCTTGTAGGCGTCCTGGAATACCGTGTGCAGCTCATCTGTTGGGCTCTTGTAGCCATTTTTCTTCAGGTGCTCCGGGATGGCCAGATACTGCGGCACGCAGGTGTACAGGCTTTTTTGGAAACGGTCAGTGCTTGACTCGCGACGTGGTCATGGCAGGCGAAGTGATGATGCTCAACATACTAGTGGCGGATACCCGGCTCTGCAACCTTGTCGGCGAGGTTCTCGGTCAGGGCATTGGCGGCATAGCGGCGCTTGCTGTCCTCGTCGACGGCACCAATAGAGGCGAGGTACCTCAGGAGGCGGCCTGCAACGAGTTCACGGGTCAGTTGACTGAGGCGGTAGATGGCATGCAACGAACGGCCTATCTTACCGGCGAGCAGGACTTCCGCCCCGGTCTTCTGGGCGACTTCGTCGACGGTCAAGGGGCCAGCGGACTTGACTAGGAGCTTGAACAGGCCCAAGTTGAAGCCAACCTCGATGATAGTTGTTTGGAGAGGCTGACAGACGAGACGGTCAATCTTTGTTTACTAGGGGGTTCACGGTTCACGGAGCACAACCTACTAGGCACCCATATCGGTGGACTGTTTCGTCGGGAAGCTCGAGCGAGTATGCCAGCTTGTGCAGAGAGGCCATGATGGAGTGGCGAGTCGACTCATCGGCCGTAGCGGCCAGGGCCTTGATCTGGTCAAGGGCGGCGTCAACCATTGTGTATAACGTTTGTGTGTGTGTGTGTGTGTGTGTGTGTGTGAGAGAGAGAGAGAGAGAGAGAGAGAGAGAGAGAGAGAGAGAGAGAGAGAGAGAGAGAGAGAGAGAGAGAGAGAGAGAATGTGTGTGTGTCTGTGAGAAGTGAGTTGAGCTACTGACAATGGCAATGATCACAATCACAGCCTGTGGTGTTGCTTGCTTCTACTTAAGGTATCCCACCCCCTCTCCCACCCCCTCTCCCACCCCCCCTTGTTGACATTGGATTTGTCGGTTAACTTGATATTCGTGCGTTGCATATATGGGGGCTGCCAAGAGATTGCCTGACAAAGACCGGTGGGTACCCAAGGTACGTACCTTGATGGCCAAGGTATTATGTGCCGAGCAAGTGCAGGAGGTATGCTGCTCCCAATGTGCGTGCACGTGTATTTCGAACCAACACGAGGAACCACAAGCGTTGCATAGGCACCTTCCCCAAAGACTGTTCCAGATGTACTGTGTATCCGTCTGAGCCGGACATAATTACATTGGCGACGGATTTCCGCCCAGCGCTTGTCTGATCCCGGTGGATCAGCTACTATAGTTGTTCCTTGTTCCTGTCAGGCTCCAGCTGCGGGTTGCCGTGATGTGCGTGTGAGTGGGGAGCTTCTAGGCCTACTAGAAAGTTTAGCTTGGGCGGGAAGCTCGGCAAAGTGGCAAGGTGCATCGGGGTCGTGATTCCTTCGAGTCGGCCGGTCTGAGCCACGTCTGGGGTGTGACAAGTCACCTTCAATGATTCGAGGGAAGCAGGGCAGTAGCCGATTAGATAGCGCGCAGCCTTGTCGGGCTGTTGTCGAGTAACGAATGTCGCGGAGCGCCAAAGAAACACGGTCGACATGCTTGTTCAGTAATTGACAATGTGACATGAAGTAAATTATTCGACTCGTGGCCCAGGCCAGCACGCAGTACAGTCAGTACAGTCAGTACAGTGTCTGGTGCCAGTGCTGTCTGGTGCCAGTGCTGTGCCGTTCAATAATCCCGCCAAACACGGAAACAAACCAATAAACAATCGACTCAAAATTCGGAATGGAACCCCATACGACCTCAGCAGCCGGGTTGGCGGTGCGCGTGCTGTAACCCATCCGCCCATTTATCCATCCCAGCTAAGGTTATAACACCTAAAACAGCAGTTGGTGTAACGCCGTGTCTGACCCAAGCATGCCCGAGCATGCCGTATTTCGCAAAAATGCCCGATCCACCGGTACGACGCGTAATCTGTATCGGCTGACAGCCTGACGCCCTGTATCAGCTAACAGCCTGACGCCCTGTAAGATGACGCAGTAACCTGGAAGGTAAGGTTGGTGGCTCCTCCTCGGGCTGCACTACCACTACCGCGTCTCCACAGGCCTGGCCACACTGACCGCGGCCACACGACCACGGCCCCACAGCTGTCCGCTTTCCATTGGATCAAATCCTCAAAGCCCCCGCGCAGCGAGGGCAGCCGCCAGCGTGTGGGCAAAAGTGTCCACATGGTCTGGGCCAATCATGGTGTAGTGCTCGCCGGCGACAGGGTGGAACCGCACCTTCTCGGTGCAAAAGTCAGCCCAGCGTGCAAGGTGGACGGCGAGCCACTCCTCGCGCGACTTGGCCACGGCGCGGAGGGGGATGGCGTAGAAGACGTCCAACGCGGCGACGGACCCCAACGGCTCGTAGTCGACGGCCATGCTCTGCAAGCCGAACGCGACATCGGCCCAGCGCGCGAGCGCGTCGCGCGTCAGCCCCAGCTCGGCTAGCTTGGGCGCGCCTGCCTCGGCCACGACCTGCTCCAGCGCCGCAGCGCGCGACAGCCCGCGGAACCTGCTGCCGTCGTCGGAGTCGGCCTCGGCCGCGTCGGCGCGCTCCTCCGTAGTCAGGCCGAGGAAGTAGGCCAGGTGCAGCAGGCACATGTTCCAGCTGAGCTGGCGCATGCGGTGCTTGATGTGCGGCGGCAGGTTGAGGCTGCCGACGAACCGCACCTCGTCACCGAACCGGGGCCCCGTCAGCACCTTAGCCATCTCGAACGCCAGCATGGTGCCGAAGCTGTACCCGGCAAGCGCGTACGGCCCCCGCGGCTGCACCCGCCGCACCGCCCCCACGTACGTCTCCACCGCCTCGCCGATGCTGCCGAAGCTGCTCTGCCCCGGCTCGAACCCCCGCGCCCGCAGCGCGTACGTGGGCCGCGAGTGCCGCTCCAGCGCCCCCATTCGCACCGACAGGTTAAGGAACACGAGCACCTCGCCCACCCCCGGGTGCACCAGCCAGAGCGGCGTCCTGTGCCCCGTTGCCGCGAGCGTGACCACGGGGTCATACATGCTGTCGAGCGTGGCCACGGGGTCATACGTGCTGTCGAGCGTGGCCACGGGGTCATACGTGCTGTCGAGCCTGACCACGGGGTCATACGTGCTGTCGTTGCCGTTGTGCGCGTTGTGCGCGTTGGCGTTGGGTGGTGCTGACGAGTGGGGCGGTGTAGGGTTGCGCGCTAGAGATGCATCCGATGGGGGTATCTGGAATTCCAGCGCCCCTGCCAGGGACCGGGCCGTCGGGTGCTTCATCAAGGTGATGACGGGGACGGATATGCCTAACCGCGTATCTAGCCGGTGCTTGAGCCGGATCAGATCCATCGATGTGAAGCCGAGCGAGAAGACGGGCGTGTCGACGCTCAAGGTCGGTGGGGGCGCCGTGCTGCCTCCCGCCGCAATGGCGGCAATGTCCTGGAGCAGGAGCGTCTCGGCCTCGCTTGCGGGTGTCGTGTCGGCGGCGGCCTCTCTCTGTTTCGCAGCAGCGAGCTCGTCGAGTGCCTCTGCGTGGAGCTCAACGTCGGCGGCAAAGACGCCCTGCTCGAACAGCGTGCGCATCTTGGCCCGTGAGATTTTGCCCAGTGCCGAAGTCGGCAGCAGTGCCACCGATGCTTCGCCGAGCACGAAGACCAGCGGACGCGACGCCGTGCTCAGTACGCAGGCCTGCACGACGGCCTCCTCGGCAGCTGCCCGTTCCCGTGTTGGCGTCGGCCAGGCCCGAGGCACCACGGCGACGGTGACCTGCTCAGTGGGCATGCCCGGGGCGCGCGACGCGAACAAGACAACACGCGCCACCGCCAGGCCCGAAACTGCCCGCTCGACGGCTGTCTGCACGTCGGCCGCCAGCAGCTTGACGCCGTTGATGTTGACCACGTCCTTGACGCGCCCGGCCAGGCGTAGGTTGCCGCCCGCGTCCAGCGCCGCCTGGTCCTCGGTTCGGAACCATCCGTCGGGCGTGAAAGCGGCTGCGCTAGCCGGCGCGTTGCGGTAGTACCCTTTGAAGACGACGGGCCCGCGCACCTCGAGGTCGCCCACCTCGCCAGGCACAGCTACCCGGCGGCGCTCCGGATTTGTCGTCTGGCCGCTGTCGTTGCTGGTATCGTTATCGGCCACTGTGATGCGCATCTCGATGCCGGGCATGCACCGTCCCAGCGCGGCCACTGCCGAGTCGTGCTCGACCTCGTACGCCGGACAGGCCAGGTTAAAGATGGCGCCGGCGCACGTCTCGGTCATGCCGAAGCCAGGGGTAAGCACGTCTGGCGGCGCGCCGAGCCCGCTCAGCAACGCCGCGGCAGCCACGCACGTCGCCGTGTCGTTGGCCTCGCCGCCCGACGCGAGCGCCACCAGTCCCGACAGGTCCCACCTCTTCTTGTCTTGTTGCCCGCTCTCTTCGTCGTCTGTTGTCCCTGCCGCGACGGCGCCCACCAGCCGCGCGAGGAAGAAATTCGGCGCAAACGAGCGCGCCACGCGGTGCTCGCTGAGTAGGTCGAGGAACCGCACCGGCTCCGACACGACGTCGCTCGCGTAGGCGTGCACCTGGTCGGCGCCCAGCCACAGCGCCTGCAGATGGATTTCCACCAGGCTCGCCACGTGGTCGAGCCCGATCCAGTTCAGCAGCGTCCCCGACGCCGGCAGCGGGCGCACCGACGCCTTGCCCGCCACCGCCGCGAGCACTTGCGCGTGCGTCAGCTGCACCGCCTTGGCATTGCCCGTGCTGCCGGATGTGAGCATCAGCATGGCTAGCCCGGGTGGTGGGGCGCAGTGTCCGTCGGGGCCGTTGGAATCGCCAATCCCGTTCGTGCCGTTAACTCCGTTGACACCATTGATTCCGTTGACTTTTTTGTTGCCATAGGTGCTGTTGGTGCCGTTGGTGCCGTTGACTTTTTTGTTGCCATAGGTGCTGTTGGTGTCGTTGGTGCCGTTGACTTTTTTGTTGCCATGGGTGCCGTTGGTGCCGTTGGTGCTGTTGGTGCCATTGGTGCCAGCGTTGGTATTGTGGCCAAGGACATGCCCGTTTGTGTCGCTAGTGTGTTTGACGCCGTTGAGAGCGTTGATGCCGTTGACTTGCTTGGCGCCTTTGAGCGGGTCCGGTGGTTCTGAGCCATCTTGGACAAGGCATTCGAGTGACTCGACAAGGCGTTCGAGTGACTCGACCGTGCGCACCCGCAGCGTGTGGTCGCCGTCAAACAGCGGCAGCGCCCGAGCCCGCGTGATGCAGAGGGGCGACTGAAGCAGAACTGCGAGCCCCTGGATGTGCTGAAGCCGGTGCTCGTCGACGTTGCTGAAGGGCGACGAGAGCACCGGCAGGCCGTCGGCGAGCAGCACGGCCCAGAACCACAGAATCGCGTCCCAGTGGTCTTCGAGATGGAGCAGCACGGGACTCGCCCGGTGGAACCCGCCGAGCGACCGCAGGGCGTCGCTGCGGAGCGATGCCTCGGCATGCAAGGCGCTGTAGGATATCTTGTTCGGCACGGTGCCGCTCCGCGGGTACAGCAGCAGCTTCCCAGATGACGGCCCGGACGCCGCCCTCTCCCGCAAGAGATCCTGGAGTACCATTCCCTGATCCATTGTAGAGGGATGCGATGCGGGTAAGGAAGCGAGAGTTTGCCGGGTCAAGAGCCAAGCGCAGGACACACTGCCAGAATTAGTCTGGGGAAACTTGTCTGTCTCTAGAATTGGGGCAGAAATAATGGGGCATGGCTCTCGACAATCCGCCTCGCTGGTTATCTACACGGGAGCAGGCTTACTTCACATCGTAGTCTGCGTGCCAAGGTGAAGCCCAGTGTCCCAGTAGTGAGCCGGCCGGCAAGCGAGGGAATGCAACCGTTGCCCCCCACCCACTTCCACGGCGCCCAGTCCCCCCCCCCCCCCTTTTTCCCGTGTCATCACCTCCATTTCCATATCTCACTTGGCTCACTAGGCTGGCGAGACCTTGGTAACACTTCGCAGGGCGGCGGGGCTTCCAAGACCCTTGAAGGATTGCGACCTCCCACAGTCTAATGCTTCGCCCGCCAAGAACCTTGAATCCCGCCTGCAACCACAATTCAATGGGGGGGATTCGGTCACTCGCGGGCGGGATTCAAGGTTTGCGTCCACCGGCGACTTCTTCGCCGCATTTTATGGAGCAGCATCTTAAGCATACATACCGAATATGTGTACGTGTATCCAGTCCTAGCTCTCGATCGATGGAGGCCTGCGCCTGCGCCTGCGCTTGCGCCTGCATTGCATCGCGTCCACCTGCCATGTCGTGTCGGCCCCCCCCCCCCCCCCCCCCCCCTCCTCCCATTCCTGCGGATTGTCTATTGCTCGGCGTAAAGGCACCGCGGAGAGGCGATAGCTCCGCAAGACTTTTGTGACGCCTGTCTGTGTGACGCCTGTCTGCATGACGGGCACCCAAGGGTACCGAGTTGGTTCGGCGACCGTGACGGCATATTATTAATGTCATTGGAGCATCATACTATTAATGTCATTGGAGCATCATACCATGTAGCAGCCGATAGTCAGGGTAGGTGGTAGTGACGAGAGTCGGGGCGTTTTTGACGCTCGAGCGTGAATGGTATTATTAGAACCCAGTACCAAGCATGCCCAGTCTCACCGCGGTCTTCCTGGTTCTAGGTCTTATCATGGTGCGCCGCCTCTCCGCATACTTACCCTCCTGTTTATTTTTCGTCCTAAAGAGGTCGTCCTGCGCCTTACGCTATTGTCTTGGTCTCCACCTCTGACATGCAGGAAGCAGGACCGCGGAGTTACATCCAAGAGAAATACCTCGATACGTGACGCTAGGGGTTTATGCATTTAACCGGATAGCTGGGCCGTCAGCACCCCGACCGATGACACCTCGGCCGAATAGCTCGCCCCCTGTCACCTTGACCGGGACACCTTGGCCCGGACACCTTGACGACCTAGTGGGATTACATCGATTTCCCTTATGGGCGGCCGACCTGCCCTTCTGATCACACGATATGACATGACCTCAGCCCAATCCAGGAGAGCTGCCGTTCGACCCAAGTATCAATTGTCCAAAAGTTCCGACTCGAACAGCCATGCCGAACCCTTCCCTTACGCGTATTGCCCAACTCGCTGCCACCATCACGGCCGAGGTCGCCAGGATTGACGGCATTCTCGCCGCCCATGGTCTCCCCTCGCCGTCGCTCGACGAAGATGCGCCGCCCGCTCTGCCAGACGAGGCCGCAGATGCCCAGGACGCCGTGCTCGATGCTGCCGCCGAGCTCAATGACCTGCTCCGGGAGCCCCTAAGCGCCATCTACGAACATGGCGGAGTAAGTGCGCCCCTTGTCCGCGCGATAATCCGCCCCTTGTCCGCGCCATAATCCGCCCCATCGTCCACCCCAATATGAGCGATAGGAGAAAAACAGTGCTGAATTTTATCCATCGTCATAGCACAACAACAACGTCTGCCTCCAGACCATCGCGCGCTTCCACATCAGCGCCATGGTGCCGGCGGGCGGGCGCGTGTCATATGCGGACCTGGCCGCGCGCACGGCACTGCCCGAGCAGGTGCTCCGCCGGCTGCTGCGTCACGCCATGACCATGCACGTCTTCCGCGAGCCCGAGCCCGGGATGGTCGCCCACACGCGCGCGTCCAAGGCCCTGGCCGACCCGGCCATGAACGCCTGGCTGCGCATTGGCACCGAGGAAATGTGGCCTGCAGCCGTCAGGGTACGTGAGGAGATGCATCCGTCTTTCCTCGGGTAACGAGCTTGGAGGCTGACGTTTGACTACTTGGGTGTGCATGCAGATGCTCGACGCGCTGCAGAAGTGGCCCGGCTCGTCAGAGCCCAATGAGACGGTATGCAGTCCTCTCCCCCTGCCGTGGAAAACAGGTGCTATCCATCAGCCGGTTCCTGGCCTGGGAATTGACATCCGCTAGGGCTTCTCCCTCGGCCACAACACGTCCGAGTCCATCTACGGTGTCATCGGTGGCGGCGGGCCCGAGCTGGCCGTACGGTTCGCGACAGCCATGGCCGTGTACGCGTCACGGCCCGAGTACTCGCCGGCGTTCATCGTCGACCACTACGACTGGGCCGCGCTGGGGCCGGACACGCGCGTCGTCGACGTCGGCGGCGCGCAGGGCCACGTCGCCATGGCGCTCGCGCACGGCCACGCCAACCTCGCCAGCGTGCTCGTGCAGGACATGGCCGTCGTCGTGGCCGGCGCCGACGCCGGCGTGCCTGCTGCTCTCAAGTCCAGGATCGCCTTCATGCCCCACGACCTGCTCGCGCCCCAGACCGTCGTGGCCGACGTGTACTACTTCCGCTGGATCCTGCACAACTGGTCCGACAAGCACTGCGTGCTCATCCTCCGCGCCCAGATCCCCGTGCTCAAGCCCGGGGCGAGGATTATTATCCAGGAGACGTGCATGCCCGAGCCCGGTGCCGTGCCGCGATGGAAGGAGAAGGCGCTGAGGTTTGTGCTCTTCCCCTTCTTTTTGCTTCCGCCTTGAAAGGATCTGTATCAGCGTACTGACTACCCAATCTGAACAAAACAGAATGAACGACATCAACATGGGTGCCGTCTTTAACGCGCGCGAGAGGACCGTGGGCGAATGGCGCGACTTGCTTGCTGAGGCTGACCCGCGCTTTGTTCTAAAGGCCGTCACGGAGCCCAAGGGTTCGGCCTTGGGCATTCTCGAGGTGGTGTGGAGTGCGACAGACTAGAATGTTTGTGAATAGACACCCCAGTTACCACCCCGTATCTCCGATTCCCAGGGCTTCAACGTTTTTCGAGGTCGGGTGAAGCAATTTACGTCTCCGTCTGCATGTTCAGAAACCTGCGAGTTACTTAATTAAAAGGGTTGCCCTTTAGACCTCTCCAACCACTAGTATGGATGAAAATCTAGCTTGTTAAGCACGAGTATACCTTCTTGTCCCCTTTCTCGGCGTGTGCGGCCATCCATATATCGCTCAACAAGGTCATGACTGCATGGAATGCCGTACTGCGCCCTGAAATAGCCCGTACAGAGAGGTGGAGGTGCCGGGGTAGTATTCTTGAAGGTCGGCACGGCTCCGAGCATAATGCGGTATTGTTTGGTGACCTTATTTTCGCCTAGGTCGGAGACATTGAGAGGAGCATCACCAAGCCATTTCTGGCCAATATATTCGCGCTTAAGGTGGTATAGTTGGTGTAATCGTGCCTCCTGAATGCCCTCGTTCATTTGCGCCACCATATGGAACGACTGCTTGACTGCATCGAGTACAGTACTGTTGCCCGTAATGATGAAGCTTTTGAGGAAGCGGTTAGCGACTTCAACTGGCGATGTGGTCCTGTGACCGGAATTGAACCTCTTGTTGGTGTAGCAGGCAGCCCACTCCGTCACAATAGGCATGTAAGTCTCCTCGATATATAAGAGTATGTCTTGTTGTTCAGGAAAGAATGCCTTGAGCTTCTCGTATGCAAGGTTGAAGCCTTCAACAGTCGGTGCATAGAGGATATGCTCCCAAAGCTTGCACAGGCCAGCCCTCGGGTACTCAACCTCATCGGGTATAGGCCCGAGAGGCTCATCGTCACTCCCTCGGCGGTTAATGCGGTTGACGACGCCTTCATCATCTTCGTCAAAGACGTCATTTTCATCGCCTTCGGTACTCTCGTTTCCAGCTTCAGGAACCGGCTGGCCAAGTCGAGCGAAATGCGCTGCAGTAACCCGCATGGCAGCCTTTTTATCCCACTTCCGTTTGACATGCAAGACCACATTCTTGTTGATGTGGAAGATACAGATCTGGGCGTCGGCATTAGGGTAAACACGTGCTACGGCATTCTTTATCGCTTTGTCCAAGTCTGTTAAGGTAATGGCAGGTTTACCGGCTCCAATTTCCTCGCGATGAGCATTGACCTGATGTATCAGCCAATTAAAACCTACTTACCACGCCTCAGTCCAAAAAAGACCTATTGGTTTGTTTTCATCGTGATCTAACCATTGTACGTTGTAGGCGATGCCTTTGTCGTCAAGCAGCTTTATCGTGGCCTGAAAAGCAGTATGCCCGTCGAGGTCATCCTTGCGGAGGGAAAAGCGAAGGTTCCTGAGTTGTCTGCGGTTGAATTATATGGAGGGAAATTTCCTACGAAGCTCCATCGTAATATCACGATTCTTTGTGCCCGGCTTGTCGTTATAGTCGGTCATGAATGCCTGTTGTTGACAGCCAAAGCCGTTGCAACTGCCTTGAAGCAGCAGTCTCGCTTTATGGTGTCTGTCTTGCGAGAATGTGCCTCTGAGGGCCGTAATTTATCCCAGAGGCAGGAAATATCGACTCGCGAAGGTCCAAAGTCCTTGATGTAGTTGCAGGCACGCTCTTTCTTGACGGAAAAGCCCTGTTCATTGGCCCAGTCTTGAAGTTCAAGCATCAATATGTCGATAGATTCATATTTGTGGTTGAGGAAATTGTGGTCGAGCGGGAGCGCCGTCACGGGCCTTGCAGGCGGAGCGGGCGGCTCGCGAGCCGGCAAGTCGGGTGTGAGGTAAAAAGGGTCGTCGTCGTCGGGAGAATCGGCGCGCGAGGCCATTCTACTGCTAGTTAGCATCGCCGATTGCATATGAAGCGATGCACCTACTTGCGCAGCGATAAAATCGCGTTGTTGTTGTTGTGGCTCAATTGACGGTATTGTGGTGATGTTTTTGGTGGATTTGGTGGATTTGGTGGATTTGGTGGATTTGATGGATTTGATGGATTTGGCGATGGCTTCAATTGCAGCCTTGCAGGGTAGAAATTTGGCTAGGTTCGGTGGGGGAGAGGGGTGGGCCCGGGCGCCGGGCGCGGTTGAAGCTGCATTGTACTAGCCATCTGAAGATGAGCGGGTTGGCCATCAATCTATTGTTTTTTTTGCGGGAAAACAGGGACTCGGCTGGGCTAGTAGCTTGGCGACCCGACTTCTCAGCCGGTAAAACTCAAGGCAAAGCTAGTGTCATTGACAGCCCGAAGCGGCAACATCTTTAAACTAAGTGGCGAGCATTTACCACCCTAGTGCAGCCACGGCCAGTCCGTGCCCAACCTCGTACGCCGCATAGGCCATGTTAAAATAGCGCCAGTAAACGTCTTATTCCTACCGTGTGATAACGCCGCGGTAGCCATATACGTCGCCAAGTATCTCGTCGCCAGGTATCTCGTCGCCCGATACGAGCGCCACAAGTCCGACAGAGCTTATCAGACAGGTCCTTGCAATGACAAGAAAAGCCCCATCTAAGTTAGCTTACCCAGATTTGGCCAGGCCCCACTTTTGGCCCGGGCGCCGCCCGCACTTACACAACGCAACGCATGACATTTGAAGCTATAGAAAAAGGTCAAATCAACTAATTACAATGCAACTTTCGTCTTCTTCTTCATCTTCCGAGCCCTCTAGTTCGTCTGAACTGTCAATATCGCGCCCAGCTGCCCTCTGTGCCTTGCGAATGTCCTCAATCGTAGCAAACCTGGAATTCGGGCTCAATTGGACCTTCTTCTTGCTGCCTTTCTTGTTCTCAATTTCGGCCTTGAGAGCTTCATTCTCACGTCGTAGCTTAGCCAATTCGAAGTCCTTGATGTTGAATGCCTTTTCGATCTTCCTGAATAGCGTACGGCGAGTGCGGCGAGCCGCCGAATGTATGTTCAATTTCGCCAGGGAGACCGTGAGCTCCGTGACCTTTTGAGGAGTCTTCCAGACGCCGTATTTATCATATACCTGTTTCTGCAGGTAAGCTAATGACCTGGCTTCCTCCAGGGCCTATGAAGCTATATTTGTGGTGCCTTGGTTCCTGTTTTCTAGCAACAACTTGCTTCGCAGGGGCTTTTGCTTGTTGACAGGCCACAACCCGGCGGCATGCCAACCTGCCTTGCAGTTGCTGGGCTGAAATGCGGTTTTCCGGGCTTTGAAATAACAAAGCAACATAAGCCGGCGCCCTAGAACCGTGCTGTGCGATAACGTCGGCCTGCTATTGAGCTCCTTCCTGTATGCCCTCTTCAGGACTGAGAAGACAGTCAAATCGAGAGGTTGAAGAACATGAGAAGCGTGTGGAGGTAAATAAAGAAGGTAGATGTTGTTTTGGAAGCATGACCACATATAATCATCGGTGGTATGACTGCCGTGGCCGTCAATAATAAGTAGTCGTTTTTCTCCGTTGGCTGGCCGGGTCCTAGGAATGAAGACCTTCTGAAGCCATTCCAATGCCCTTGCATCGTCAATCCGGCCTTTTTCCTGGCTTGTGAAGTGCCAACCAACGAAGAATTTGAGTTTTTCTGGGTAGTGTTGTTGTTGAACGGTCTTTCCTTTCATAATGACCGCAGGAGGTAGGGACTGGCCAGTTGCAGAGATACATTCCACGAAGGTAGTCCAGCTGCGAGATCCGGGTTGTTCCTTCATCAACACCTTGTTTTCTGAGCTTCCTATGACCTGGCCGTTGGAACCCTAGCCTTCAAGAATGCCTGTCTCATCTTTATTCCAACGGTGCTCGGGCTTGATGCCCCGAATAACCGGGAGGGCCAGGTATTCGAACCAGGCCGTCACGGCTGCCTTCGTAGCTCCGTTGAGGCGCACCGAGTCGATCCGCTGTGCTCTCTGGCTCCTAATGGTCGGGTTCCGGGCCATGAAATGCCGCACCCACTTCACCCCGATCTCGTCAGGCTTCCCAAGCTCCCGGGCCAGCCGGCGGGCGAATTCCCTAACCTGCGCATGCGTAGGAGGCAGGCCGAGGGCACCCTGCATGACGATCCACTCGGTCAAACGCTCTTCCACAGGCTTATCTAGAGTCTGCATGTGTTCAAACGCAATGCAACGGGCTTTTGTGCCGGCCAGCCGGTGCCGAAGTGTACTCCTCGGCACACAATATTTTGCTGCCGCCTGACGCACACTGCCGCCGTCTCGCACAAACTTCATCGCGGTCAGCATCTCCAATTCGTCGTATTCAGGCATGGTAAATAGAGGATTGATTGAGCTCTCGATTAACCAAGAAATGGAAGAATTTGGTCTTGTTTTGAGGAAGTTGCGGTGTGATGAAGAAAAATCGGTCAATCACCCTTGGTGTAAGTGCATGGTGGCTTGCGCATGGGCCAAATGTAGGGCCTGGCCAAATCTGGGTTAGTTAACATAGAGCGAATGGGTTTCCAAAGGATTTCAGCCTCGGTGTAAACTCCGATGTTCATTCGCGAATAACACATCAATGAGCAAACGGTAACACCGGTATTTACTTGTACACGGAACGTGAGGCTGCTAGCTTGCGGGTCTCAATTCAAAGACGATGAAACGTACGGGCGGGAGAAAACCAATCAAAGAACAATATCCGTCTGTCACATCCTCTCGAGTCTTTGCAATAAGTTTTCTTGCTGACATGCAACATGCTGCAGAACAAGGCATGAAACTCGGTCCAATCTTCCGCGCTCTGCGGCATCAGCCTCACGCCGTCATTGGTGAGCCAGCCTATGGCCCCAGCCTAACACACACGACGAT